TTTGCTTCATCATATCACTGCAAATACTTTAAATTGATCCTGACAAGGCATGAAGAAATGAGGTCTGGCAGAATTTGGACCATACCACAACATTTGACTGTTGTTAAAAGCTTTTTTATTGTCACTGATTGTTAATATATCCTAGGTTATTGTGGGTAATTTCAGCACCATGGGTTGAATAAAAATAAGACCTTGAAATTGATCTCCAGCAAGAATGGCAGGAGTTTTAAGGCCTGTAGTCTTTATGTGTAGATAGTTTTTTCTGTGGACAGGTTTATTATTAGTTCACTTGATGGACAGCTGTTGCCTGTGCCTCCTTATTTCTATATCAATAAAGAATATGAACAGCATTTACTGCTTTGGGAGAGAGAAAGCCCCACTTTTCCATATAGAATTTATCTGGAATATGTTATCTATTTGAGTAAAATTCAATTTGAAAAAAAGTTATTTAAATTCTTTTGGTTGTGTACTGACGCAACTATAACGCAACAAAAACAACTGAGAGACGATGCTGCCCAGTACTTACCACACATGCCTGAACCTGAAGTAGGGGAGAAACTGCTTTATAGTTCCTATATGTTGGCCATTGTGGTCTCACATTTCAGTTCCAACATGTAGTAAGTAAATCACTTTGTATACATAGTTCCCTACATTTCAGGCCACCATAAAATTTGGTTCCCCTGGTGTTGGTCATCACTCAGGTGTGTGTATTAGTTATATTTGTGCAGGGATAAGATACCAAGTCTTGTGGGCACAATAGGGGGTTCAAAGTTGACACTGTTCGACACTAGGAGCCAGCGAGAGTTCAAATATTATGAAATATCAGCTGTGATGAAGCATCAAAACAATAATACAACCTTCAGAGACAACGGTCAAACCTTTATATGGGCAAATTCACTGTCCTCAGTCTAATTAAGGAAAAAAAATGCACTGCAAGGCTGCCTATTCCCAAAGAGACCGGCGGGCCAAGGAAGGCGTCCACAGTCTGACAGAGGGCAGCGATTCAAATAGGTAATGAACAAGACAGGTGTGGTCCTGTGGGATGTTTCGGGCTATAAGGAGGCAGCAGATGCTGGAGGTGACACACAAAGTGGGAACACAGCATTTGACTGTCTTTTTGAGTGGGGTAATGGTCCCCCTCCCGTCTCCTGTGTGCACCGAGTACCAACCTGTCTTGCTATACGCCAGGATGCACTTGATGGCAGATCAATAAACAGTTACAAACAAATGCTGCTGTAGCTTTGAGTCAGCAAATGCAGTTGCCGTTGAGCTGCTTTACTGGCAGACCAGGTGAGCTCCTCTGTGACGTGGACTCTGAGAAAGTACGATTCTCTCTTACCACAGCTTCTCAGTGGATATTCGTCCGGGAATGGGGCTTCCCATTCTTACTGTAGCAGATGAGAACATGATATAAGCCTGACCATGGCAATGTCATCCGATGATAGGGGTATGGAGGGTACAGTATTGGGCTCACTGCACAGCCCTGTGGGGAAAAAGCTGGCCCTGATGTGCTGTGAAATTACGAAAAAAAACATTTCAACAAGAAAGAGGTAACTGCGATAGACCTATTGTCAGTGACAAAGCTGTTAAAATTTAGGATCAGAAATCATGATGATGGACTTCTGACGGGATGTAGAGAAAGACCCAGAGAGCTGATTTACATCCTTTGAGATCCTTCCCACATACTCCAACCAGATCAGCTGCTTTCAGGTTCCATGACCTGAGTGTGCAGCTCACTTGGTGTTTTTGTGGATTAAGTCTGTGAGTACTTGAGTGAGGATTTGTGTATCTATGCATTTCCATGTGACTCAAAGGAAGCAAAGAAGATTTTCAGCTCCTCTCCTAACCTGTCTTATTCTTTTTGCCCTTATAGATGAAGAAGTGCTCCGATGAAGAATCCACTGTACATTATCGTAAAATGCTCCAATGATCAAAGGATTAAAGTGCTTTTTCTTTTTAGAAGAAGAAGTATGATTAAAATGACTCCCCAAGGTCCAAAACATGGCAGATTATCTGTTGAATATGGTGGCAGAGTGATATTGATTGGATCTGTATAGCTGCCACAAATATTTGCACAGTTATCTTCATTTAGGGAGTAACTGCTGATGACAGCCGCACTATGATTTCTGAGTCGTTTACAATCGTCATATCATTCCCCAGAATAAGCAGTTGTTAAAAGCTGCTGCAGTGGGGGCTTGGCAACGCATCATCTGAGAAGATACCCTGGTGATGTCAAACAATCATTGTGTGTAAGAGATAGGCAGCAGAGTAGCAAAGCTGACTGCTTTAATGTACCAGCCATTACTTTGTCTCAAACATCAAAGTGACCATGAATGAATAATGTCCTCATTTCTTCTGAAATGTTTGAAAATTACCTTAAATTAAAGCCTTAAATGTGCACTTTAATTCTTTATGTATTATCTGAATTCCCCCTCAAATCCTTGGTTTAAAATTGAAAATCAATATCTGTCCCAAGTGCTATGGAGAGCATTTAATGTCCTTCTTCATGGAATGCACAGAGGTGTCAAAGCAGATCGAGGACTGCTATCACCAGCTGGAGTCCTGCATGGTTCTGCCTCCTATCATATGCATGCACATGGCCACCACCACCCGCCCCATCCATTACTGCCACAAATAGAATCTAAACACTTTAAATTAATTATTTGAAATTAAACTTTTACAGTCACCAGCCTATGCTCACGAACAAGGGGCTATCCATATTCCAAGAGACTGCCTCCTCTATCTGTTACATTAAGCTGTTTTGGGCCTTTTCTTTGCAGTGACAGTTTAATGAGGTAGTAAGACCTGATGCTACATGCTTTTAGTTTAATGAGTTATGAGGTGCAGCGCCTTATGTGGCTTTTTTTCTATCAGCATTTATAGCCTTTTCGTTTTTGTTAAAAAGTAAACCAAAACTGAACTTTTCAGAGGGATATGTTTCTCAGGAGTTGGAGCTCAAGCAAAAAGACAAGGTCAAATATCAAATCCACTGCCGGGCTATTCGAATGTTTCCAGCATATGCAAAAACATTTCCAATGCAATCCATGACTTGCACTGCACTTGTTTACTTTCTCTACAAAGCACCCTGATATTCCTTCTATTGTCAATGGTGCCATTTGAACAAACCGAAATGGAAGGCATATTTTGTTTTTGGTCAATAGTTTCAGGCTTACTCAAGACTGATATTTTAAAACCTAGACGCTGTGTAAAACATAGACAACAACTGAATGCAAAGATTTGCTAAACTATTTTCTATGTTGGGGATGAGGGAGTATAAGGCCCTCGGGATAGAGGTGGGGCAGATGCCAGACGGGTCCCCAGGCCATCAAAGGGCTCAGCAGAGAGAGAGCCACAGCAAATAGTATAAAACGATTTATTCACAATTTGTAGGTAAGTATATCCCCAAAGTATTTCCAAGTCTCAAAGGGTACATTTCCTCCAGCAAATTGGGCTCCAGAGTGACAGGTCAGTGTCTATTTAAAGGATGATTTCCTTCTTTGAATTTTAGCAGATGTGAAGTAAAGTCAACAAACTTTCAGAAATATCATTCTGCTGACTTGCAAATATGTCTTTCAGAGGAATGCACGATCTGTGAATGTTTACTAACACTGGCCTTAAGTACTCCCTTAAGGCCAATAAAAAAAAAAAAAAAAAAACATATCTTGTAGACAAACACGCTCACATATTTTCACACAGATTTGACAATTAGTGCGCCGGTGCTGTTTGCTACACGGAGTTTAATTTGCCAGAGATCGCATGGGTTATCCAAGAGCCCTTGAGACTTTCAGAGCAAGCAGGAACTCAGAGACAAAGTATTGCTGCCAGTGCAAGCAGGAGGGGCCGAGCGAGCCAGCAGGTTACAGCTTTCGATTCCTCTCAGCTCATCAAAGAAAGCGGGGATCTATGAAGGCCAATCATTTTCAACATCATTATATAATTGATCTTTGAACGAATGAAAGACTAATCCCCATTAACTTTTCTTGTCAGTGGCATCATATGGTTATTAGAAGCCATGGTAATGCCAACTGCTCATTTCTTTTCATATTGTTCTCTTAATTTTTCTTGGACAACTGAATGAAGCAATCACTGTGATATTAAATCCGGTCCAAAATCCTTGAGACAATTCCCCAGGAAAGGGATGCTGCCCTTATCAAATAGAGCAAAGCAGCAATGTCTACTTACACATTGATGCAACACTAGCAGAATGCTGATAGAAATCTACTGACTGGGAGTCACTCCTGTGTGCCCTAGAAACAGTAAGTGATAAAGGTCAGATGCAGAATATGAATGATAACGTGATCAATCACCTGGATCCAGTGTGGAGTCAGCAGGGACTATTTATAATCGATGAAGCTAGGAGTTCATACTATGGGAAAATTAAATAAAAAGTTTAAAAGATGGCCTGTTGTCTTTATAAATTTGATGTTAAGAAGTGATACAATCTATCCACATCCATTTGTCTACTTATCAAACAAATAAAACTATTTATTTTAGCATATAAATCTACTTTTGGTCCTAAGAAACCATCATCTGGGGGCTAAGTAGTCAGTTCCTTTTAAATGTAATTTATTTCTCTGATGCCTTGTTCTAGTGCACATAACACGTATCATTTGTTTCTAGGGGTAAAAAGCAGAACGACATGTTTGCATTCAACTGATAAAGCCCTCAAGGACTACAGAAGTTTTTGTGGTTGACAAAGAGCAAATCGACATTTACAACATTGTGTATCACAAAGGGAAGAGGATGTTAATTTATGAGACCACTGCTGAACCTTATAATGTCTAAAGGGAGAAATCTGTTAAATGAACCAAATGAATCCTTTTTCTTTAGCTTTGCGTGGGCATTTTATCTTTTAGAGCCATTACTGACTCATTCAGAGGATTTGCTTTGCATTTGGTTTAAACATGAATACCCGAAAGTAACAGCAACCACAAAAAGATTCACCACAGTTGCACATTTACAGCTTTGCATGAGAAGTCCCACCACAGAACTTCAGCAGCAGACGTGTGACTCACCGTGTCTCTGTTTCACTTCCTGTGAAGATAGGTCGTCCTGTTCACTCTATCACAGTCTTAACTCCACTCCTTAACGTCGGTTGTCAGCGGACTGCTTCTGTCTTTGCAAAATAAATCCCTCAATGGATTCAGCTTGACTGACTATAATCAGTTTGGGAGCTCAAACATGGCTGGAAATGCACTGGGCATAGTTTCCTGTCTTCTGCTCCTTGCCTCTCTCATCCAAGGTAATCCTGGACCTCGATGTTTTGTTGTCTCTACGATATACCGCATAGTTGGGATATTTACCATTGGGTTGAAGAATGTATTAGGTACTGGTGTGGCAAGCTGCCTAAGTAAAATGTTGTGATTTTATCTGCCTGTATCCCAGTGGACAGCAGTCTGTGCTATCAACTTCAAAGAGTCAGTGAATTTTCTTGCTTCTAACACTATCTACTACTATCTACTGAACAGGGCTCCAGGATGTTGACGTCTTTCACGTTGAAACACTGGAAGCTGTAGTTGGCCAGAACATCACCTTGACTTGCATTATTGGAAAATATTCTGATGTCAGGATTGTGAGCATGGAATGGAGAAAAAATGAAAGGACAAAGATTGCTGTGACCAGTCCAGATTATGGGGACCATCTCTTTTGGCCTAATGTGACTATCGAAAAGGTGATAAATGATGCAAAAGGGATGATGGGGTCCCACCTACACATCCCTGCAGTGGAGAAATGGGACAGTGGCACCTATAGTTGTGAAATTTCAAGTTTTCCTTTGGGTTCCATAAGGTATGAAACAAAGGTTAAGGTCAAAGGTAAGGAAAAGTACAAAATACATCAACCAAAAGGCATTTAACTGAAATAGTACAACATTTCTCTGTGTTGTTGTTCATTGCAAATGATTCCAGTTACTTCTGATTGCATCAGAGGTTTGCCACTACTAATTTCAACAGGGTTTATTACTACGCAAATCCATATAAAAATTGCACTATTATTTCCCATGACACACTTTTCAGTTTTCTATTATATTCCTTTTTTCTCACCAGCCAAGTGACACTGACTGCTTTTTTTTTTTCAAAAAAGACGATAATGGTCATAATATACAGGAGATGTCCACATGTGTGTTAAATCTGAGTCTTGTCAGAGAATGTAGCAGCAGTCCTGTTCTGTCTAATTACCTCACATGTTCTCCTCAGATGACATTAAAATCGTGTGTGATACACCAGAGATTGTTGTGCTTCACTATGGAGAAAATGCAACAATTCATTGCAGAGAATTCTCTAATTCAGTATACAAATGGACCAAGGTAAGGAAATTCAAATGAACTAAATCGGCAAATCAATAACTTGAGACCTGACATTCAAGCTACTTTCATCTGATCAAAGAATATATACGTTCCCAATTTTTTTTGTATATGTCTGACATGATCGTTTTTTGCCCCTAGGACAATAAGGTGGTGTCAGAGAATGCATCTCTGGAGCTTTGGCAGGTGTCGGCTGCTCATACAGGGGTGTATAATCTGACAGTTAAAGCAGAAGACAAAAGCTTGCATAAAGAATTTATCATCTCGGTGCTAACAGCAACCACAAGCTTCAGGACAGGTGAGCCTCTCTGTTACTGCTGTACTGCTGCTACTTTCCTCTTTGTGTCAGACTCAATTTCATCAGTTCCTTGGGACTGGATTAACAATCTAGCAGAAGGCCAAAGAGACTGAAGGTGTTAATAAACTGCACTGGACCAGAAAGCTGATACTTGAACTTCTCTTATTGTGCTGTAGCTCACTCAATTTTAATTTTTAATTAGCTGAAGGGAAAGAAACATTCAAAAGATCTAAAGCTTCCAGTCACGAGAATGTAGCGGTAACTATAAGAAAAAACACATTTATGTGCTTTAAAAAACCAGAACAGTGTAAAGTAGGTTTTCTTTCTTGGTTTATGTCCGTTTGTAACATGGTTACTCTACCACTAAGTTTTTGTTTCCATCACCAATTCTCATTTCATTTCAGATCCTGCTTTTCATCCCTCCCATGCATTCTCTCATTCCACTCACCTGGTTCTCTCCGCCCATCTCCTCACCTGCAGTTCATTAGCTAATTTGTTCCCCAGTATTTAAAGCAGTCCTTTTCCACTTCTTCCCTGCCTGATTGTCTTGTGTTTTTTCGTGCCAAGCTTTCCCGCATTTACCTGTTCTGCCTACCTGTTCTGATCTCGCTTTTGCCCCTGTCGGACCTCGGATTCCTGCCTGCCCCTTATCGGATTTGTTCGCCTGTATCATTGAACTTCTGGTTTTGACCCTGCCTGTTTTCGGACCAAGTAAACAGATTCTCCTCTCTAAACTTGCCTGCATCGTTGTGCATTTGGGTTCTCTGTTGCCAGGACCAGTGGTCGTTACAAGTTTCTCTGTGCAATGAGCATGGATAAATCTTTTTATGTTAATTGTGACATAAAGAAACAAACTTCCTGACAGTTTGAACATGCTGCATTGAGCTGAGTAAAGAAAACCCCAACAGTGTGCCTGTTATCTTGCGCACTTGTTTCATAAGATTTTAATGTTTTCAAAAAATGAATGTAACAAAGCCACACAGACTTCAGAAGTTCCTTCCTGTTTTTCATCTCCTCGCAAACCACAAAAACAGACACAACAGTCTCAACGGCAACTCCGGATCATAGAACAGGGTGATAGCACAGTCTATTGGACAGATCGTAGAAGTACAGCAAGTGATTGTTTCAAATGTACTGTAATAAACAGCAAAGATCGGGGAACACATGCCTTACAGCACAGTTGTGTATGTGTCATTATTGTAAAACATCTAAACTAATGATCGAAACGATGTTTCGTTCTTGTCTGATAGGAGATCTGAGCTGAGCTGTTCAGGCTTGAAGACCATAAACATTACGTTATTATTATTGTCAGTTGAAGCAGAAAAATGTCCCAGTTGGTGTGGAAAATATTAACACGACTTCGGAATGTGAAGTTCAAGGAAAAATCTTTTTCACAGGAGTCTGTGCACAGGCTTAAAAATCGCGATACCCGAATGATCCCACCTCTATTTATTATGCATGTCATCCTGACTGCCAACTCAGGCCATGTTTTAATGATCTAACCGACTACTCCAGGGTACTCATTTCTGTACTATGATATTTTGTCCAATGCAAAGCTCACTAAAGAATGAGACATTTTTAAATATGAGCAAAATCTTGAGTAGTTAAAAATGTAAGAGAAAACAATACAAAAACAATTATTTTTAGAGGTTATAGTATATTATAATAGCCAGAACAGTCTGAAAGATGGTTTTCATGGGGAAAAACCTCTTTAGTAAACCATTTCTTTAGATGTTAGCACATCTTTTTTTCTATTATAATTCTAATCCACGGTTTTGCATAATAAACTTTGGGATTAATTATTCATATTGCCTTACCCAAAAGGTATGGGACATTTTCTGCAAAGATATCAAACTAACACTGTCCACTGTATTAATTTTGGTTATCATTTTTCCGTTTTTCCAAGCTTCAGATCCTGTGACGGTGTCAGCACAGACTCTTCCTGAGTCAGCACAAACCAGCCTGACTACATCACTTACCACTGGGTCTGCAACTCGTGGAAACGGGACAACTCGTCCAAACACCGGGGACGTCTCTGTCACAGCTGAAGAGCATTTATCTCCCTCCACCATTTCACCAAATATCAGTGTTCCATCATCCCCTGCCACACACTCTGACACCTACCATTCACTCAGTTCCACTTATGTCACCGCTGTGTTCAGATCAACACAGAAAATGGCCGGAGGTGAGACGACAACCGAGTCCGAGACTCACACACTCCAGCCAAAACAAATTTCAGTCAGCACAGAGGAGTCTAGCCCTTCAGGAAGCCTTTCTCAGAGCTCTAAACATCCAATTGAAATCCCATCCGGAACCACAAGAATCACGGTGCTGGACAGAGGTAACGGCGCTTGTTCGACTTAATCTATTAAAAACAACAAAAATATATCAATATTAATGCATTCGCAAACATTTCTATTACCATTAACCTTTTTGTAGTTAAGACTATGCATTCATTCTGAATTGTGCCTTTAAATCCTTATTTTACATACTATTGGATTACTTTACTTTCCTTTACATCACTTTACCACTTGCCTTGGAGACAGACAGTGTGGGAAGCTTTATTTGTGGCGATCGGCAAGGCTGAGGGTTTGTACCGTAAGCGATATACGCTGTTTGAAAGTGGAAATAACAACTCAACGGCAGAGTTCAAGTAAATCATCGAGAGGCTAAACCCTGAGAAGTCGCAAATGAATTTTAGCCACAGTTTTCTTTGCCTTCACCTTGTTAATCTTCCTCTCATGTGGGGCCTTAACAGACTTTTTCTCAGCCTCAGGCAAAATGCCTTGTTTGGGTGAAAAAACACTCATTAGGAGAAAGATCTAGAGTTGGTGCACAAACAACTGAAGGAAAGGTTTGCAAGGAACACTTTTATGTCTAAAATCAGAAAGTTTCCCCATCCAGCTTTGCACTCATTTTGAATATTTGTTGGAATCTACTTGGTTTAGCTCGGGAACCAACTAAATATTATCAATTTGTTTTCAGTGTGTCCATAACTGTTGCTCTCCTTTGATAATATATGTTGATAACTTGTAATCTGCTTCTTAGGAAGTGGACAGAGTCATCGGTTGTTGTTGTCACTCCTCATACCAGTGCTGCTACTGATTGCTTTGGCTGGCTTTTTCTATTGGAGACATATCAGAAAGAAAAGGTAAAAACTTCAATCACTCAGCCTCCCTCTACTCTTACTTGCACCTGATGACCCAGAAAGAAATGAAAACATGTCATTTTCTCATCTGTTCCAATAGATGTACATGACCCAGAACATATGCCTTGTACTGTCTAGAGATGTTGTCAATAAATATTTGTGCTCTAACAATCTCTCCATAGGATGGATTTGCCGCCTCCCTTCAAACCTCCTCCACCTCCAATCAAATATACAGCTGTCAGACATAGTGAGGCCTTCACAGAGTCCTTCCCCATCTCAAGGTGCAACTCAGTCGTAGAGCCCAAAGAAATAACACCAACGTTTACCATGGCATGAAAGTTTATGTCCTGATAAAGTTTACAGTTGCACAATGTTCATCATGGAAGGATTATTAATAAATACAAGTAGAAACCCTTTGAGAAGATTGAGTCAAGCAAAGTGACTCAAGAACTGAACTATAAGTCTATGAAGCAGGTCTTATAGAGTCATGAACCCTCCAAAGAGGACGCATCTCAACGTTATTGAAGCAGCTACTGTTTATATGTACATGTGTGAAATGAATATATTGAAATGTATGTGTTGAAATAAACAAATAAAGCATGTTTGCACGTATACATGACTTGAAAATGAACGATAATTTGCCTAACGAGCTGTATATACTTATTGTGCTTCAAAATGCTGTGATTTCAGCTTTTTACATTTGTATTGCATAAAGCAGAAAATAAGCGGTATTGCTACACAGAGACAAAATAATGAGAGTGCCGCACAGCATTTTAATATTTCCTACAGCCATTAGAGACAAAGGCAGTGCGGTAGTGGTTTCCATTTGTTCAAACAGTGAATTAGGACTTCCTGCTCAGATGTCCAATGACTTTATTGGTATGTCGCCAACAGACAAAAGGCTCAGTATCAAAGGCCATTGTTGTCCACAGCTACCACAGAATGACACTTGTGTTGACAGAGTGGGGCTAAAGCCACAAACCACATGGACTCGATGGCTAACACTGGATGCCATCAAACATGCCGGCTGAACACAAATTTTTTTAAAGGTTGACGATGCAGCTCACATATATGTGAATATTTCCTGATGTTCAGTTTTCACACCATGACAGTTGATTAAAATAAACTGTCTAAATTAATTTGTGAACTTTGTAACCCAAATTCAACAGACGTTTAAACAGGTCACACGTAAATATGTCTGTTTTCGTATGCTAGTGCATGAACACAGCAACACACACACAAATGTGCAATAACAACATGTCACAAGTGCTGCTTTTTTCTGATTTTCCGACCGCATTCTGTGAGCAAAACCACAGAGTATTGTAAAAGTGCAAGGTTGAAATTCTGAAAAAACATGGCGGCGAAGTCTTGTTCACACAAACAGTATGTGAAAGCAAAATTTATAGTTCAACTCTACTTTTATCAAACCAAGTGTGTTTTGTCTATAGTAACAAATCTCTGTGTATGTTGTACGTATAAAAAAAGGTTTCTACATTTTATTCCAGAGAACACTTAGTAAAGATTTGGCCCCTGTTTTTTCTAAGTCTTCCATCTTTAGCTGACATTTATAGTTGATGCCTTTTAAAGATGATGGTCATATTTATTTTATTTATTTATCTATTGCTGGTGTCTGTTGCGTTGCAAACATTTTGGAATGTATTCATTTTAAATTAATGCAGGGCAAAATTGCATTTAGAAATATGTCTAAATAAATAACAAAAAGATATGTCTGAAACTGTATCATATCTAACAATGGCATCGTGAGCCAGCTTGAGAATGAGGTTACATTGCTTCCTGTTTGTAACTGAAGAGCAGCAGTTTTCAAGACAGAGGTAGCTTGAGTAAAAATAGACTACAGTGTATCACACCTCACTGAGGAAACATTGACGCCCTGTAGCTGGAGAACTGGTGTGTCAAACAGATTTCCCGTTTAGTTCAAGACAGCTGGAAAATGGACGGTAAGACAAGAACAACTTTCTAAACTTCCACAATAGAAAGGTGTATTAGTATAAATCTTCCACTCACGCGTGCTACAAGTGTGACAAGCTGTAGGGAAAGTATGGATTACACTAAATCGCTGGAAGTAATAACGATCAATGTGTGCATAATTTGTCTCACATGTTTCTACACATTTCAGCCAAGTTTATTACTTATTTACACACATAAAAAAGACAAATTTATGTGGCATCCCATAATTGGCATAATGTGAAAATGTGTCTGTGTATTTCAGCTGAAATGAGGATACAGCGAAAGCCGGTTTTTGAAAAATCCCCCTGTGAATTTTGCTGGTGCTTTTGGGTACAACCGATGTTCCAGTAGATTTAAAATTCCCTAGTAATTCAAGAAGGACTACAGCTGTACAAATCTCTCAGTAAATGTGCCTTTATACAGACTCTAGATATGCCTAATATCTTTAACTGTCAGATTTCATATTTATTTGCTCTTAGTTTAAAAGTGATGATGTTTATTGAAAAAGAATATTGCATTATTTGACAGATTTATTAAAGCTAATTCATTTTATATGTCAACATCGTAAGCTAGGAAAGTCTTTACTTGTCAAGTTTTGAGGTAATGACAACTATATTTGTGTGTGCTGTTTAGAAACAATTCTACTGGCAGCTGTGGCGATTTTATCCCTGGCATTAATGATCTCATTGTGCATCAATGTCAAACTTTGCATCAAACAACAGGCCATGTTGCGCAGAGGTATGTTGCCTTTTTTTCCCCAGTAGTTTGTTTTTTACATTTTATAAGAGTTTTCTTTGTTTTTTGCACAGGCACAAATGATTGCCACTACCCGCCAATCTCTGAGAGAGACAAGTGAGTTTTCTTTGTTTTTATATTATTGTACTTTTTAATTCAAGCCTAAATATTAGTGAAGCTAATGTTAATACATTACAGTTTAGTCACATGAATGAATTATCTATTACATGTGAATCAATGATAGGAAATAACCCCTACCATTACACCATTTCACACTGCAGCCCATCTCAGACTGAAAGTCATTACTTTCATGGCATCAATTATGAAGAGCAGCAAGAAAATCCTGATGATCATCAGGAGCAGCAGGAAAATCCAATCTATGGAAACATTACCACAGAGAGACAAGGTGAGCATTCTCTTTACGATTTGAAAAAATTAAGGGCATATCTATGAGTGTGTTTCTCATAGTCTGAAACAATCAAGAGGGAGACAGTTGTTTTTTTTCCTCCTCATGGTTTTGTCCGCATAATTTACATTTTCTGTATTTAATCTCATTAATGATTTAATATGCCAAATTTATCCAAGAAACACATGTTAGCATATCAACTCTTATCAAGTTACACTTTAAACTAGGAGAAAATTAAACTGCAGTTTTTGTTAGAATCATTGCCCACATAAGTTAAGATTTTTGCTGAGTGTTGTAATTTCCTTTCTGCTTTGACAATTGTGTATTTTCCAGAGGTTTGCTATGAGACGATGACCAGTCGACGCACCAAAATGTATCTTAAGGTAACAGCTTACAGGTTTGCTCAAAAGGTTAAACTTACTGCACATAAATTTTATTCAAATGTTGTCAATCTTTATCATTATAGATTTTATGTCCATATATGGCAGCTCTTGTGGAGAGACAATTATCTTCATGGACAAAAAAGCACTTAGAGAATAAAACATCAGACGTTTTAACTTTCTCCTGTCTTTCAGTCGAACATAGATCGTTTTTCAACTTGTTCTAGCTCTTGAGGCACCATCAAAGTTCTGCTCACGATAGGCAGAACTGATGTATGGCTGAGATAGCCTGATTGTCTTTTTGCTGCTGTAGTAATCTTAAAGCCGTCCAATTGTGTCATTGTGTTCTACTTTTAAGCTGGACCACAGAATTTTAGGAAACATCCTCATAACTGTCAGTTCCAGTTATGAGGATCTCTGCTAAAACTTGGCATGAAGACATGATTTGTTTTGTGTTCGAACAAAATTATGTAGAATAACGATTTAACTCTGAGGTTTTTTTCCTCAGTAAGTACCAACACTGAGATTGTAACGCATATGAGCAACATTTTTTTCGTATAAAAACATGCATTTAGATTTATCTGGCAAAGTATAGTTCACACCCATATTTACCTCCTGTTAATGTTTGATTTATTTTTTCATGACGTGCACATTTTGTCCGTCTTTATTAATACAATTAATCCCATTATCTTTTCCTTAGTTTAGCCTTCCCATCCTACAGAGCGAGTTTCTTGGAGTTTGAAACAAAGAACTGTTGGTCAAGTGCATTTCTTTGTTTCTATCTAAACTAAACAAATGACAAACAGTAGAGTTTGTGTGAATTGCTGTGCAGACCCTTTTTGCATGAGCTGACGGAAATGCTTTCAAAACGGAAGGTGGCTGACATCTCAAATACGTTGTGGTCAATGAATCTGCAAACCATACAACACAATTAAGCTCAAAATGTTCTAAAAATAAACCAGACAAGCCTCGAACAAACGAGGGAGGCATGACAACTGGCAAACAGGGCAGCATTATAGAAATGTTATAGTCATTTTGCCTCCTGTTTTCTGCATGCAGCCTTCGGAGCCTGACTTGAATTATGCCTCGCTGGATCTGAAGATCGCAAAGAAACGCAAGATGAAGAATCGACACCAGCAGGGCCACCTGCAGGGACGAAACAAGCCTCAAGAACAGCCGTCATCTCCTGCGAATGCTTTCTCGGAGATGGACGTGGACGTGGATGCTCATCTTCCTTCCAAAGACATCAACACCATGGTTTCTCACAGCAGCATCTACCTGAACAGTCAACAGATCGCCCAAGAGACAGAGGAGCTGGAGATGGAGATGGGGAGGGAGAGGGAGAGGGAGGGGGAAGGGGGGAGTCGAGATTGGGAAGGAGATGGAGAGAGTCAGGAAAGAATGGAGAGGGACGATAGCTGCACTGGGAATGCAAAGCTTACAGAGTCAGAAAATTCTCCGAACTGCTCAGATCACTTTTAAGGGATACAGAAGCTAGTAACTGTTCTGATTATTTTAAGTATGTCTACTTGTTTAAAACTGTTCTAAACAAATTGTAAAGTTTATGTCTGTGCATATCAAAACTAAATCAACTGTTTGTGTGAGCTCCACAGAGTTGAGCAATTTCCTCTATGACGCAAAATACCTTTTGAAGTCTCACATTGTGCAATTGGGGAGCAAAAGTGTACCTTTCACTGCAGAGGATGCTGTGAAGTATAGAGGAAGAAATAAAGGAAAAAGTGTGTTTGACATTTAGAGGTCAAGAGCCACGTGGAAAATGACTACTTTTTTGTGAAATACGGGGAAAGCTTGAAGCGGCAGAGGACTCAGAGGTGCTTTCACTGTTTCGGTGTCTCATAATTATCTATCACCTGATGTCTCACAGAGAGGTGTGAAGAAACAAATATTGTTGTCTTCCGTTTCGTAGGCGGTGGCTGTCTGAATTACTCCAATTGCTTTAATGGAAACTAATCTGATTCTCTGTCGTGTTAAGAACTCCCAAACGTGTTAAAGCCAACAGCAGAGGATTTCATCACGCCAAAGTTATGGTAAAGGTCACAATGTTTTGTAATGTAGGAGCTAATGCTCCATCTGCTAAAATGTTGCTTTCCCTCTCTGTAATCCCCAGTCTGTGGCATCGTTTACTTTCCTGCTGTCTGCCGACAGAAATGAGCTGTAATGTGAACTCAGCAGTCGGCGGCCTTCAGCATACAAACTGTTTGTTGGCAGGTTTTCAAAAGCTGACCTACTTCTCTGAGGATTAAGCCTGAAGCCTTTTGGGTGTAACTTTCACAGATATAATGAGAGACCACTGAAAAGGCCACGGCAAGTGCATCCAGTATGGGCCCAGTCAAATCATTAAGGGGAAAAAATCTCGATTTGTAATCTGTATTGATATACAATTGTTACAAATGCTACCGTAAAACACATCACAGGCTGCTGAGATTTATCTGAGATCCTGTCAATGCTGTGTGGATACCCGGAGGCACAGTTTTCTTCCCCCGTTGCTGTAGGTGAGTGAAAACTTTTACATTGTCTTGCCGTGGCAGATGATGATATGATGAAAGGTGGAAGGAAAATTGTTTCCAGGAAACAAAGGCCTATGTCTGGAAGGTGAGTCAGAGGGAAGTGACAAGACTGTTACACTGACAGTTTAATGTGCAAGAAAGATCTTAGTTTTCTCACATAGGCCTTGACATAAAAGTTTAATGTTCTGAGCAGGAGCTTCAAGTATTCACACTATAATTGGAGGCAATTTCACTATACTGTGACATTAAGGGCAGGTTCACCAAAGACTATATATATTTTCAATGTGACACTGAGGATGATCCACTCCTTTTATTTAGCAATGGAGTTTCAACGTGGTCCCACACAGTTTCCAATAAAGAACAGTAACTGGGAAAAACGGCTCAGTTAAACTGAGTGTAAACTGGCCTAAACATGTTTTCTAACCGACAAATACAGAACCTATTCATGGGCAATGAATGCCACTGCATTTGGTAACTAATATGCTCCCAATTCAGGGGAAATTCTGCCTTGATAAAGCTTTTTTTTTTCAAATAGCAACACCTGACATTAGATTGCTATAATATTATTTAGTACTACTTTTAATGCTGTTAGAAAGGTTTTTGCCAATTATCTTATTATAAAGACATATGATGTGACAAAGATTTATGTCAGGTATGCCAAAGACAGAGAAGCCTGACTGTTTATGCTTTTCTTTTTAATTATTTAGCACTGTTCTTCGAAGTTTGAACTAAGCCTGTGGCTACCAGCTGTTGTATTCCCTTGCCAGCCTATCTTCCTGCCCCATTGTACTGATTGAACGAATCCCACTTTCACTTTCCCCTTCTGAAGGCTCATTAAACAACTGCAAAATGCAAAAGTGTTGTAAAATGCCTAGTTTATCCCTGACCCTAGTTTCTAATACCCTTTGCAAAATGAAAAAAGCCAATTAGATTAAATCAGTTTTTTCTGTTTCTTTCACATTTTTTCTGTTTTTTGTTTAATGAAACTGAAAAGTGAAAGTGACTCATGTGCAACCAGTTCAGGCCTAATGACTACACTTATCAAATGAATCGCACTTTGTTTCTTGACTTAATGTGTTCAGCTGATTTTATTAAAAATAATATTACACTGTGTGTTTAGATAAATGAGGTGCAAAAAACAAAACAAAAATCTATCATTTTAATCCACATATACACATGTTAATAAACACAAAAAGCTAAAAGTTTTATTTAATTAAATGGAAAATGGGTCCCACTGTTTTTCTAACAGCACCAAATAGGAACGTGCAGTGAAAAACTGGTGCGGAGTGACACCTCTGCGCAGGCACAGACAATCTTTGTAACAAACATGGCTGCGCACTCGTGAATGTCATGCCGTCTAATCCATGTCTTGAATTTCACCAGATTTAGCGCAGTTACCGGTACGTTGTAAATTTACCTGAGGTTGCAGTTCTGTCAGCATCTTTCTCCATCACTCCCCGGTCGTGGAGAATATTCTAGGCCCCTAAAAACCTGACAGAGTGGATCATAGACTCCCATGCTAGCATAGCAGCTGACCGGTAGAGAACCTCCGACGGGGTCGCGATGGATCCCGATCAACAGCTGAGAAATGTGAGTGACACTGCCGGCCAATTGAATGCTCATTTAGAAATGAACGTCGTAAGTGATGATTTAACATGAGTGTGTCTCTGTGCAGCTGCGGGATTTCCTCCTGGTCTACAACCGAATGACTGAAATCTGCTTCCAACGATGCACAAGCAACTTCAACTACAGAAACCTCACCATGGAAGAGGTACTCCAACAATCTAATGAGGACACTTCACCTGCAACTCTGACTGTCACTTATCTGGCCCATTTTATCTTAATAATGATAATAATATATTGACATTATGTAGAGTATGAGGTCTTATTGCACTAGTATTTGCTAAATGTTTGTCAGAATATCCCTATCTCTGATCACTTCGTGGGGAGCGTGGCTTCTGCGGTTGCTTCTTGCAGATATGAGCCTCTGTTGCAGGACGGTGGAGGCCTAGTAAAAATATTGGATGTGGATGTAGTGAGCTAGATCATCATAGTTTTCATAGGTTTCTGTCACATGCCTACATCCACTGACTACAGAAATGGACCCGAACCAATGAAATTAGCATCTGACTGTGTCCATATCAGAACCTACTTTATTGCGAGGTACTACAAAAAAATATAGAATATTTTACTGGAGTGAAACATTTCTGTGTGGAGAGAGTATTCAAAAAGAGTGTTCTCATTAGAGACTTCTGTGGATGCGTGATATGAGGTGCTCTAACGTGCTCGGGGATGCTGCGTGTTGCTGATGCCGCTTCGTTTGTGTTCAGGAGCGCTGCGTGGACAGCTGTGCAGGGAAGCTGATTCGCTCTAACCACCGCCTGATGGGAACCTACGTGCAGCTGATGCCTCGGATGGTGCAGCGCCGGGTGGAGGAGATGGAGAGCAAAGCGGCGGCGGCAGCAGCAGCATCTGCATCTGCATCTGCATCTGGATCTGGATCTGCAGAGGCCGTGACCTCAGAGGCCTCTGAGAGTCCCGTCAACCCGGCCGAACCTCCACAACTTCCTGCCGCAGTGACTGAATTTTCACCGGAGGTCTCAGTCTTTGAGTCGGCGGGATTGGACGTCTCGCCAGCCGCAGCGTCCGCGGGGGGGAAGCTCTCAGATCAGCTTTCACTGATATCCAGAACTGAAAATGCAGATGTGTCCGTGCTTAATGAAGCTGCGCCTTCCTATTCCACCGAATTTCCCAAGGTGCCTCTACCTGAGGCCCGGGTCGATTCGGGCAGCTCTGAACCGGCATCCCTCTCAGTCGATGTTTTAACAGCTGCTCCTGCTGTTTCTAATTTGGAAGGCCGAACAGCCCCAGGAGCCCCCCCTCCACCGGGCCAGTAGTAACTTCACTTTTTGTGATCAAACTGTGAAATCTGACCCTGGAGTCCCACTACTAACAGTTTATATATATATATATATAAACTCAACTAAGATATTTCAACCTTTTTTTTTAAATGACCTATCCAGGTAGTTTTACTGCTAGCAGCAAGGGAAAAAATCTTCAACACTGTTTTGTCTCAACTTGTGGTGTACATTTTCTCTCTTCTTCTCCCTGACTCAATTAATGCAGTCTGCAGGTGGCAGGTGTGTGTGATGGACGGCTGCATCATGGGAACATGCTGCAGGAGTGTAATTTACTTTGAATAAAAGCAGGACACTTGTCATCATTACTGAGTGATTGATTGGTTGGTTAACAACACTTTAATAGCAGCATATCACCTTATGAAATACAAATTCTACCTTAATATGATGTGATAATAATTTTGATTGGCCAGTGCATTAAACTTGCAAATCACAGCTCCGTAAGGATCAGTTGTCAGTTCACAGCCCTGCAGAGAGAAACTCATTTTCAAAAACTGTTATGTAAACTGTAATAATAAAAAAAAGAATGTGTTAATTCTCAATAACTGGGAGTTCTTGCTTCTATTCCATGATGTGTTTATTGAAACAAACACCTCTTCTGGAGCACGCTGCAGGTCATCACAGCACCAGATGTTTGAGCTGGAGGATGTCGTTCGTGTTCTCGGTGCCATGGCTGGGACTGCAGTTCATGACCTTTGTCAAATACCATCTCTGTCTCCTCCCATCATTTCCTTCCTGTCTTTGCCGTATCAACATTCATCTTACGTGGTCAGAGCCGCTGTCAGTCCATATACCAGGAACCGCGATCATGAACAGGAAAATCTCTTGTGCTACAACATCTCAGGCCGTGTAAATTTAAATCACTGAGCCGGGAAGGAAATGAGAATCGAGAAAAGTGAAAACATAAACCAATACATCGCTGCTCCAAAAGAACAGTTGTGAAATCTGTTTTCACACGTCACAGGAAATTAGCTTTTCTCCCACATTAACAAACATAATTCTAATGGAAACTGTTACATATCAGATAGACATTACCAGTTCATTGCTGCTAATAAGATATAACCCCTTTTATCATTTCCTACATTATATTACTAGAAAGAACATAATTCTATTAAAATGCTTGAAATCTAGATATTGAGGAGGAGTATTTTCTTTAGAAAAAACATGCCGAAACAGTAGGCAAAGGACTGGAAATATGTGTTGATTGTGTTAATACAGTATAATCCAACAACATATTAACGATAAATATAGTCTTTTATTTTTTCAGAAGTTTCTGCTGTGGGATCACTCCCAAAACCTTAAATGCTGCTAAAAAGCAGACAGATTATTCATTAAATGGGTATATGGGGGTTTCTATCTATCATTTCTATGACTAAACTGTTTGGTCAGTAGTTTTCTTTTCAATTTATTCTGAGCTCGGAAATGCAATTTAGAAGTATATTTAGAATCAGTTTGCATTCGTCACCGTTTTGCCATCAACCAACCCCAAATCTAACAATCCTAAAAAACCCAACTAAGCTGACACAAGTTTAGCTCGGGTTTTTCTGCAGTTTCCGTTTATTTCTTTTTCTGAAATGAGTGGAAACGTGGCGCATTGTGTCACACAGGAGGCGCTGGTGCGCGGTGCGCCCGGAGGAGGCCGTCCGGCTCCGCTCCCACATCCCCAGCAGAAGCCCACACGGACCCGGAGGAGCGGGGCGTGGACTGCGCGGACTTTTTTAGTGGAGACGAAAAAACTTTCGGAGGACGTGGGGCGCAAAAAAAACAACAACCAGAAAAGAAACGGAAAAAGCAATTTGCCAGGTAAGAGGTTCCTCTGCGTCTTTGTGTGCGTAAAAGAAAAAAAGTTGATTGTTTGGTCTGTAACGTGGGCGAACAATGCGTTAGGAATGACTTTGACTTTTCACGCTGGGTTTCAAAGGGATCCAAAAAAGGCCAGCCCAACCGAGCCAACGTAGACAGACCCAGCCAGGCGGAAATGTGGGACGGTCTTGTTATTTGATCACTTTACAACATAATTCTATCCATTTATGCCTCAGATGCGTAAAATAGTGTTAAAGCCGCATCGGATAAGAGTGTGTTTGTTCTTATGGCGCTCACTGCCCCAATCCCATGACTTCAAGAATGTCTTGAAATAGAAAAAAAAGATGTCAGGAATAGTGACACTATGCACACATGCCAGCTTACAGGCACAGGAAGCTGTTATCAGCTGAATAAGATTTAAAGAAGTGCAAACGTTGTGTGCTTTTTTGTGAGTAAAAAGGCCACTGATAAGAATCTTAACACCATTCACAGGCTGTATGTTCTTGATTTGAGGAGCCTGAGAGAGCAGCCCATCGAAACTGTCGCACAGCCATGGATGACATCTTCACACAGTGCCGGGAGGGGAACTCTGTGGCTGTCCGTCTGTGGCTGGACAACACAGAGAATGACCTCAACCTGGGGTAAGCCCATCCGCGCGGGCCTTGCACTAATCCGTGAAGATGTTGAGACACTGCTGCTGTCTCGGATGCGATTATCCAGCTGTGCGATGAGAAACGAGGACAGGCTGACAGAACCCACATGAGGAGTGGGCCTATGCGTGCTTACGAAGTGATCCTGGAGGTGGAATAGTTTCCACATAATGCTGTCATTGCTTAGCGTCACTGAGCTGCAGCGCGTTCTGTTTTTCTCCTTCTCTCCTCATGATGTCATCTGCAAAAAACCACTAATGAAACCTCGGGGCGATTGGGTGCAGGTTTTTCAGCCACGCAGATGGCTCAAACAACGTAGCAGAGGTTAAAACCCTCCCCACACTGACCTGGAAAAGCCAGAGAAAGTGTAGTTTTTTCACAACTGCGATTATTGAAATTAAAAAGTCGGTCAATATGAATTTCTTCCAATGTTCTTCATCTTTTTCCCCCGTCTTTTTAATGTCTAGAACATCCCGAGCATTTTGCTTGTTCAGATTCTTTTCTTGGGGGGGGGTGTAGAGCTGTTGGAAGTCCGCACAGCTCCAGACCTTGGTTATCTCATTCTTGGGCCTTGCCATATATGTGCAGCTTGTTGACGTTGACTCTGAGGGCTGCGGAGCCTCCAGCCAACCACGCGTCGGCCAAAGCCATTTCCTCTGCTCAGCTCCATACAGGGCCAGGCCCTCACTGACACAGCTTCTCAGGCAGCTCGCTACAGTCCCAAATAAACATCTGAGAGAGCGCTCGGAACGCCAGAGGCCTTCTTTGGCTGTTGCTCTGATGAAGCTCAACTATGTGGACGAGCCCCCCTTTTTTCACCCCTCATTTCCCAAAATGTCTAATAAAAGTATTATGGGTTGTAAGAAAAATATGTTAAGTTGAAAGAGGGGTGTGAGAGGTAAACACTAAATGCCATTTTAGGTCTGCCCCCTAAAGCGAGTAACACAGGAAGACACATGGAGAAAAAAAAAGAAGGGAGACTTGTATTTTCCACCATGTCATTCCTGAGTTTTTTTCCCCCCTCTTGTTTCTTTTTATAGTCCACAGAGTTGGTCAGACTGTGAGCTGTCTGTCCGCAGTGCTGGATCAGAATTGACAGAGAATGTGACTAACTGCTATCGCACTTTGGTGCGAGCTACTACTGCTGCTATTTCCTACAGGCTGTACAACTCCTCTTGAGGTTTATTGTCAAATAGGATGTAGGCTTTGTGGCTTTGCAGTGAGCTGTGAAAAGCCTCAGCGACTGCCTCACGGGTCAGGTAATGTGAAGGACCGGCGTGGCAGAGGCTCCTTTAAGGCCAGGGCAGTGCCATGTGTGCGGTCAGGGCTTGTGCCTTTGCACATGTTACAGGGCATTCCTCTTTACGGGGACATATGTGTCACCAGGCCAATCATCCGATGGACAGAGGCCGTGAGCGGAGAAAGGAAGCATGCGCTTAAGTCTAAATAAAGATTAGTAGGTGGTATGTATGTGTGAGAACCTGTGTGACTAAAAGGCAACCGCACAGTTGGTGTTTGTCAGCTGATCTGTGCTCTGGTGAGAGCTCATCAGCCCCGCTTACGCTTCGGAAGCACATTGGTTTGCAAGATAAGAGTGGCACACAACTTTTGTTCTTCTCTGTGTGTCCTCACTGGTCACTGACTCAGCCACTGCAGAATATTGCTTCTCTAAACCCCCCAAAACCCTCTGGGTTTCTTTCACAGTTTGCTTTGGCTCATTGTCCATGTGGACTTCTAATTGCGATACACCCAGCTCTGCTTCAGCTGGCTGAGTCCACACAGTTATTTTAATGCCGATTTTCCAGACGGTAGGAATTTTTAAGACTGTTTTTGTCTTCTGTTACATCATAAATAAATAGTAATGCAGCACTGGAAGCCATACAAACCCATGTGTCCAACAAATGATGGCGTATCCTTCAGAGCATGAGTTGTTCCGAGCCTTCCTTCCAAGTTAAGTCTAATTTGGATCTCTCTGTTCTTGAAGCATGAACTGTTTACAGGGGAAACAGGCGGTTGACTGGGATAATGATATACCTCTGTATCTGTTGGAGTGTTTCAGCTCTGCTGACTGTAAAGAAGGGATTTACTTCATTGTGCGAGGATCGCTGGTGAAGAAGTAAATGTTTTGGTAGCAATTAAGCTCAAAATGTTATTATTTTCATTTTTTGGTGAACAGGATGTCCTGCCTCTTAATCACAAAGACAGAGTAATTAAAAACACAGGTCCTCACCCTTATTTGTAAACTGGTACAATGAACCCTGGATAAAACCTGCATAGTTTTGTGTGTAGAGTATTGGTTTGCTCAGAAATAGATAATAGATTCCCTTTCTATGAGTAAACATTTATTTTCGACTTGTTCCTTTTTGGAATTAACTTTCTACTCTTAACCCTGTGACTAACCTTTAACCTGCTGAAGTGATGATGAAATACAGATTAAATAGCCCCGATAAAACATCACTGAGTGTTTGTCCTGTGCATCAGGGATGACCACGGATTCAGCCCGCTGCACTGGGCGTGCAGGGAGGGGAGGAGTGGCGTTGTTGACATGCTCATCATGAGAGGCGCACGCATCAATGTGATGAACCGTGGAGACGATACACCTTTACACCTCGCCGCCAGTCATGGCCACAGAGACATCGTGATTAAGGTTGGCATGCCGAGTACAGACACAGCCGGATGTGGCTTTGGTTGTTCCCCGCTGTTGTTCACTGCTTTCTCTTTATGGCGTTTTTATACCAGCTGATTCAGTGCAAAGCTGACCCCAACACGGTCAATGAGCATGGGAACACCCCGCTTCACTACGCCTGCTTCTGGGGCCAAGATGAAGTTGCAGAGGTGCAGTAAAACACATCCACACGCCCTGTTCCTTATTTTTAGCATTGTTTGTGGATTAAAAAGGCCCTCTTCTGGGCGGAAGCAGCCACTACAGTGTGGCTCCAACTGCTAATAATACCTCCATGTTCGGCACAAAGCATTTTCTTAAAATAGTCTTATGTTTTTTAGGACTTGATAACCAGCGGTGCCCAGGTGTGTGTATGTAACAGATATGGACAAACACCTCTGGACAAGGCCAAGCCTCACCTAAGACAACTACTGCAAGGTGAGAGCTTAATTGTGAACATTTAAAAGAAGATTGAGTCTTTTACAAATAAATACAACAACCATGCCATTTTTGTACTTTCTTTGGCTTTAGAAAAGGCAGAGAAAATGGGACAGAGTATGACTAAAATCCCATACAAAGAAACCTTCTGGAAGGGTACCATGAGGACACGACCTCGTGAGTTGCTCTGCTCTCATACAGCTGGAACAAATTGTGATGTCGGATCAGGATATATGCTTTATTATTCATGTTTTTTTGCTCCCACAGGTAATGGTACCCTGAACAAGCAGGCTGGTATTGATTATAAGCAACTTTCGCTCCTGGCAAAGATCAATGAAAACCAGTCTGGAGAGGTCAGGTTCACTCCTGTTTTTTTTACTGATGCTTTCCAGCCTTTTTTCAGCCCCTCAAATGTTCACTAGACTCTGTGCTGTGTTTGCAGTTATGGCAAGGTCGGTGGCTAGGGGATGAGATTGTAGTTAAAGTTCTCCAGGTGAGAGACTGGACCACCAGAAAGAGCAGAGATTTCAACGAGGAGCATCCTAAACTCAGGTAATTTACGCCTCAGCAAAACCCTCAAACCAAACGACAAATGTTGTGTTTCAAGATATATATTGCTGCTGTCTCTGATATTTAATTATATGGGGAAAGCAAAAAAAAATCTAAGAAAGCAATGGTTTGCTTTATTAAACAATTTGTGTGACATCTAATCACATTATCATGAGGTGATGATAAATAATATAAAAACCAGAAAAGTGACCTGACATAAACGCTTAACAGCATTTATGTTCAAACTGTGAAAATTGTTGTAGAGAAAATTAACGGGATTGGGTAAAGAACTCTAAATTATAAACCTTTAAAATTAGTATCAAGCTGCACTTTATTTGCAACATACAGGAACACATGGATTCCTAAAGGTTGTATTATCCCTCCATAATGAATTACACCTATTTAATTTTAGAATCTGACATTTTTTTCAATTTTTAGTTTTATTTAATTATCTTATTAAAATGACAGCTGCCCGTATGCTTTCTCTTCTTCTATGTTCCTTCTTTTTTATTGTGTCCCTATAGGATCTTCTCTCATCCAAACATCCTGCCTGTTCTTGGAGCCTGTCAGTCACCTCCGTCTCCTCACCCTATCATCATAAGTCACTACATGCCATATGGATCCCTCTACAACATACTCCACCAAGGCACTAGTATGTATTTCTCTTTTATGTCCAAGGGTAATAAGGAAATGGTCAAACTATAATAAAACATTTCAAATTAAGAAACCCTCCATGTTCAACACACTAAAGCATTTATGCATCCTGACTCATCAATAAATGTTGAACCTCTTTCATGTTCTTTTTTGTCGGTTTCCTTCCCCCTTCTTAGCTCTGGTGGTTGACCAAAGCCAAGCAGTAAAGTTTGCTCTGGACATTGCCAGTGGCATGGCTTTCCTCCACACCTTAGAGCCAATGGTGTCACGCCTTTACCTAAACAGTAAGCATGTCATGGTAAGTCGCTGTCTTTAAACTCTGACACGGAAGATTAAACTACGTGCCTTGCTCAGTGTTTCTAACAAGACAATTTGGTGAATTGCAGATTGACGAGGACATGACAGCCAGAATAAGCATGGCCGATGCCAAGTTCTCCTTCCAGTGTCCCGGTCGCATGTACTCCCCTGCCTGGATGGCCCCCGAGGGTATTTGTGCACAGTTGTCCCGCTGTAGTTTTTTTCTGATCACCTCCTCTGCATTATTAGTCATTCAGGCAGGAACGTACAGTACTCAGTGATATCCTCCCAACTCAGTGGTGGTCACCTTTTCCTCCCCCTATTGTTCACAGCGCTGCAGAAGAGGCCTGAGGACATCAACAGACGGTCAGCGGACATGTGGAGCTTTGCCGTGCTGCTGTGGGAGCTCGTTACCAGAGAGGTCCCGTTTGCTGATCTCTCACACATGGAGATCGGCATGAAGGTCAGTAGGCGTCGTATTTGCAGTGTCCACCCACAAGTTCACAGTGGTTATTCAAATCCTGTCCAATACCCAATACACCTGCATCAACGGATCTATTGCTTTTGGATACTCTGGGCGGTGCTGTAAGTGAAATTTCTCCCATTTCTCAGGTGGCTCTTGAAGGTCTTCGACCAACTATTCCACCAGGAATCTCACCTCATATCTGTAAGCTCATGAGGCTCTGCATGAACGAAGACCCGGCCAAAAGACCCAAGTTCGACATGATTGTCCCCATCTTGGAGAAGATGCAAGACAAGTGAACACCTCCCCAACAACAGTTCCAGCGCTGCAATTGTTTTTCATAATCAAACCACTCTTTAGCTTCACTTCAGTCACTTATCTGCTCATTCACTGTAAATAAGACCAGAGACCACTTTAGCTGCACAAGTATGAACACAATTTACATTACATTACTATTTGTATACTTTAAGTTAATTGGAGGTTTAGGTGATCTTTAATCCATGTTGCCCCTAGTTTTATGGCTGAAATGTCTGAAATAATGGGGTGCTTTTTATCCACTGAAGAGTATTTTCAGTGAGCTATCCAAAGAATTGTGTATAGAATGAATGCTTTTATACACAATCAAACTTCAGTGTAATAAATGTTTTATATTTATGACAGATTCTGTTCTTTTTTTAAAATGTATTGTAATCCTTTTGTGAAACGCATGTCAATTCTTTGTCACATTCAATAAAATATTCATATCAATTTAAATGGTTTCTTTCATTGGATGCACTCACGATATAGGTGACTGCAGTCTGTCTTTACTGTAGACTATATGGGTTATCTATAAAACAAACATTATGAACTATTAAAGGCCACAAGGTTAAGCTGAAAACTTCAGAAAATGAGTGGATGCTTGGGCTGAAAAACATTGGATTTTTTTTGCTGTAAATGTAGAAAATCTATTTCAAACCAAATACATCTCCATGTATCAAGATCTAGACTTTAACATCCTTTTCAAGGAGGGGGAACACTACTATTTTAGAGGTATGGGGAAGTAAGTGCAAAATAACCTTTTCTCAGCATGATAAACTGGTTAAAATGGGGAGAAAATGTCTAATATTATTACAATAAACCTGGTTATATGAATAGATTATTTGATTCAATTGATTAAGGTTTATTACTGATTGCTTTTAACCGGCCACTTTCTTGAGCTACAAACGAGGAAGAGAAAAACATTGGCACGTGATGCGTCAGCTGACAGTCTGTGGTTTCTCACGCGACCAGCAGCCAACTCAGAGAGCAGCTTCTCAACAAACACTCCCCGGCTGAGCCTATCAAGGAGAGCTTGTCAAACCGGGTTTTTTTTTTTTTTTTGTCCCCCCGGGTCGGGGAAAAAAGCAGAGGCGGAATTGTTTTAAGGCTCCTGCCCTGTTCCTGGTCACATTTCCCAGCACTTAGCCGGAAAACACGACGGCAACTCTTTGTTGCTCTGCAGGTAGAGTGAAACATGAGTAGCTAGTTAGCTTCTCCGTTAGCCAGCTACTGTCGGTTCACATTCAAACGAACAGCGCGTGCCTGCTGGGGAGGGCGAGCACGCAATTCGAAGTGTCAAAACGCGAAGAGGGGAGGAGTGTGACTTCCTTGACGACACTTGTCTTCTGTCTTCGTGTGCTTCGCAGAGGCTGTCGGCTCAGGTCTGTGGAGGTCACCGGACAATGGGGCTCCCCTCGCCGCTGCCCGGCTTTGGGCTGCTGACCTGCGCTTTGCTCCTGATGTCACCTTTGCTGGGGTCGTCTCTGCCCGCACAGCTGACCACCCAGACCAAGACTGAGTTTTTGGACCGTCTGGACCGCTTTGGTCTCGGTTTTAACTGGAGAAATCTCACCTGCCCGCTGTGCAAAGCGTTCTTCACCATCGTTGATATCGCACTTCTGGTAATTTTTAAATGTTTCCTACTCGACTACTCTTTTTTGTCTTTCTTTTTTCTTATACATAATTTAAACTATAACGAGTTCCGTGTAACTTAAGATAAAGGAAGAGAAGTAGCCACTATCCAGTGTTCAACTAACCTCAAAGCTCATAGGTCAGCACTAGAAGTTTTACACAATCTCACTGTGTAAACGCTTAACTAACATAAAAAATGAGAAACAATTGACCATCAGTGGTCTCAAAAGACAGCTACAATTGTCCATTTTCTATTTAAATCTCTTATCAGTCAATTAGTCTTCCAACTGGTTTGGTGTACTCAGATTAAAACTGAATAAATTTAAGGATAAACTTTTTCTTTTGTTTGTTTATTTGTGTTACAGATGTTTAGACGTGCTCTTACAGTAAATTGTCACTCTTGAAGTTCTGCCAATTGTGATGGGTATGTCTAGGACTACATAAAGTAAAGTTTAGTTTGTCATAGATTTTTACAACCAGCTGTGGTCAGATCATTGTTTAGAAAGATGGATTTAGGATCAGGATGCTGAGACAAATCAACATTGTTCATGAACATTTGTAATAAAGCTCTGTTTTTAATTGTTTAATGTTTTCAGAACCATAATGTTCAGGCTGTAGTTGCATAGTTTCCGGTAAATGTAAACCCGAGTAACCTTGCATGTTTTGCAAATGTCTTATTATATCTGTTGGTGTTGGTTGCTGATTTAGCACAAAAATGGGCACGAGGTTACCCAATCATATGGTCAGTAGTTTGACCTCTTGTTTTCAAGTTACGACAGTCATTGGTCTCAAAGTCTAAACCAATATTGATTTAAGCTTAAAAAAAACTGTAATTGCCTTTTTGTGTTAAGCAGAATGTTCCCCCCTTGAGAGTTGTTCATCCTCACTGAAACGTGACTCTCCTTGGTAATAGTTGCGTTGTTCTGCTCTGTTACTTCCGCCAGAGCGATACAAATGAGGAGCGAGTGGCACGGGCGGTTGGTGAGGCGTGTATCCGTCTCCATCTCGCTGATGAGCAGGTTTGTCGAAACATAACGGAGCTGTTCAGGGATGACTTCATCAGGGCCCTGCAGGAGTCGCTGCTGTGGCCCAGTGAAGCGTGCGCCCTGTTGGTGGGGCCTTCCTGCGGGAAATTCGACATCTACGCCCCCTGGAACATCACTTTGCCGAAGGATCCTAAACCTCCTGTGAGGCCACCCTCTCCTCCCAAACCTGGTTCTCCTCAGAGCCGGGTCCTCTTCCTCACAGACATCCACTGGGACAAGGTTAATCCATTTTTTTTTTTTTTTTTGGCATGCCATTACGTCTCATATCAGTCCTTTCATATCAGTCACCAAAGGTTTAAATCAGAAAAAGCCAAACTCAGCACTGAACAAACACTCGCTTAAATTTTGTGTTTGCTTATCAGGATTGATGCAGCAAACCTCTGACTAGCCAGTGAGCTGAGGTGTTTCTGATCACGTGACCCTCTCTGCTCACAGGAGTACGAGGTTGGCAGTGCTGCGGACTGCAAAGAACCTCTGTGCTGTCGGAAAGACTCGAGCTCTTCAAGCTGGAGGAAGAGGGTCGCTGGCTACTGGGGAACATACAGCAAGTGTGATTTGCCTCTGCACACTGTGGAGAACCTCCTTGAAAATGCTGCCAGAGCTGGACCTTGGGACTGGGTGTACTGGACTGGAGACATACCAGCTCACAATGTCTGGTCTCAGACTAGAAGCCAACAGCTGTCAGAGCTCACAGTCATCTCCAGGCTCATCCACAAGTAATCGCATACCTAACACATAGTCATGCTACAAAGTGTTTGAAACGTTATGCTGGCTTTTTATCAACCCCTTTGTATTCATTCAGGCTTATTTCTGATACTAAGAAGTTGCTAATATTCAGGGTTTGAGCTGTAGTTTTCCATGAATTGTTTATAATTTCTAACCTAGTACTGATGGAGACTGAATGTTTTGACTCTCATGTTTTGCAGACACCTGGGTCCTAACGTGACGGTTTATCCTGCTGTAGGAAATCATGAAAGTACCCCCGTGAACAGCTTTCCGCCGCCGTTTGTTCATGGTAACAGATCGGTCGCCTGGCTCTACGACACCATGGCAGAGGAATGGGCCCCTTGGTTGCCAGAGCAGGCTTTGAAGACTTTGAGGTTTTTGTATTTATTTATTTTTTTGTGCAAGTCAGACCATCTTATAAATTGTCAAGACCTAAGTGGAAATTCAGACTTGTGTGGTTTGTTGACGTCATAGACCTGTGGCAACTGTTTCACTCTGACTGGACTCTCACATCTCAAAATAGAGACAGAAGTGGTTTCTCAGAGTTCTGCGTCTCACAGAGAAGACATTCACCTTGATGTGGCTTTGGGTTGATATTAATGGTGTGCTCTGTGTGTGTGCTCTCAGATATGGAGGATTCTACACGTTGGAGATTCAGCCTGGACTGAGGGTGGTGTCTCTCAACATGAACTTTTGTGCACGTGAAAACTTTTGGCTGATGGTGAACTCCACCGATCCGGCTAACCAGCTGCAGTGGCTGGTCGGTGTTCTCCAGGCCAGCGAGAACAGGGGAGAGAAGGTACTTCTCTTTTTTTTTCCTTTTAAAAAAAAAAAAGAAGACTCTAAAAGATTGCTGATGGTTTAGATGACATTTGAAAATGTCTGGCCAAAGCTAATGAACTTTCTGCTAGGTCTGGTGTAATGAGTTCAAGGCTTTGTCATTTTCTTTGGTTATTTGATTTGATTTACTGTTTTACACGTAGGTCCACATTATTGGTCACATCCCACCTGGTGTGTGTCTTGGCAGCTGGAGCTGGAACTACTATCACATTGTAAACAGGTAGCTGCAGTGGTGTTTTAAACTTAGCTTAAATTATACATTTGGAAGCTAAGAGTTGAATTTTTGATGGACTTTGTCATTACTGGTATGCATGGTATACCCTTGTTTTCACTTCCTTTTTTAGTTGCGTGGTCACTAAAGTACATGCACACGCGTGTTTTGTTTTCAGATACGAAAGCACAATTACTGGACAGTTTTTCGGCCACACACATTGGGATGAATTCCAAATGTTTTACGATGAGCAGACCATGAGCCGGCCGTTAGGAGTGGCATTCATTGCTCCCAGTGTCACCACTTACATCAATCTTAACCCAGGTGAGTACCTCAACCTATTCCATGATCTGCCATCATCTCTTTAGGATTACACTGACTTCCAACTCAAACATTACTTTTCAGGGTACCGTGTCTACATTGTGGATGGGAATTACCAAGGAAGCTCTCGGTTGGTGCTGGACCATGAAACCTACATCCTCAACCTCACAGAGGCAAATGGCAGCCCGAGCTCTCCGAGCAGCCCGGAACAGGACCCCAAATGGACACTGCTGTACCGTGCCACTGAGGCCTACGGTCTTTCCAGTCTGTTCCCCTCTGACTTTGATGGGCTGTTGCGGATTTTTAACAGCAACGACAGCGTCTTCCAGAAGTTCTGGTACCTTAGGCACAAAGGACACGTGTCTGAGTCCTGCACAGAGACCTGCAAAACCACGGTGCTGTGCTTTCTGCGAAGCGGGCGCTATGACGAACTGGAGCTGTGCGACCACCTCAACGGTTTTGAAGGAAGCTTGGCTCGGGCCGCGAGAAAATCTCTGTGTTGATCTGTGAAAGTTTGAATATGACAAATTGAGCCAAAAATATCTTTATAGATTTTGGAAATCCAAAGTCTTCAGTTGTGCAGTATTAAGCAATTATATGCAGCCGACCTTGTTTGGCAACAGGCTCACCAAATATTTTGCTATGCCAGTTGTATATGGACTGCTAGAAACTGTCCTGAAAGATGTTGTTTACTTGAAATGCACAGAATAGTGGACGGTTCGTAGCTGCGATGATTTCTGCTGTTCTGTTTAACTGCGTGCCTTTTTAATCAGGGAATGGGGTTCTCGTATCTGTCCTTAAGAGCAATCTTGCTTCTTTAAAGCTGCTTCAAACGCCTCTCGATTTTCATTAAATATTTCCCAAGAACCGTAAATAGTGATGATAAAGGGCAGTTTTTATTAAAGCACAGAACGGATTGCTGTAGCAGTGTCAGCAATTACTGAGATTTAAAGATGGCAAATTGACTTAATGGGGTACTTTATCATATGAAGTCCCCTGTCAGCACCACTGTGGAGATTTAGGTCAATGCGTTACATCTGTCTCACCAGTGAAGTCTTTGAGCTTAGTTAGTCACTAAGGTTTACCTCCGTTTGCACTTTAATTTTTGGATATTTCAGCAAAGATCAAGTCTGATAAGCCTAAAGTCCAATACGTAAAATGTTCTCAGATTTGAGCATAAAATTGTGTAACATGAGCATGAATGTAGTATTATTGAAATAAACAGTCATTTCAGGCCGTGTGACCGAAATAAAAAAAAGGAAATCTTAATCCCTTGCCCTAAACTTTATCTTGTGATTTTTTTTTATTTTTTATAAATGGCACATTTATTTGTACTTCACTGTGACATGTCAACATGTAAAATTAAAAGCTGGGTTTTCTCATGTTTACCTTTTATTTACCCTTTCATACTGTTTGAGCTCCAATTCAATGAATGCAGCATCTCCAAGAGAACCGGACAATCCAGTTTCTTCTAAGTACAGGCCAAAATTTGGCAGTTGGGAAAGTGAGTCAAGATTGCTTCCCATAACTTCATTTTCATTCATTCTTTTGATGGATCAATATCAGTGTTCGGTCAGAAAACAAAGAAAACTCTGTTGTAGGAACCATCAGTGTTAAGACGGCCCCAATGATAAACTGGAGAATGTTTCATGTAATTTATTAGGAATTGACACATTACACAGATTTTTACCAAAAAACTATTGAAATACAAGTATCATTAGCCTTGAAAAGGGTGAACCTGCTTTGCTTAAGATTAAGGCCTCCTAGCATAAGTGCCATCTGTTCATGTCAAACACCAAACTCCCACTTATTAGTGTTCATTTTACCCATTTCTGCCCCACTTAGCTGGTCAGAAGTCCTTCTGAGCTCAAGATAATACAGATGTTCTATTGCCCTGGCTCTGAGAAGGTCATGGTGACACCAAAGTCTTCCTTGTAAAGGTCCCAGGTTTTTGGTTTGTGTGGGTTATCCAGCTCTTCCCTTGGCAAAAAGAGCCTGTGAAGGGAAAGGAAAGAAAAGAGTCAGCGCTTCCGCAGATCACGGCTCAGAGGTTTACGTAAAGATCCACTGTAACGGCTCAATCCGGGCTACAGACACATACTTGTTATCTGTTACGAAGGAAGTGTTGAACCAAAAGTAAAAGGGAACATCTTCATATCCTTTAGGAAGACCCTGACAATGAGAGAAGCATCATAAAACAGCGTGAGCACAAGCTGCTGCCACTTTTTAAGCAGAGGGTGTGACTGTACTCACCGCACTCGACTCAAACATGACCTTCACATCCCCCTCTACCACTGGTCCGTTCACCAGGCTGATGACAGCCGCGTTGTTGCCTACATCGGGGAATACCTACAAACCGAAATGAGTCAAACTCACCCACTCAGAAAACTCATCTCTGTGTTTACCCCTCTGAGCGTGTGAGGCTCACTTTGCAGTTCTCCTGTTTGGCACACACACACTGAAACACCAGCTCTTTCTTCACAATGATCTTCACCCTCAGATCGCTGCCATCCCCTTTGCCCACACCTAGGCATGACAAAGCAAACAGAAAAACATAATGCACAGGAGGTGGCCGGTGGCAGCATGGCTGCGGTCACCGATTCTTTAGGTTGTCCGAGTTACCTGCTATGGAGTGGATGCGGATGCTTTTGATCCTGAGACTTTGAGGTGGAGGAAGCCGTCTGTTGAACTTGGTTTTCATAATCTCATAGTAGCCCACATACCGGCTCTGTGATGCAAACAGATGAAAAGTTTTAGGAATTTGCTCTTGGTGCGTCAGTGGACCTATTGTGGAACCATGTTTTTCTATAAATGCTGATACTGCTCTCTAAAAAATAACTCAGAGCGACCGATCATGGAAACGATGAACACAAAATAGACGGTTAGGGTTACACAAACAGACATTTTAAATACTTTATTCAAAGTGTAGCATTCATATATGGGAAGCAAACCAGTGATCTCTTGATCTTTGTCTGTTAAAGTATCACTAATTCTGTTTCTCCTCCTGCCTGCCACAGGGAGGTGCTAATCAGAAATCTGAGACTAAGTGGTGGATTCATTAAATCTCAAAAGAAAGCATCTCTGAATAAAACGTCTCGGCCCCTTAGGGAGCAGCACTTACCTGTGAGGGTGTCTCTACACCCTGAAATTTGGAGCTTTGACTTTTGTCCGTCCTCCTCTCACCAAAATAGTCCAGACTGTCCTGGTGCACAAACAGAAACCCGTGGAAGAAGGTGGCCTTGCCTGGAGACACTGGGTTTACTCATTAACCCTGGCTAAACTGAGATGTACCTGCGCACTCTCAAACTGGTCGCTGTCAATGAGCCAGGTGCACACCATTGTGCCTGTGCGTCCTGTAAAAGAGGCAGCAGAAACAGCGCTGGACACTTTGGAACCCAGACAATCCTCAGAGCAACAATGAGACGGGCAGAAAGCATTCACATCACCTTTGCCTCCTTTACAATGTATAGCAATGATGTTTTTGGGGTCGGCTGACATCCACTCCCTCACGTTTTCCGTGTATTTCAACATGTCGCTGAAAATGCAAAATAAAGAAAGAGATATGCTGCCCGATTATCAACCAACTAACAGAGCAAATTGTGATGCATTTCCTTTTGGATGTTTGAGTCCTTTCACAGAATCCATGTAGTATATTATTAACTGTATTAGAAACCCTGCAAATCCAGTTGAGATCATTCTCAAATGATAGTTAACATGGCTGATAACTGGAGGGATCTGATATGGAAATGTTTCTTGAACTTTTAACTAGGCTCTCCACTCTGTGGTTAAAATGTGAAGCAAGCAAGGCCAATAATAGTCAGAGAGGGTCACTCACTCCAAAGAGGGGACGTTGTGGTCATCAATGAACACCCGTTCAACCTTGTAGTGGAAGAACTGCGGGTCGTAGCCTTTCTCACCTGAACAAAGCAAATTGATACAGTTTGCATAGCTCTCCATAATAAGGAAGGACACACATGTGATGTGAGGAGGAGCCAACTCACTGCAGAGGTTGTAAACTTTGTAGTGGCCTTCGTGTTTAGTGTCCAAAAACCTGGCCACTTCCTATAAAGAGCGAGCAGAGAAAGTTTAGTCCATTAGGTATGGGATGGGTGAATGTTAATGCCTCTATGTACACGAGTCCAGCCAAACTTACCCTGATTGGATTCCTATAGAAGGCCTGTTTCCCAGAGGAGGGGAAAGACATGGCTATGACGCGGTCTAAAGAGGTGGGCAAAGATAAAAACTACTGTTCCACTTCTCAAATTAGGTCATTTTTATTTCCTGTTCATTTCTTCTGATATACATCACATCAAAATAAAGAGAGGCTAATTTCTTTAGAAAAAAATCATAAAATATTTTGTAAAAAAAGGTAAACCTAAAATAAAAACAAATGTAAATCCTACCTGTAACATAGGTGAGATCCAGGTCAAATCCATCCTTCTGATAACGCCTTTTGTTCTCAGAAATCTGAAAAAAGTAACATTCCATTCCTAGAGGTTATTCGATACTTCCAACTCCCCTTACCTCAGCAAGCCTCCCATTACCTTAAACATACACGAGTCAATAACACGCCCATCTTACCATCCTCCTGGTGACTTTCTCCAGCTCTTTCTTCTGAGACGCCAGTCTGAACACCCTCACAAGGATTATTATTCTCAAGAAGCGCAGGAATGTCACAACCCTGGCAAGAGAGAAAGTTGTGAAAAGAACGTATCCCTTATTCTGCATAAAAAGACAAGCTGGTGCAGATCAAAGACATGAAAGGGTTGATTCCTCCTCACGAGTGACAATACAATCAAAAAACATGAAATATGCAAGAACACAAGTTTAATCAATTGATTGCAAATTAACCATTGGTTTGTAACAGTCCAATAGTTTAACATCCTAAAAAAGTGAGTAGCACTGTGTGCAAATGGCAATAAAGGAGAAAACACCCACCTGGGGATGAGGCTGGCACCTGACAGGTCACTGAAGGTGTAGATCATGGTGACCACCAGCGTGATTACGACAACACAGGCATCCACAATGTTCAAATTAGAGCTGAAGTACACCCTGAAACTAAACAGAGGGCAACACCATGAGCAGGCAGCTTTTAGAAATGTGTGGATGACATGGCTGCCGCCGCAGATGGTCGGGTGGACCGGTTCGGACATTCCAAATAACCAGCTTAAAACATGCATTTCCTGAGAAGCTTCCTCTCTGCAACTTCCTGTTCAGCCACTCACAGCATGTTTCTGCTGACACATGCAACTGGGAATGTTTGCACCACTGGCTTGAACGCTTCCTGTTCACACTCATTAGACTTTTGAGAGTGAATTTTGAGGATAAGTGTGGGCTCCGGCTCCACACCAAGCAGCAGCGCTCACCTTTCCACGTACACCCGCAGGAGAACGTCGGCCAGGAAGAAGAAGGAGATGGTGAGGGACACTGCCTCCAAAGCATCTCCCACCTCCCTGCTCTTTGCCGGCAGCGAGAAATCCACAATCACGAGCACAAAGTCCACGATGATCAGCACCACTCCAAATATTCTGCAAAAGAAAAAAGCGTTCACACGTTAGGACGAAAGTTCAAACGCAACCAGGCAGAGAAAAGACAAGAGAAAAACTCACCGAAATCCAAAGGACATGACAAATGGGGTGATCTTTTTCCGAATATTGCTGCAAACAGATAAAGCAGAGAGTCATGATTTCAATGAGATAAAGTCAGGGAGGGGTGCGACCAAACGTGGGCTGTAAGAGCATGAGCTTACTGGTATGTTGTGTCAGGCAGCACGCTCGCCTCTTTCCCATCATCGATCTCCACTTTTGCATCATCCATCTTAGCAATGTTTCTGCCGGTCAGAAAAGGGGAGGGAAACCTGTGAGAGCACTGGAAAGCTGCAGGGCTTCAGCCAGTTCTGAGAAGCACATCCACAGCCAGTGGGGTGGAAAACTGCTCAAAGAAATACGTGGCTCTCACCCATTTACTCCTGAGTCTGACCCAGGGCTGAAGTAGACAGACATGATGTGTGTATCTTTTCTGGATGTGTCCTGAACGTAGAGTTTCTGAATCTTACAGCAGATGTGTCAAAAGAGTAAACATATTGCTCAGTAACTCTGATAAGTGCTTTAAAATGTGAAAAAAAACACAAAAAAACAGGAAATGTTGCCCTAACTTAACTCTAGTGTGGATTGGTTAAGCTAACAGCTGGCTTTTTTTTAAAGCCACTCAAGTGTCTTTTGTCCTAAATCACCAAATTCAAACTTCAATGAAAACTTTATCAGCAAGAAAGATAAAGAAATTGAGCGAGAAAGCGGAGCTGCAGAAGAAAAAACAAACAGAGGCGAGTCAGTGTGGACACCTACCGTCGTCCGGGGCTCTCCTCTGAAAAAGTTTACCCCCCAAAACCAAACACACACCGGCCGCTTACCGTCGGGACTGTCACTCGTCAACTTATACGACACTCCGTCTTGTGACTTCTAGTGAAGGCAGGGGAAGAAGGTTCAAAGGTTAACCGGGTGGTTACTTCCATCCATCCGCTATTCCTCACAGTTTTTTTTCTTTTTTGCAAACGTAGTGCTTTTATACTTCCTGGAGCTTTTTTTTTTTTTTTCAAACGCCTCTATTGCTCATCTTTCCTCATGAGCATACTTTGACCGCAGAATGTTTCCGAGTCTCACCGTAACCTTCCGCGCAAAGCCCCCTAAAAAACTACCAAAAGCCCCAAAAAGTAGGGCGCCGCAGCCCTGTCTGTCTGACTCCCTCCTCTGTGCCACATCTGCTTTTCATCAAAAGCGCCTTTCCAAACGCTGGGAAACGTCAAACGTGCCTGTCTAAAACAGACGTGTTTTGCATCTGCGTGAGCTCTTTTTTTTTATTTCAGGCCGTCTTTAATCAGTGAAATGAGCTGCACGCATGCAGGGGCTGCTCCTTTTTGGCCAAACTGAAAGCCTGAATAAAGTCAAGGTTGAATTAGAAAACATGTAGCTTTGGGGAAAAGGTGGTGATTTGAATAATTATTTGACTATTTGGTGCCTACTGCTTCTTTTCATGCGAGGGCATTGACATTTGTAAACAACAGAACATGAATAAAACATTATAAATATATTGGCAGCAGAGGACAACATTTTCTTGAGGAAAATAAAGTACGCCTGAAAACTTGTCTTGAATTTTTTAGGTATTTCAGAGGAGCAGAATTTCAAAAGCAAATGTCTGCATGTTTAACCAAGTAGGATGACCACAGCTCCTGAAATGCTGACCTGTTACTCCCCTGTCTCTGTTCCCCTCAATGTTGGCAAAACCTAACAGCAGAAAAATAAACTCACAATAGTGAAAAGTATTTACCCATGTTGATAACCAAAATTTGCAAAAACACCTCAATAAAGTTTGAAAATGCTCCGGCTGACAGCTCGGCTGGTACAGTATGTGAGGAATGAACTCTTTTTAGTACTCTCTGTTCGTGAGGACATTGGCTGTTCCAGGACCAGCTCCACTTTCTAAACTCTTCTGTGCTGGATGGAGGAAGAAATGACAGACTGACCCCAGTTCAGAGTTTGGCACTATTTCCCAAGCCTGAATCCTCTAATGTGGACCATGCAGAACTGACTCAGCCTATAAATAAAACTGACATTTTTCAGTGGACAAGAACAAAGAAGCTGAAACAAACAAGAGGAAACAGTATGAAACAAAGGGTAGGTTTGAAGCTTTCTCGTTGCTTGATAATTATGTGATTGCTGTTAAATCGTGTCTATAAAATGTATTAATGATTTGCTGCAAGCCAGTTTTCCTTTAAAGTCATGCCACCGTTGCTGCTGCTGTATCTGGTGTGGCCAGCCGTCACCTCTTCTGCACAGCTCACTGTATGTAACTTTCAATGCTATTCAAAATGTTCTTTTTTTCCCTGGAGGATGAAGTTACATGTTCATTTTATATTTATATATCTGTATTTATAGCTACCACATAGCTTTTTTTCTTGAAGATGCTATGCCTGCTTTCTCTTTCTTCACAATTAGCATTTAAAAAAAATATGTGTGTGCATTTTATTTCTAATTCAAGGCAAAAGACTTGTGTGGGCCTGAAGTTGTGGCTCTCAGGAGCAGCATCAGAAAACTGGAGAACAAACTTTTGATCAAGATGTGGCAGGTTGAGCACCTGCAGATGCACAAATATTTCCGTCCATTTCCGCTGCTTGTGACTGACAGTAAATCTCAGAACGACTCATCTCCTGATGTAAATCACAGGGACAGCCATGATAAGACTCACGGGAATCCACTTCCACCAGCTGGCAATTTAATCGTCCACGACAAGGGTATGAAAATAGGTCAAAGTTGTGTGTTTATTTCCAATTTAATTGCAGTGTATTTTTCTTGAATAAAATAGTATGTGTGTGGTTCACTGATTTCAAACATCCAACATGCTGTTTACATGTAATGAGTTACAAAAGTAATGTTGATGCACAGACATCTCTGAGCCCTTTCCGATGCTCTCTTCCCAGACTGTTCAGAACTGTTTGACAGACTGAGACCACCAAGCGGTTTCTACCGTATAAGACCCAGATCACAGCAGGAGCCATTCTTAGTCTACTGTGAAATGGAGGATGGAGGAGGCTGGACAGTGTTTCAAAGACGACGTCATGGAAAAGTAGACTTCAACAGGTATTTAAGCAGAATAGACCTGTGTAGCCTATGAAAGGAATTTTAAGTGAGAAAAATGCTTAAAAGTCTATGATAATGACTAAATTGTATAGGTTACACATGTGCTTGACTAGAAGTATAATATCAGCCCTATTCTCATGTTAGAGACTGGGTGGACTATAGAGATGGCTTTGGTGATTTCAAACTGTGGAATGATGAATTCTGGCTGGGGAATGAGCACATATATTCTCTGCTGTCTGAAGGTTAGAAATGGTTATAATGCACCATACATTAAACTTCTTGATGTTCCTGTTGCACATATACAATATTTTCCTCTTTTTGTTTCTTTGCCTCGAAGGCAAAAACCTAGTGAAGATTGATCTGATGGACTGGGAAGGACAGAGACGCCATGCATTTTATGACAACTTTAGGATTTCTAACGAGGCCGTAAGAAAACAAGCACTACTTAATCTTGGAGTTATGATTGTCCTCTGAACACCATTTGCTCCAATCGTCCCTGCAGGATAAGTATCGTCTGCAGTATGGGCAGTACAGCGGTCAGGCTGGAGATGCTCTGACTGGGGGAGGAGGGATGGTGGAGCAGTGGTCTGCCAGCCTCAGCGGCATGCAGTTCAGCACCAGGGATCAGGTTACTTCTTTTTCCCTGCTGTTAATAACTGTATCCTTTTTGACGGTGAGCAGATGCTAACCTTGATAACCTGTTGATGGGGATTGACAGGACAATGACCGCTTCCTCCAGGGAAGCTGTGCCCAGGAGAATAAGGGAGGTTGGTGGTTCAACAGGTGAGACCTTTAGAAATGTAATTGTTGGTCAATCATTCCATTAACTTTCACACTATAGTGAGATCAAGTTTTTTCCCCGCACTGGATTTTGTGAACAACAAATAAAATGTCTCTGATATTTAATATCAACCTTCTATCCACAGATGTCATGCAGCCAACCTAAATGGAAAGTTCTACCGCAGCGGGAAGTACAAGGCCAACAACGACAACGGTGTGGTGTGGGGGACCTGGAAAGGTCTTTGGTATTCACTGAGACATACCACCATGAAAGTGCGGCCTTTGGTTTTCCTGGATATTGTAGGAAGTGGAGCAGGGGAAATTTAAAAGCACCGTGTCCCATATTAATATGCAAGGGTATAGAAGAAGGGCAAGAACTCTGTGGTATGTTTAAGTTCTTTAGATTTTAATTTTCTCCCTTTAGTTTGTTATCAAACACTAGTGGTACAAAATCATCCTTTATACATTTTCCAGCTTTAATTTCTTTCTCAAAGTGTCTATTAGCCTGACATTAAAACATACATCATTTCAGCAACTTTGACTCCTTAATGTTCATTTTACTCTCCTCAAACACTATAACAGTCTCATACTAAAAATGGATTTTCGAATCATTAAAAAACTGTTTCGGTCACACATTCAAAATGTCCTTAAAATGTAAACTGTGTAGTAGTTCAGAGTGATTCTCCCAGCGATGCTCAATGGAACTTCACAGCATTACTAAAATAGTAACCCCTTCTTTTCTGTCACGTTGTGAATTCTGAGTTGACCAGTGTTTAACAGTACAGATACATCAAAATATAAAGTAATTTTCAATTCAACTTACTTAGTTAAATACTTTACAGGTAGTGGGTAACAACAAGATAAATTGACACAGTATCTAAATACAGTGATTTACAAAGCTTTCTATAACCTTGACATTTTTATTCCTAATGCATTTAAAAACTGAAAAGAAGTCTTTAAAGTCATGTTTGATGTTCCATTCCTAAAAGATTGATCCATGGTGTTGCAATACAAAAACAGACAGCATGGGGGTACATATATGTCAATCAGCATCAGGATTGAAGGAATGGATAAATGTAAATAGCCGTGGCAGTTCCACACAGATGTGTTGCTACAAACCTGGGTTTTACTCCTCCTCCTGAACATAAACCGGGGACAGATCTAAGTCCAGCATCCTCTGCTCGGCCTCACTGAGCCTGTACGGAGAGCCGCTGCTGCTGTTGTAGTATTCAGACCTCGGCAGGGAGCGGCAGCTGCCTTTGTTGTGCTCTGACGAGGAAACGTTGAAGCTGGCACTGCGCTGTCGCCCCCTGCCACCAGAGCAGGACTGAGCTTCTTTCAGTTTACGGGCCAGCATGTTCCTCTGGATTGGCGATGGCCCCCGACGGCTCCAGTTCTGTTCAGCTCGATCCACACTCAGCTGATTGACACCATGACCCCTGGTGGGCAATGTTGCTGGACCCCCAATACCTGAGATTGAAGGTCCTCCACTTCCTGGCTCACCAGTCTTTTTCCTTTCCACGGGGCCACTGAGATCTCCTTTGACGTGTTTCCCGGATGCTGAGAAAACACTGGTGTTTGTTCCTGTATGTTTGAGTTCATTATTGTGAGGAGAAACTGTTGGCTCAATCCACGACTTCTTCTGGTCATTTCTCTGGGATCTAGCTTTCGACCACTCCAAGACTCCATGCTCTGGAATGGAGACAGAGCCGTGTAGCTGTCTCTCCCACCCTCTTTTGGACCAACAACTTCCTTCCGGCAACGTTCGAGATCCCACCTACGAAAAGCCAGTTACCACTTGTTAATTACTCTCGACAACAGGGGATAGCAATTCTATTTTTATATGCAAATAAAATACGGAAAAATCAATGTATTAATTAAGGGAAGATAGGTGACCTGGGTCATGCTCCTTTCTCTGAACTGTCTGGACTGAGTCAAAGCGATTGGCTGGAGTCGGGTGTCATTAAAACTGGAGGTCCGTCGGAAGTTTGGATTCTTATGATATGATCCTGTTGCTGCTTGTCCTCCTACTCTGCGTCCAGCTATCCCGCTCCTCTCAACCATCTCCACCCAGTCGGCAGTGCGGTCGTGCCATTTTGAGCTCGCCCCGCTTGGATGAGCAGAGACAGGAGGACCTAAGACCAGTTCCATTCTTGGACTCAGCCTGTCTGGAGTAACCCTGGAGGTCAGAGTTTGCAGCTGTGACAGTGGAGTTGCGATGCAAAAACTGTTGGTGTTACCCTCGTCCGGCAGGCCCAACGGGTGAGCAGAATGAGCCAGTTCAGTCGGTGTAGGAATGGGGGAGATGGTGGGTGAGGCGGATGTTTCTACCACTGTGTCATGCACAGGGCTTGAGGAGACATGGTACAGCTGTGTGGCATCTTTTAACCCTTTCTTCTTCATCTCTTTCAACTGCTGCTGTGCCAGCCGGTACCTGGAGAGACAAGGTGCTTTAGTATGCTACTACTGGGAAGTGACAAATAACAATTGATTGAAGTGATGGTAAAAATAAATCTAGACATACCCAAATATCGATGGCAGCACCTTCTGGCCTGTGGGAGAAAGTCTTTCTGGATCCTGTGAGAGCGGTAACACCACTGTCTGTGGGAGAGGCTGACTCCCTAATGAAGGCCTATCTTTCTGGTTACCCGTTCCCATGGATGGACCATGACCATCAGACAGGCTGGGCCTTTGGAGGCTATGGCCACAGATGGAAGCCTCGTCTGATAGTTTACGCCCCCCGGGCGAGTGCATGGAGCTTCTGTGGACCGAGCTGCACTGAGGGGTCTGGCAAAGCTTCCTCCACACAGTCACCACAACAGTAGCCATAATCACAGCCAAGCAGAGGGAAATACCAACCACGACGATCATGTTTCCACCCAGGGGTGCAGCTCCCGCGGGCAAAGTTGGAGGCGATGGAGAAGGAGAGGGTAAAACTGAAGAAGAACAAAAAAACAAATAGTCTTCAACATAGATCCAGTCTCATCTCATTACTTAAAGCTGGACGCAAACACAGAGAAGACATTGATTGTTGTACATTAAAATGTAAAGACTTTGCGGACAAAAGAAGCAATGAATGGTCTAAGATTAAGATTGGACTCAGAGAAACTGACCAACACAGTTCTCCAGGGAACATATGGACTGTTCCTTAACCATGCCGGTGCACTGCAACCCTCGCACACCGGAGGGCAGTAAACACTCACGCGCCCGTTCCCTAACTCCCTCTCCACAGCTCACGCTGCAAATACTCCATGGCTGCCAGGGTCCCCATGATTCTGCAGAAAAGAGTGAACATATCAGTAACGGATGCGTTGATTATTTTACAAATCTGCACACCAAGTCACATAACAATTATATGCCAAAGAACATAGCACATTACAATTCTAATTAAAGTTATCAGGAGACACGTGCAAGTTCGACACTGGGGGCCTGTTAAGGTAGAAATATTAAAAGGACGTGTTTTGATGCAAACAGAATACTGTTTGCCACTCTACTTTAGAGTGACTGAAGTAAAGTTATTTTAAGGAAACAGTTTAAACAAATGTATGATCATTAAATATCATCAAAGCAAAATAAAAATGATACTCATGATTATAATTTTCAACAAGCAACTGAGTTTCAACTGCAGCTGGATGTGAACTATGTGAATAATGTGTAAATATAAAACCTCACCTGCGCTCTTGTAAACCACCAGACAAGTCTGCGCTGGACTAGGGGATCGACTGAAGTTGAAAACAAAGCGAAAGCAATACTTGTTCCTTCCTGGGTAAAAGATGGAGCAGTTGAATTCTGTCTCATTTTCTCCCTGGGTCAGCCAGTTGAATGCCAGAGGAGGAGAAGAGGGCTCCTCTGTTCCAAACCTCATCACTGCAGAGGAGAGAGCCACACCTCTTCCGACACCTGCGTCACGGTAAAGCAGTACTTTCCCACTGATGTGCGCACATGGCGGGGTTATCATTTTGACAACCATCGTTCCCTCACAGCCGCTCTTGTATGCACTGGCATTTTCCACCAGCAGTTTATAGGAAAAGATACGGGACAGGTACAGAGGTCCAGAGCTCTTCACCTCCTGCACGGTATGAGGAGACTGCAGGGCAACTGTGATGAAGTCCCTTTCTGTGAAAGGGAAGGCACAGGACAGCTCAATGCTCTGGGAACGGAGGGGCTCAATTGGCAGCCGTGTGCGAGCTCGAATCTTGTCAATGCTGTTTCGTCCTATCTGGTTGTACTCCACGTAGCTGACTTCTAAAAAGAGAGCGGAGTCCATGCCGATGGTGCACGACTGAAAATGTTCATTGGTGGATATCCCAACCTGAAGAGAGGCAAAGGAAGAAATGCACACAGATCTATTCAGTAGTCTTTTTTTCAATGTGATGATAACACGAGAATGCTTTTTTGATTGTTTGTCTTGCCTGAAATGATCCTGAGAGGTTTCCTGCTCTATCCACGACAATGTGAAAGGTGGGCCATTGAACTTGCAGCTCTGAGCTCCACCACCAGGTAGAGCTCTCTCTGCGACCACCAATTGTTCCATTAGCATGAGAAACTGTGGTGATACTGGTCTGCCTCAGCAGGAACCGGAAAGCTCCTGCGTACAGGAAGCAGGAACAATCAAACTCCTCCCTACCGGCCCGTTGGTTGGTGGGCAGAGTCCTGGTCAAGACGGTGAGATTGGTTTCCATGTTGACTAGAGAGAGGGTCGTGTTGCTGATGGTGCTGCTGTTGGATTTAGTACTGAAGTCCACAAATACACTGCCATTGCTAAGGGCAATATGGAAGGAGGGCCAGATAGTGAGACCTGCAAAAGCTTCAAGAGAGAGTGTACAAAGGCAGCACATGAAAAACACCAGAAATGGAGAGAGATAAACTAACCCATTGTCCTCTTTTGTCCTCTTTAATCTTTAAACAGCTTTTTTCATTCGCCTTTGGTTGCCATAATTTAAAATGTCTAAAACTGTCCAATGAATACCTGGTCTGTAATGAAAACTGAATTCATATACGGTAATACACACAATTCAAGCTTTTGTTGGTTAGAAGAATTAGGATGAGGCTTTTTGACGTAACTGTGCATCATGACGTTCAGCTAATTATTTACAATCCTGTTGATGTACAGTAGCTGCAGTATCCAATATGAAGATTGTTTTCTGAACAGCCAAGATGGATCGAATTAGCTAAAAATAGATCAATAATAAACGCAGAAACAGCTGAGTCCAATAAAAAGTTGATACGCTGTAAAAATGGAACAATCCAAGCATCATGCAGATAATAAGTGAAGCGGCTATAATAGCAGCTTATCATTTTACACACACAGAAATGAGACAGTGTTTTCAGAGCTTTTAAACTGTGAAATATGTAAATCATCACAGAACAAAGACTTTAATTGAAAGGGGAAGGGGCTGGACCTATATTGCACTGCATCCACTCAGCAATCAAAGACTGTTTGAGTATGGATATTAATCCAAGATGCCAACACTCACCATATCCCATCAGCACTAGAAGGAAGGGCAGCAGTGAGACAGCCTGTGGCATTCCGATGTCTGTGCCTCCTTTTTCTTCCACACCACATGACCATCTTATCCCAGCATCTCTAACCACTATGAATCCGACAGAAAGAAAATAAAAAATAAAATGATTATCAAGAATCTTCAGAAAAGAGGGTTATTCTGAGGTATTACAAACAGGAAGGCTAGAGTATGAAACTGTGAACTTTTCTGGATTTATAGGTGCGTCTTCCCCTTCCTTTCGTCTTCACAATGGGTACAAGGAGCTGTCGTCATCACAGTAACTTTCCCAAAAGGCCTTTTGTTCAAAACAATGGGCCAGCTATTTGTTTGAATGCAAATGTTTTTTGGTCATCTTTTTTTGGTATGTCTTGCATTTCCTTTTTATTCTAAAATCAATCAGGGGCAGAAATCTTACCGTGTGACCCCTTTACTCACATCTCCCAATACCCAACAGCAATATAAAAGCAGAGTATTAACATGAAATAACTGTTGAAGATGTTTCCCCCCCTTAGACACGAGGCAAAGTTTTGCACAAACACAAAATGTTTGTGTGATCACTGGAATTCTGTCTGATTCATTCCTAGAATAGTTGAACTTGTGGGGAAATCATGTGCAATATTAAGTATTTTCTCTTAGGCATTCTAAAAATGAAGTGAATTATAATCTTTAAAGCAGCCAAAGATGCTTTACCTGCTTCCTGTTTTTTTTCTGCAAGGTATTTGATGGTCCCAGTGTTGCCCTGAACTGATATTTATTTGTTGCTGTCAAAATGTATTGAATTCTTTCAAATAATCAAAATCTATATGGAAAGCCACAAAATGATCTCACTCTCAAACATATAGATATGTATTTATATACAAATAACAAAAAATTCGAAGAAATCCGGTGGGATGAACAAGATCCTTTAATTTGCAATCTGTCATTGGACAGCAGAGAAAACCATCCCTCTTCCTGTCAGACTTTTGATATTTGGTAATATAAATATCTAGTCACCTCACTAGGTTTCGTCTAAGTCTCTAAGTATTTACTGTAAAAAAAAAAAGCAATTAAAAAGTACAAACGTGCTAATGTAAACATAATAGTCAACACGAAACTGGACTACCGGTTAAGAGTACCATGTGAGTCCTGATGTTTAAAAGACACATGAATAACAGTGATCCAATTTACGCACAGAAAAAAGTCCTACTCACACGTCGAGTGGTCTTAGCTCTTCACACTGTTATTCCGCTTCACGTCTCCCAACACAACGACACCATCAGCAACACTCTCTCCTCACAGCGAATTGTCTCTCCTCCCTGATGGAACACGAGTGGCACATTTCTGCGCTGCTGCGCGGAACCGTCCCACTGCGCCCCGAGGCGCGCGCAGCTCCCAGAGCGCGTGCTTTCAAGATCCCCTCAGTCACTTGACGACAAAGGGCACAGTGAATATCATCAAACTTTTTTTTCCCCTATTTCATCACAAACACTGAGGCACGATAGAGATTCAATGTCAATCCTTAACTCTCCCAACAGGAAAGCGCATGCAAAGCTTTAATTTAGCTCATAGTTATCTCATTGTTTTTTCTCTCTCTCTTTTGCATTAGAGAGACAGATGCGGATGAGAAGTATGCCAACGCAACAGTGTGATATGAGGTTTGGTAATTGCGAGACACATGATCCATTTTGCGCTGGAAAAAGGGGGGTTCATGAAAAGTTCAGTGTCGTGCAAAAAAGCCATGTTCGCAATGATCAGACCTGCCTCGACTCTGCTCCCACGATTTCCTCCACCAATTGAGTTCATCTACTATCAATAAGTGAGCCACATGGCAGGGTAATCTAATCAGCTCGCCTTCATTTTTCCTTTGGGTAGAGCCAGCAGAAAACAGGAAGCTTGTCTGGAGATGAAACAACTTTGACTGAACATCTCCGTTCTGAGAAAAGAAAAATAACCCCTCTATTTTGCTTGTAAAACAAAGAAAAGTTGCCCCCCCCCCCCACACCACCAAAGTTAAGTTCAGTGGAAAGTACACAATTTAAATATGATTATTTCATAAGGATTTTATCTGCTTATAACTCACATATTGCCTATTCTTTATATCAGTTAATAAGATAATTTAATCTTAATTCAGCTTTGGAATAGCCATGAATTCTATTTTTCTAATAAAACTGCCTCACATTGAGCATTGTGTCCAATTATACTTGTGCAAGGAAGCAGATGGACCATAGAATATTATCACGACTAAAACATTTTCTGCAGAGTAGCTTGTTTTGGTTTCACCACCCACTGCACCTGATGCATTTTTTTAATCATCTATATCTTTACATTTTATTTATAGATCTCTTTCCTTATTTTTTTTTTATTTTATTTCTATTCTATGATCTTTATTCGGTTTTTATTCTATGCACTGGCTTCACCAGGTCAAATGTCTTGTACGGGAAAATGTGTTTGGCAATACACACTGATTGTGATGTTGCCTGTTCAGAATACTGCTGAGGGCACAAACATAAAAGACTTACAAATTAGAGACTTTAGATTGTAGACTTTAGCATTGACATGCTTTTGGAGGATGAGACAGTGAGGTGGGTTTCAGCTCTGAAACATTTATTAGAGTAATGTTTAATCGGTGGCTAGAATGCACTACATGTATAAAGGTTTATGCAGAGTGAAACCAGAATGAGCCGAGAAAACAAACGTTCAGTGTATGACCTTTAGTAAATAGTCAAAAGTGTTTATTACAACGCACTCTTTGACAATGGATGTTATAGGCCCATACATTTTTGAGCGGTTACTTTACATATAGTATTTTAAGTCAAAATAAAAATGCATGGAATCTGACAAACATAAAAAATAACTTTAAAGGGGGGGAAAACAGCATAATAAGACCAACAAATAGACATCCCAACTAGAGTGGATGTGAAACGGAGTGGAACTTTTAGAGGATCATTTTGTTGGATCCTCAAACTGAGGAGACGTTGCAGCCCAGTTCTGCTGATAATATCAACTGTAAAGAGGTCAAAAAAGGTTTGGGTAGAATCTCAAACCCTCAACAGAGTCATCTCTACACAGGTGGCCCATCTTCTCAGCCAGTAACAACCTAAGGACAAGGGAATGAACACAAAACAATGAGGAAAAGTGACAAACGAGAAAAACTAGTGACAAAATGCATTAACAAATTAGCCTTAAGTTAAGTAGACACCTGATAGTGACGCCATTTCAACTATGTTGTCTGATATAAGAGATGCGTTTTTTCTATTAAAAAATGAGAAAACTCACCGCTCTTTAGACAGGAGAACAGAGAGACCCAAAAGTTTTGCAAACTCCTCCGCTGTCAGGGAGCCTTTATCTGACACCTGTGGGCGGCATGGATATATCAACCAATAATAAATACCAATAAAAAAACATAAATAAATGTAATGAATCACTCTGTTGTTTGCTGTTTGCAGACGTTGAAGCTTACGTTGTCCAAAGCTGATGCTATCATTTCCTCCTCACTGTGAGACTGCAGCTGGACCACCATCACACCACTGTCAAACACACGCAGCCTGCACAGGCGACAAGACTCATGAGAGGGGGGGGGGGATTTGTCAGGTACACAAGTCACTGGCCTCCTTCAGGAATCCATTAAAAAGGAGCAGATTAATAAAACATGAGCATCTTTTGCATTTATGCAATCCATTAGCCTCCTGAGCCGTCATCTGCACTTTCAGCATGTACTCACAGAGGTGAATGCGGGGCGCCTGATTCACGCTCATGTGTAGACATGAACAAGGCAACAGGTTTTTAAATCAAATCATGATAACAACAAAGATTAAGGAGCTACGTGCTAAGACATCTTTTTTCATTAATGTAAACTTGCTGCCTGCCACTTCTCCTATTGATTCAGTCCATTTAATCATATAAGTGGATCAGAGCTGCACAGCAATAGGGAAACATGTAATATGCTGTTATTATTGTCAGCTATATTGACAACTTTGTGACCTCTGATTTAAAAACAAGTACTCTAAAAGGTGTTGCTAAAAAGAGGGGTATGCTGGGCGGCATCACACTTTAGCACCTGTGCCTGCTGGTGAGATGGTGAATCCACGCAAAAGCAGAACTCAAGCTCATACTCTCCCTGTTAAGTTTTTTATTTTATTTTTGCATGTAAAGGGGTCTCACTTAGGTCCAACTTTCTGTTTGTGCAACAATTAAAAAATGAGGTTCCATGTCAACAGATTAATACTGAGATCGTGTTTGGTTAAGCTAACAGTTTGAGGGCGTTTGGATAAACGGGGAGGACCAATGGGGAAACAGGCCAGTGTTTCTTTGAATCTCTGGGAAGTAACAGGAAATGACAGCTGCGGAGGCCCGGACCCCCCCCCCCCCTTCCAACAACAGGAAGCCAGGCAGGAAGAGCCTAGCCTCTGTGAGGCCAGTGCTACACAATAAACACATAGCCTGGTCCATAATCAGATGACTGTAATGCACACACATACTTTAAACAACACAACAAAAATCACACTCACCTCACTGGGAGCTTCAGTTGCTCAAACACTTTGCAAGCATTTAACAAATCCTCTGGAGATAAAAGCTGAGGAAGTGGAGAAAAAAAAACATAGCCAAAGGCCGAAGGTTCCATTAATGAACCGATCACTGACTGTGGTCATATTACTGATTCCTTTTGCTACTTTATGTGAGTATTAAAAAAGAGCACCACCTCCATCCCTCTGGCACGGTTGACGAGACAATACACCTCTGTAAGAGCCATCATACCACCACGCTCCTGAAAAGGTACCGAAGAGAAGAGAGAGTTATGAAAAAGTGAAGAGATGGCAGAGGAAAAAAAAGGAGAGAAAGTTTCAAATTGGTTTACATATCGGCAGATGTTGAACACATGATGAATAAAGGCGTCCACCCACCTCTAAAGGAGCCTGCAGCATATCTCCAAGTTGTTTGGCCAGTTGCATGTGATAATGGGTCCCTGATCCATACGTTTCCCTGGTAACGGGGTTAGCTATACCCATGCTCAAAAGGTAGGACTTGAATCTTATTGTCTGCAACAGAGAACATTGACTGTTCCTCAAAATCAACTAATGTGAGTGCATTATATCTCCATTATGCTTTTAAGATTCTGAAACAGCTTTTGGCGTTTTTTACTCTGAACTTGCTGGTTGAATTCTTACCTCATCTTCGGTAATGTCGCCCTGCTTTTCTTTGATCTTGTTGGCAATAGATCTGGACAATTCTACCATCTCCTTGGCCTGTCAGTGAGAGAGCTGTTTAGTAAATTGCACTGCAATAATTCCTATATTTCCAGATACTTATTAGCTGTGATGTGTAATCTACAACTGTGTAAAATGAAGATTCTTTTACCTTCACCATCAGCTTACTGAGGTCCTCAAAGGCCTAAAAAAAAGACACTAAATGGTTACTGAAGCAGAAAAATGTTCAGAATGAAGCACACCACAAAACTCCATGGTTTATAGATAAATATTTAAGTGTCATTCCACCAAACCCACACTGCATCTTCAGCTGGGTCGTGTAGATGTCAAATTTTCTCCTGAAGCCTACTTTGGGTTTATGTTATTGAAACTAATTTAGGTGTTTTTTAACATACAATAAAAGAACAAGATTAGTGCAACAGTATAAACATACTGACACTTCACAAATTCAAATTCTACACAGCTTTTTTATTCAGCAACTTAAAGACAACATGTCAATAGCTAATAAAACTTCTTAAACTAAACCACTCTATATTCATGTTAGACTCTGAGTTGTTTCAGCCACAGTGACAAAGCCTCAGCTCTGTATGGTGAAGGGAGGCACAATATTGGAAATTAATATAACCTAGTTCGTATTTACCCTTTGATATCAGAGTTACACAGTTTCTCTGCTGGCACCTTATTCCATATTTCAGAACTTACTTCACAAATGTTTTTGTCTGTTTCTTTCCTCTTCTCTTCTATCTTCCTCTCAATGCCAACAATCCCCACTGCGCGTGTCCTTCCTGTCTACACGACCGAGAAGGAAAGAAAAACACACACAGTAAAACACAAAGGCACTTGGAGGGTTGGTAGCATGCCTTCAACGAGGAAAGGCAAAAAGGGGGAAAAGACTAATTCTAGTCAATAAATAAATATACATATAGTGAAACAAAAGGGACTTTGGGGAATTTTTATTTCATGGCGCTTTTTTTCAATAGCTCGGAGGAACACATAACCTTAATGGAAGTGAACTGACTGCCAATCCAAAAGAATTTATTTTAACAGTGTAAAGAAGAGCCCAACTGTTACAGGATGTAATTCTGATTCAAGGCATTTGAACATTGCAACACTTTAAGAAAAACAAAAAAAATTAAGACTAAACACTGCCACCCAGTGGTGGTGAGTTTAATCTACCACTGACACACTTGCAACAAATTTAGATTTAGACTTCAGCAAGTTTAGCTGGTACGCTGAACAGTTCCAACACCACATATCAGATCACAATAAGAAGTATCAGGTTGCAATAAAAAAGGTGTGGGTGCTTATTCTGCTTCTGACCTGAGGCCCAGTCCCTGTGGGGATCGGTTGTGAAGCAGGTGTGTTCTCCCACCTTTTCTGGGTCATCTCCTCTGTTAGTCTCCTGTGAAACTGAGAGTACACATACAACATGTAATTTACAGGAATCTAAAAAGTCCAATTAATAAAAGAAAATCACCATGAAATGAAAAAGTTATCATTTATAAGCTTCTTGTTTAAGCGGAACTACCTCTATTTGTCCGTGCTCTTTAAAGGACAGCTTGATGTGGGAGTACTTGCTGTTCTGGTAGGGACCTGGCTCCTTGTTGGTAGGTGATGGATGCAGGTGGATGACTATTTTTGCACTTTTGTAAAACAGAAAGCAGTAGTAAGAAGGTGTGTTCCCATTAACCTTTGGGCTTGCTAGTAAAAGTTCAATCTGGAATTTATATTTTAAATTAAAAAGATCAAATACCATGACGTTTATTAAGGAACTGTCACTGTTTTTAGATAGATAAATTATATCACAAAATATATGTACCTCTTTCCTATTCCTGCAGCCTGCTCCTCAAAATAGATGATCTGAGATAAGGGCATGGCAATGCAGCATTCCTTGAGGTTGGCAAAAAAAAGATACATTCATTAAATTTGGTTCCACCAAAAACATTTATTGCATTGAGACCAGGACTTTGACATCCCTTAATATTTCTGATGTTCTCTATTAGCATGACTCAGCGTGTAGTGTTTCTAGTAAACTGATGATAACCATCAAGGTCCTCCTGATTAAAGTAATGAATGTCGTGGCTGATATCAAGGAAAACCTCACATAAAGATGGTGTCTAACAGCTCTGACCAAGGAGGAAGAGCAGGCCAGATTTATAGATCAGCTTTCTTTAATCTAAACAGGAAAAGCTTTTGGTCATCAAAACCTTGGATGAGTAACATGAAACAGTTGTTTTTTTTAACAGGGTTATGACTTTTATTGCCACTTAAACAATACATCTAGGGCAGGAAATCCCCTTTCAAACAAGTCCACAATGAATATAAATACTTTAAACATTTATGGTCACTTTTTAGTGGTTTCTTACATGATTCTTAATGTCCCTCCAGATCAGTCGATGGGTGCTCAACAGGGCAACTCCAACATCCAGTTTTGCCTGTTCAATTACAGAAAAGAACTAAACGTTATTATTGGATTATGTTAACTAAGTTTTAATAGCTTTACATATAATTTGTGACCACTTTAAATATTAATAAGGACAACTGATTATATGAGCATAGTGTGTGTGTAATCAATATCAATTTCCTTTATATTGAACTTTCTTTTTATGGTCAAGAATGACATGTTAGCTGGAGTGTTATTTGTCTTACACCAGATAGTTTGAACATTATCGACCAAACATTACCTTATCATCTCCGTCATAAAGTCTGACACCCCGCTGCTGGATTACTAAAGTTTCATTTATTTCTAACAGGCCATTTGACCACGAAAATCGGTCCATTTTTATTTGTGCAACAAAGTGTTTTGCTCCGCTGCTTCCCTCATTTCATATTTACTTCCTGCATGTTGGCCTGGATCTGCCTGTAAGGAATTTATGTGAGTCGATTTAAGATACAAAATAAATCCAATTAACAACTATTTCTAATTATCTTGGGTAAAGTTTCAGTGTTTTTTTCAGATAAGGCTGCTTAAATATATTGAAAATTATTTTTTATTTTACATCATTTATTAAGGATGTTCTTTCGGATCAGCTGCATTAAAGGGGTCCTTTCGTTGTTGACGTAGTTAGCGCCAGCTGTCAAAAGCTAGCTACAATTGAATCTGTCCTTGCAAGTTCTTTTTAAAATATTTTATCATTCGTTTTGTATACTCCAATCTTTGATGAGGCATCACTCGAAAGTTACTTGAACTTAGCTTAAAAAGTTGCGCATATATCAGTTTGACTTTTTTGTGTCCTTTTGTCTCGGATAACTAGCTAGCTATCTAGCCTCTTGTTAGCTCCCGTAAAATCTGGTGTGGACAGGCTTTGCTTTGCAGAGGGCTTCTCGTGTTTAGAATTCATTGTAACCGTTTGGGAAACGAAGTTTCTGAAGTAACCAAGCGACTGAAAGGATCATGCATTTTCTAAGTGGCTTACAGCAAATACGTACAGCTTTAAATCGTGCTTTTTTGTAATTAGAAGGTTTTACCAGATATTTAAGTAAGTAAAATCATTTAGAGTTTAAGTTGAATGCATGTGTTATTATCTGGCATCGTTTTTTGTATTATAAACGGGATATTTACCATATACGTGGTATAGTTGTTAATCGTTGTCAGAAAGATTTGTTTCAACAACAAACATGGACAAGAAGTCATTTGACATCGTCTTGGATGAAATAAAAAAGGTACTACAGTGTTCCTCTTCTGTAAATTCGGAAATCGATCCTCTTCTCTTCAGTCTGTCTTAAGCTTTCCCCTCTATTTCAGTGTGTCCTCACCGACCAGCGGATCAGAGCCATTGAGCAGGTGCATGGATATTTTTCAAGTGAACAGGTACAGTCCAGAAACTATCACGTAACGTTTACCTCCATGTTTATCTGAAGCGAGGGGCTCCTTTTATTTTACAGAAGGCTTTTATTTTAATGACACAAAACAAACCTTATGTCTTAACTTATCTGTTAACCAAAACTATTATTCTTAAAAGTGTGTAAGTCAATGTGATGTGTTATTTGCAATTGTTTAGATTATACATAAATGTATTATTACAAATAACTAGGGAAACCCTGTTTTTGAACATCATAGCATGCATTGTGGTCTAATTTCTAATGCGTCTCTACTGCTGTAGGTGATGGAAATCCTGAAGTACTTCTCCTGGGCAGAGCCTCAGATCAAAGCGGTGAAAGCTCTGCAGCATGTAAGTGAAAACACTGGATCATGTATGCCTGTGTGTTCATATTTATTTATATATTGCCACCTTTTGATGTGCTCTTATTGCAATTTTTTGTTTTTCCTCTTTGTTTCAGAAAATGGTTGCAATTTCTACAACCAATGTTGCCAATATCCTGAACTGCTTCACCTTCTCAAAGGACAGACTTGTTGTCCTGGAACTGATAGCTTTGTGAGTAGGAATTTCCAACGTTTTATTGTGTTTGGATTTGCGTCTTTCAGTTGACAGCTTAAGTCAAGGGTGGAACATGTCTGTGTCCATATAGAAATATTTCAGATGCACAAAATTATCGTCCGGTGGAGGACCTGTTTCGTATACACTTGTCTGAAAAGAAGCGTGCTCGAAGGATACTGGAACAGGTGGGTTAACCTTTTAAAATAATTAACTTCAAACTATTTTTGTCCTTTTAAAAATTCATTCGTAAAAGCATATTATTTGAAATGACATATGTTACTTATGTAACAGTTTAATGTTCACACAAACAAGCTCAGTGAGCTAAATACTAATATGTTACTGTCATTAGGTTTGTAAGGTTGGATGCAAGGCTCCCATAGAAATGATCTCGTCCTGTGGAATGATACCGGGAAATCCGTATCCTAAAGGCAGACCCAGCCTTGTCACTGGGACGTTCCCTGTAAGTGAATTAAAAAAAATAAATCAAAAGCTGCTGAAAATCTGTTACAGTAATACATTTTTTATTAGATTAATTGAATCAGAGTTTCTTTTATAGGCAGTGCACATTTTTGTTGAAATACAGATAAAAGAAATGTAATTTATTTTTGTCAGGTGGCTCAAAAAAGCATGGCTCTTTATTTAGAAATGTGATTTGCTTTCATTACAGGGAATTCCTCCAATTAAAAAAGAAGGAGAGAAGAAAGAGGACTCTAACAACATGGAGGGGAAAGGAATTGCTTCCCGCATTATAGGACCATTCAAGCCTGTAAGTAATAAAATAGGAATAGCCAACTGGGAGGATGTTTTAGTGTCAGGGTGCCCCAAGAGAAGACTCATGATGGAGAGACAAGTCCATTAATTAACGCACATGACTTACAGTGATTAAACCAGAGCCTGCGCGTAAAGCAATTTTTCATTTGGAAGCAACTGGCTGTTCTGAATGGATTTGCATAAGAGTGGTCCGTGTTTTATTACTTCATTTAGATATCAGAACTAATATTTGCTAACTAATATTTTATATTATTTGCTTCAGAAATATTAGAAATAACTAATGTGTTCTGGATGTTTTTTTAATCTCTCGTTTTTCTTTTTGTAGTTTCCGTCCTCCTACAACCCTCATCGGCCGGTTCCTTACCCAATACCACCTTGCCGACCTCATGCCACCATTGCTCCGAGTAAGAAGCAACAGTAACACACTTCGGTCTATCATTTCCTGCCACATAATCAAAGCTGGGCACTTTTCGTCACTGTCATCTTGGGATTGGTAGAGACACAGTTAACAGTGGGATGAAGTTTGGGATTCTTATTTGTGTGTGACCGTGTGGCGGACACCTGTTAATATTTGCGACTGCTACTCAGGTGCGTACAACAACGCAGGCCTTGTTTCTGTGGGAGGGGTAATAACAGCCAACGTGCCCCCTCCCCCCTACAGCGCTACCCACAAAGTAGCAGGTACGGTTCAGTCAAAGGACGCGTGTGCTTGTGTGTTTGATGGCAAATTTGCATCAACTCGAAGTCTGCAGCCTAACTTGCTGGCTTGCTCTTTACCTTTGCTTTTCCAGTTTACAACTTTAACTGACAAATTTCATTTTTCATTCATTTGAGCACACTGATTGACCAGAAAAACTCATGATTTGTAGTGATATTTCTATTTGTCATTTGTAATATTTTTAGTAATTCTCCTCCGCAGGAGGTGTTTGTGTAGAGAAAACAATGTTTAAATAAGCAGAAAAGTACAAACACCACCATGGGTTTACCTTCTGAACAAGAGCAGCTAAGTGAGTGGGTTCACTATCAAAACTATCTTCATGTGTAGCAGCAAATGTTGTCTGTTTTTCTGATTTCTGGTCAGTCAGAGATTTTGTGAGGATAAGTTTGGAACTTCACTCACAAAAAAGTATCCAAACTAATCCCAGTAGTCTTCTAAACTGGATTCATGCTTTTTGCTGGCATTTAACCTGTACCACCTGGGATAACACTGCTTCTTTTTTGTTTTATTTCCTCATCGTTTGAATGCACTGCCTAATTATTTTGAGCCCATTTTTTAACAAAGAAATACAACCTTGTTTATAAAAAAGTTGGGACAGTAAATACTCAAACAGTTGATAGATTTAACAGGTTCACTTAAGTACAAATCCTTTTTTTTCTTTATTTCTTTTTGTGTACTGCTAAGAATCTGGATAGCCCTCCCCTCTCCAGCCCGATGGACACTGTATTCAGGGTTTTATAATGTGACTCATACAGAACTGTTTCCCACTTTATCTAAGAGCACTTAGACTGAAAAAGTTGGTGCATTCACTGACTGCTCTTAAACAATTACATTTATTTTCTTCTTATTATTGTACTTTGTATTGACTTATTTATTTCTTACTTAAACTAGAAATGAACAAGAAAGAGAGCATTAAAGCAACTTTTCTTGAATATGACTGCTTTTACCATCCTTGTTTCTCAGTTTGAAACTTTTAGGACACCTCATTTAACGAAACCCCTGATAAGTTAAAAATAAAACGCACAAAAAGATTTAAGTGCTTTCTTTTTATTACTTTGAATTAAATACAAAATGTGCCCTGTTTTTCTGTTTATTTAACAAAAATCCCAGCTTTTTATGAAAATAGAGTTGTATCTCGTTTACAGCCTTTGGGGAGATTTTTTGTCTTTCTATACTTAAAAGACCAATTGACAACACGATGTGAGTTATATTGAGTATTAATGTAAGGCTGGCAGTAAAGCAGCCACCAAATACACTTGAGACACATTCCCTGTAAAGGTAAGGGGATGCTTTAATCCTGACAGCTGATTTGAGGTTGTAAAGTAGAAGGTGATTTGCACGTAAGAATGTTCTCTGGCTGTTCCTCCTTTCTGTTCTTCTTTATGCTGTATGCGAGTCGGCTGGCTTTCTTGGCTTTTTGGGTTTGATCTGTCCTGCAAATGAAACCTGCTTTTAACAAAACAATACAGATCATCACAAATATCAATAAATTAGTGACACTCTTTGTTGTGATGAAATCAAACCATTTTCTTTGTCGATTCTAACCTTCCAGCAGATGCTAGTCAGTATTTATTATTCATTCATGACTTTCTTACTTGGATTCCTATTCTGTCTAACCTACTTTTGCCCCCAGGTTATGCCAAACCAGGCAATCCGCAGAACACCACACCCGGAGTCAACAGTGGGCCCCTTCTCATTCCTCATGGCTCTACGCCCTCTACTCCGGTCCCCCCCCAGTCTTCACCTGCTCAGCCGACTCCCACTACCCCCATCACACCAGTCTTCCCAGGCATGGTGCCCTCACACAACCCTAATGCCCACTCACCCTCACCAGCCCCATCTCCATCAGTGATCAAAGTGGGCCCGCAGACCCCCACTGGCCATGCCACACCCACTCCTATGTCTGTCATTAAACCCCACACCCCCTCAGGCACCCCTTGTGGAACCCCTGTCCCCGGCAGTGGGGGCTTCTGTCCCTCCCCCTTCACCGCCCTTTCCCGACCAGGCACCCCGGCTGCTTCCCGGAGCAGCCAAGACTCTCTCTCTCAGACGAGCTCCATGGCCTCAGCTCAGCAGAGGGCTTTTTCCCAGCCCGCAGACCACCAGTCAGGACCAAACTTCCTTGGCATGCACCCGCAAGCAGGTAACTTTCCTGGATCAGTGATTCGAAGCTACACACCGTCTGGACCCTCATCTCTCAATCCGGGATCTTCCACCCCAGTGATTCAGAGCTGCTCCACCCCAGGCCCCAGTCCGAAGCCCTCCCCTGTTCATCCGGCTCAGGCCGTTGTAGCCGGAGCCCTAAACAGACACTCTGGGGGTAGTAACAGTGGCAGTAGTAGCCCTGTACCCTCGGCTTTCAAAGGAACCTCTCGTTCTGGTACGCCATCCGTCGGCTCCCTCGTGGCCCCAGGCTCAGCTCAGGCCGCCCTGGCGCGCTCACTGGGTCTGTCGAACAGTTCAGTTTCGCCCCAAGTCTCTCTCCCTAGTCCTGTCGCCATCACTGGCCTCCAAGCGCTTTCCTCCAGCCCAGTACAATCTCATTTTCCAGGCATGTCCCCTTTTTCAACCCTGTCGTCCTCCCTTCCTTCTGCCTCCATCAATTCAACTGTTCCAGCAGTTTCTCCTACCACCAGCATGTCTAACCACCCCCCCACCTCCATCTACCCAGGGTTGGCTCCCAATGCCCCCAGTGCAGCCTCCCCTTTTGGTCTAGGCCTCACCTCCGCAGCCTCTATATTCCCAGGCCTTCCGCCTGGAGCCAGCCCCTCTGCGTTCCCAGGGCTGGGCGTCTCAGCGGGGCATGGTTCTGGGAGCCCTGTGTTGTCTTCATTCATGGGACTCTCAGGAGTCCCTCCATCCTCAGTGGCATCAGTGGCCCCGCTGCAGGCAGCAGCAGCAGCCGCGGCCGCTGTTGGGGTTCCCTCGTCATCACCGGTGTTACCAGGGTTTGCATCGGCCTTCAGCTCCAGTTTCCAGCCAGGGTATGTCAACTTTTAAAGCAGCCACGTGCAACTTATCACCTCATGTAAGCAGAATAACCTCTTGTTGATTTTTTTTAATATAATTTGTTTAGATTTACACAAATTTGCGGGACAGTTATCTGTAAAATTAGGGCCATTGCATAACTTCAGTTTGCTTTTAGACGTGTCCCACTACAGTAAATGTTGATAACAATTATCACTAGGTCAAGTGAAGCATGTGACACTGACTATGTCTTGCTTGTAAAGTTGTTACTAAGAGCCATAAATGATGTTATCAATTTTCCAGTTGTGTTTGTATGGAATAAGTCAAATACCGGACCCAGACAATCCAAAGTCCACTTGTTCCACTGCTCTGGGCTGTCAGCAGTAAACTTTAATTAGTTTTTGTCTGATTTCTTTAACAGCTCTAAAAGGGGATTTAAAAATATATATTTAGTTCTGTGTTGTGACAGCAGCTCTGTGTGTTCCAGGTTGAGCAGTGGACTTCAGCCTCCAGGAAGTAGTGGGTTTCCTGGCTTGCTGTCGTTCCCTGCAGTAGCGGGCTTCTCTCCCTCTGCCTCCCCCGGGGCTCTTGGAGGCCTCCATAACCCAACCATGCAATCAGCTCTGCTGCAGGTAGCTATCGAAACACACTCCAGGCTGGTTCAGTCCTGTGGTAGACAAACATCTTCAATTTTGTTCTTCTTTCCAGGCACACCCTGCATCTGCTTTGGAAAGCTTTCCTCCTCAACCCAACAGTTTCCCCAGCTACCCTCCGGGGCCAGGAAATCCTTTCCCACTCCAGCCAGGACTACACCCACAGCTGGGTTGGCAGTGAAGCCTACATTTACACTTGACGCATTGAGTGGACTTGCCCGCTGACCTCGGTGGTTCACCCTGCCACACCACCTAGAAGGTGCCACATTGTTAGCTTTGAACCCTGGAAAGCACAGGATAACAGTACCATTACTTAGAATGTTGCAGGAAAACGGCTTCCTACCATAAGAGACACTACCTTGGATAAGTAGGTGGGGGGGCATACTTGTCGTCAAAGATGTTGGGTTTAACAGATGGGCTGTCTGGATGCAACGTTTGGTAGTTTTTAATCATGCTTATGAACATTTATTAATCAATAATGAATTATATAAAATTCTGAAAACAAAGAGATTTGACTTTACTGTGACATACTACTTGGCATCCTGCTCCACAGGAAAGGAAAGAGCAAATTAAATGATCTCCCTGAATTTGTGGTTATACTGTGACATGAACCTTTTCAGTGACTTACAGTTTACTGTACATAGTTGCATTTTCACATGGATTTGCCATAAATATTTTTTATTAACGTGCTCTATCAGGGGTGGAAATGTTCTTGGAAATTGCATTTGGCAGCTTCTCTCTTGTTTTGTTATTTGTTTGAACAATTTTTTGGCTTTGAGCCTTTTACTGTGAGATGTATTTAGTCTGTTTACAAGTCCCCCCCTCTGTTACTGCAGTATTTAATTTTACATACTGTACTTGAGTGTTTTTCTGACTACACATCTATTTTTTTTAACAGATTGATGGACTTGAAGGATACAGTAGTTTATAGCTATATTCTTCATTTATGTCTGACTCAAGGGAAAACTGTACTTGCTAAATTTATTGTACACAATTGTACAGGGAAGAACTCTGGTACTGTTACCTGATTGGTTGAGTGTAATACTCCCCCTCCCTTTTTGTGTTTTTGTATTTGCATCCATTCTTATATCCCAGTAAACTGCTTGTTGCTGTAGGTATTACTGTATTGGTAGTCGTATGTGAAACGCTTTGGATAAATTTACTGGAGCTGGATGAATTGCTGACACAAAGCTTGTTTGAATCATTGATAATTATGAAAACAACCAGATGTGAGATACCAGATTATGTTTCTCTTTTTAAGATATAAAAATAAAACGAAAGAAATGTAACCTGCTTAAACGTTATTTCTTTAAAAATAATATAAATCCATTAAGGGACAGTCCCTTTTGAAATGGGGAAAAGACACAAATAAGACACACATTCATCACAACCTCATAAATAAGCAGATAGTGAATTTTTAGCTGTTGAAGAATAATATCATGGTAAGGGGATTGCTCATAATGATTTTTCTGTCATTACATTGCCAAAACATGAGTAAGATAGGTTTTACAATCAAGTTGCAATTGGCCTAGTGTTTTATGCAGTGCTTATCAGCAGCGTCCATAATATTGCTCAACACAGGCAATCAGTCATCCAAAGTAGTCACATGGATGTTTCACCATAAGAAGCTGCTGAAAGAATTTCCATTGATCCATATTTTCCTATTTTTTCCAATTTCCACGCTATCTTGAGCAAAGTTATTAGATTATCTGGATTTGCTGAGCATTTGCACAGAAAGATGTGCCACTGTTTAAAAATCTGATAACGGTTGCAATTTCATGGACAGGAAAGTGTTTTTTCCCTGTCCAATGTATTTGCTGTGTACTATGCTTTATTTACCATGGGAAACCCAAAGCCAAGGACATTCTGGAATACATTGTACCTCTGAAATATTTATCAACTGAGTCCTTGAACTTATTCTAAATTAAAAAAATCCATTTTCGATCCAAATTGAGGTAAAGTATGACAGAATGTAAACGACAAACGATAGTTAACCTGCTTTGTGTGGTCTCTTTATCTCTCGCTTTAAAAAAATATATTTTTTGCTTTCTTTACTTTCTTTAAATATGTATTAATCACAGGCTTTCATCAAACATTGTGTAAGTATTAAACAACAAGAAAAAGGCTGTTTGATTATTTAAAGATGTGAAAGATATTAGGATCTCTGAATCAGTTACACTATGAGACACACTGTGAGCAGTTATGTAGAAATATCCCAGTGGAGATTTTCTTCAGTGCCGAGTACTTGCAGAGAAAAAGGAGCCATTGTATGTTATAAACATCTACAAATGGGTGATATTTAATGTATTTCATATAATTTCATCCAGAATTTCATCCATGTAACATAAATTAAATTTCCATTTCACACATATTCCTGATTTTACAACTGGTAAGATTTTCCATCACTTGTTAGCATCTTGATAATGGCACTGTTGATGATCAACTCAGAGCAACAGCCACACCCACAGTTAAAGCCTTAATACACCGCAACGTTACGGCTTTAAAACGCTGGGTCACTTCCTCTTGGTTAGACACACTTCAGCAAACTCTATCAACGGACTTCCTGGGAGCAGCTCTAACCAGTACATGGAAATGGAAGACCATATGGAAAGCCAGAAGAGAAGAGGACAGAGCAAAGAGGATTTAATATGTAAGCTGAACCACTTTTTCTTTTTATTCTTTTGAGCTCTAACAGGTTGTTTTACATACTCAGAGTAACACTTTTACTTTAGCCCCTACTCTAACAAAGGCGGTGTTAACTTTTTTATTTGAGTATGGTCTCCGTGTTCCAAGTTTAATCATGAGTTATAATAGTTTATTGTATTTTCTTTTTAGATCAGATCATGCCTGTGCAAATGGGAAGCAACCACAACATTAGGCATTGTGTAACATCATCGTCATAGTGACAGAAATCACGTGGAGTAAGCAGTCCCACAAGCATGTGACGTGTTTTTGTGCATCTGCCTCAGTTTAAGGGAGTCAAAGGGAGTGCTGCTCATATTACAATGATAAAGAAATATAAAATATACATGATTCCAAATTTGCTTATAGATAAGAGAGCTGTTGGAAAGTATCATGTGACTTTTGCAGCTGTTCACATTGACTTTACATGCATTTTACTGCCCAAACCAAAAAGACAAGAAGAACAGTTTAAAAAAATAAAACAAACATATAAAAGAACAAGAACAAGCTTCCATAACAATAGCACAGAACATATTTTTTTCTTTGTTTCTTTATGTAGTGTAAGATCTAATCTTATTAACAGAGGATTTTACCAACTTAAACTGATTTGCAGTTTTCCATTAACAGGAACAAATGAATAAAAAATCCATTTTTTTTGCGGTCAGTAATACAAAATACATTGAGTTCAGTTGAATTCAGTGAAACAACAGGAAATGTGATTGATTTCCTGTGGTTTTAGAGAGAAAGACGGTTGATGGTTTTTATTTTTGTATTTTGTACACATATGTATATCAGACCACATGACACAGGAAACCACAACAAATGCTCAACAGTAAATGTAACTAGTGCTTGGCAGTGAAATCTAATGTGATTTGAATTCCATTATCATAAAATGACTTCAAAGTGAAATGCAATCGGCTGAAAGCTGTTCTTTGCCACAAAATGCTGTACAGTCCATCCACTCATTCTATTCACTTTGATAATTAGTGATACGCCAGAGATCACGGTACATGAGTAAACATTTCACTGTTTGCACTGTATGGGAGAGATTCTCTGCATGGAACAATTCAAATACACCATTATGATGTCAAAGAAAATGTCAGCACAGGTGTTTACACACCTCTTATTGACCTTTGGTTCTTCAGGGGAGCTTATTTGCTCGGCTGATGAACTATACACTACTTACGCACACACACATATATAGAAACGTATATGTATATATGATGCGTCTTTTCTATGATAAGACTTTTTGCATACGAATGTTGAAATACATTCTTAATACCATCATCCCTACCACTTGGTAAGGGGTCTGAATGATTTCAAGACTCATCTTGCCAGATTCAGATCTTTATTCATACATGCATGCATGCCGATCTACCAATTCCCAATTCTTACATTTACAGGACGCATGATTGAATTGAATTGACTTAAAACAAACACTATTGTCTCTCCCTTCCTCTTCAGCTGAACGGACTGGATCTTTGGGATGCATTGGTTGGTTTATAGTCATTCTGTCTGGACTGTTCACATTAACCCTCTTTCCCTTCACGATCTGGTTTTGTTTGAAGGTGAGTACCTCATTGGGCAAAAAAGCAAAAGCACCTCTGTAAATGTGGGCTAAGCGTGTGCTGTTTCACGGTTTGCAGATTGTTCAAGAGTACGAGCGAGCTGTGATTTTCAGACTGGGCCGCATCACAGACAGGAAGCCAAAAGGACCAGGTATATTAACTACTGTTTTTTGAGGTCGTCTGTAAAAAATACTAAAAGAAAAGAAAATGATTTGTTATGATTTGTTTTTTTAAATGAAGGGCATTTGATTACATTGTTCCCCTTTTGTATACAGGAATTTTTTTCGTTTTGCCATGCACGGATTCCTTTGTGAAAGTGGATCTGAGAACAGTTTCATTTGATATCCCACCACAGGAGGTATGTGACGCATTTGGTTAAAGCAAACATTTTCAGCTTCATGAAATGATTTGGTAGAAGACATACAAGACACATGAACTTGAAAATATTTTTTTCCCCCAGATTCTGACTAAGGATTCAGTCACTATTTGTGTGGATGGAGTGGTGTATTTCCGCGTCAGTGACCCAATCGCCTCTGTGGCCAATGTGACAAATGCAGACTTTTCTACGCGGCTGCTGGCTCAGACCACCCTCAGAAATGTCCTGGGTACTAAGAACCTTGCAGAGGTGTTATCAGACCGTGAGGGCATCGCTCACAGCATGCAGGTAGAAAACAGAAAATCTAGTCCACACTAAAATCTGTTGTTCTCTCCCACACATGACAATTTCTGACGTTTTTTTTTATAACACTGCTTATTCAAATCACGAAATGTTACATTTGAATGTTTGAAATTTGAAAAGAAATGGTAATGCTATGAATTTTCAAGCAATTCTTTTTCTTAAGTCAGTGCCGTTGACATTGTGCAGTGTGATCCAATATAAAAGCATAAAGCTCTAAATGTTGCAGGAATCTCCACTGATCTCATGAAAATCTTCTCACAATACAATAGAGGACAAGATATATGTCTATTTTTTAATTGTTTAGTAAATGCTTTAAGTGTTCTTTTTTCTAAAAATGTTTTTTTGTGCGTTTAATCTGACTGGTAATTCTCCAAATGAACCACAGACACTCAGAGGAGGTCATGCCTTTCATTCTGAGGTACATGAGTTTTTTAATGATCTTTTCCAGTCCAATTTGGATGAAGCCACCGACAACTGGGGCATCAAAGTGGAGCGTGTGGAGATTAAAGATGTAAAACTGCCACATCAGCTGCAGAGAGCCATGGCTGCTGAGGCAGAGGCTGCGCGAGAGGCCAGGGCTAAGGTCAGCACAGCTCGCACAGCACTGTCACACACAGAAGAGATTGCAAAAAGAGCACAATCCTTTATAAATGTGTGCCTTAATGCATTTTTCCCCCCACTGTTATAGGTCATCGCTGCAGAAGGTGAGATGAATGCATCGCGGGCCCTGAAGGAGGCCTCCCTCGTGATTGCAGAGTCCCCATCAGGCCTGCAGCTTCGCTACCTGCAGACTCTGAACACCATCGCAGCAGAGAAGAACTCCACCATCATCTTCCCGCTGCCCATAGATGTCATGGCGCACTTCATGAAGTGAGGTGGCTTTGTCGACGAAGGATCAGTGTGCTAAACGGAAGTGATGAGTGAACATTTCTGTTCTGCCAAGATGCAGTACAAAAACTCTTTTTTTTTTTTTTTTACCATGAGCATTCCGAGAAGCATCTCTAATGTTTGTGAAATCAAGATGTGATCAGGCAGGTTTTTTTTCTAAAAACATATTTTTTATTTAATTTAGAGCTGTTTATTTGTCATTTTTATTTTGAGTCATTACATTTGTACCTCAAGCATCAGTAAAATCCAATGCAAAAATATATTGAAGTTTTTACGAATTGACATAACTGTTTTAAATCAGACTTAAATGTAAGCTTGTGATATTTAAGGTAAAAAGAAAGAACTTTTTCTGCACACTTATCTTTTTGTGATTCATCTGATTAACTTACTTAACTCCTTCACTGATGTGTTCAATGATGGTCCACAATCATTCTTCCATTATTTTGTTCTTTTTCTTTTCCAATCTCCAAGTCTAAGTCAAAATATACAGAAATGTTGCTCACTAGAACTCACAACCAGAGTACTGTACTGTGCAGCAAAACAGGCTTGAAATGGTGACTGAATGCAAGGTGTTCTTCAATTTTCTTAAATATTTTATTAATGTTCTCCTCAGACAGTACAAATAAAAGCATCAACATACTGTGTTTACATTACATTGATGAACTATTCTCTTCCTCATCTTCTAAGTCTCCTACACTAAAGTTACATTTGAACCTTCACAAATGCAGAGAGGTAAAAGAAGAGCAAGGGAGAACAAGAAACAGCAAAGGCAGAGAAAACATGCTTCTATTACTCTGTTGATGCACTAAGACACACCTCATGTTGTAAATGTATTTACATTCATACATACAATCAGTGCCAGAACATACAAAGCTTGTCTCTGGGCCAAAATTCAAAAGGATCAATAGATTACCTCCACAAATTCAAATTCTAGAGACAAAAGTTAGAAGCCATGGAAACATTTGCTACGGCAAGATTTGAGTGTCAACATGGGTGAATTTATCTCCCAAAAAATTACATGGATTCTGCGGGGAGGCTCGACCAAATGCTACATACCTAATGGCTGCTACAAAGTGGTCACACAAGAGGTTGTTCAATATTAGACAAAATCACACAAATGACTTGTAAAAAAATGCTGTCATGTTACATTTTAGACATTCGGCGCATAGTGAGACAAAGATGTCCACAGGACACATTGAAGGGTCATTACAATACCAGTTCAGTATTTAGAAACTGTGGTCCGTTTAAAAGTGTAGTATTCATTAAAGATGAAATTTAAAACTTCACGCTGTCGTTTGTAAACAATAGTTTAGTTGCATCATTGCAGATGGTAGTTTTGCACCTGAGGTGACCTTTAGGAAAAGCTTATGGGACTATTTAGGGATATGGTTGAACTTTAATCCGAAACATCTGAAAAAAACTGTGACTTTCTGATTAGTATTTTCATACAAATGATCAAAGACATTCTAAATATCAATGGTGTTCATACAAAACCAGTGACAGCTTAGATACAATTCTACTCTGTACTTGACATTCTTTTGTTGAAAAGCGTTTAAACTGTGTACGCATCATATAAGATAAGTAGAAGGTTAATGTAAAGATGCGTTTTAAAATACTTTTTCAAGGCCATGAAAAGTGCTGGTAGAGCAAGGTGATGTAAAAGTTTAGGGCTCAAAAGTTGTGAACCCAAAATAGTTTTAATCGATATGTCCCTGACTCACCGGGATGTTAACATTCAAATTAGAGTTGCTGGTTAATTTCAATTTGCAGAAGAGGTAACCAGGGGGCTGTCTATGTAATTTTATGGACTTTTTCCAGGCCTCCATTGTGAAATCCCATAACACCAACCCACTCGCTCTCATGCATCTATTTAACTAATAACAATACATCATTATTGTTAAGTCATGCTCCTATTCACAATTTAACTGCCAACACAGACTTACTCTCATTCTTTCTCTCTGCCATTCTCTATTTACAGTAGTTTATTTTATGTATATCTTAAAAAGCTTTAATTCTGTCAATACATGACTTTATTAAACCTTAGACTTTACATTGTAGTAGTAACCGTGGTGTAAGTCAGGGGAAAGAGACCATGAGAGTAAGTTAGTCAGCAGAGTACAGTACAGGAGGCAGCTGACACATACTGTATACATTAATATAAGTTATTTTTATATACCAGTTGTTGGTTTCTCTGGTGTATTTTACAGAAGTGAAAAATTATTTTGGGATGTTTCTAGACAGTGCTTATGCTCTATTGAGCTAAACCAAAGAAATTCAGTATTACTAATCAATAAAAATTTAGAAAAGAATTCCCTGAAAATATTTGTTTTTAGCACACTTAGAATTCTGTAGCTTGCTGAAGTATACACAAACAGTACAAAAGATCAGTCAGAGAAACAAAACCAGATTATTAAAAAAAATTGAAGAGGTTAACACAGCTTTAGGGAGGAATACACAAATGGCATACATGACAGGGAGGTAAACCTGCTTTTTAAAAAACATTTTACATAGCTTATAGAAACACATATCACTAGACAATCCTCTAAATAGTTATATGCAAAAGCTTGTGCATCCATGAACAAAATACATAATTCACAACCTGTGTACCTAACTTTTACAAGATATTCATTTCATCAACTGACTTTGTTTCAGATGGGGCAGTTTTTGATGCTGGGCTGTATCTCTTTCCATTTTGAATCAATTATGTAGTTTGTCCAGGGGTGCGAAATGTTTGCATATAACTGCCAGTGTGCTGGCAACGTTTGGATTATCTGCTTTCTCCAGGGTTGCGTCGCATATTCCACTTGTGTCCCATGGGAGATATTTTCAGTTACAGACACCATTTTTTCCCCTCGCACCTCAAGCTTAATAAGTACATCAGAGCAGTAAGTTTCACATTTAAACTGGAAGACATCCACAGTACATGCCTGCTTAATTTACAAAACACTGTAAATAAATCAATTACACATAAACATCACGTTATAAAGAAATGCACAACATTTATAACAGCGACTCTTGTGCTAGGTTTCCCCTTAGCGTTGAACTACCTGGTATCTGGGTGATTTTGTCGTTGCTGTTGAGACACATTAAACTCCACATTCCCACTGAGGTAAATTCAAGATGCCAGACGTAGTTTTTGCATGTTGACCTGAGGGATCCCAGAAGTAAAGAGTAGCTTGTATAGTGAAGGAAGACCTGGCAACGTTTTAAAAGAGTAAGTTCTTTGTATTTAGCAGGAAAAATGGCTAGGGATCCAAAGAGGTTTGTTCCATGTTTCAGCACAGGACTAATTAGAAGATGTTAAGTAGACCTTGTGAAGGCTAAGGAACAAAATTTGATTTGCTTTACAAACCAATTCTAGATTAAAGTCCAGTATAAATAATAGTATAAATAATAATTGGTCGCTCTCTGCTGGTGAGGTGGCAGGACCGATAATAAGGCGCTTTGTTAGGGATTTTTTTCATGACAGAAGAGAACTGAGAGTAAGAAATTATTCCAAATGACAGAAAATAGCTTATTTTACCATTCGGTGTGGTTTTACCACGCCACTTTCAATTTCTGGTGGCAAGAGTGTGCTCCTCCCCAACTCTACCGTTCTACTTGTATACACTCATGCAGACCCATGTAGATGAGGTCCATCTATCAACACACAGTATAAACAGTCTACACTAAAATACTAGATTAACAGAAATGTGTATCTGGGGCAAAGATGCAAAGACAGAATATTTCCTATCATCGTATTTCTGTGTTTTGCATGATGGGCACCGCGATGGTATTGGGAGGTTCAAGAGTGTTTTACCCCAGAGCTTTGACAGTGTCAGTCTAGTTATTCCTGTGATTACTGGAGGGCACAGCATTGTTATGAGACATGTTTTGCAATTCATACTGAAAAGAAATCACGATTAACTCTGTAAAGACGTGACACAAGCATTTGAATTACAGCGATCGACAGAGGACCTGTGTGTGGGTGTGCCTGGGCCGGGGGAGTAATTGTGATTAGCGGCCGCCCTGTGGGTGGGCGTGGCTGGTCCAGGGGACAGGTTTTGATTGGTGGCTCTGTGAGAAGGGGAGCAATACTGAGGCTGCTGAGGGAAGCCGTGGCAGTGGGTGGGGGACTCGTACCCGGCCACAGGTGAAGAGGAGAATAGAGCGGAGGAGGGTACGGGAGAGGAGGAGAAGGAGCGGTGCAGCGGGGAGGAGGCGGGGGACATCAGTGGGCTGGTCTGGAGACGCCACAGCAGCTCCTCGTTATTCCGGCTCAGGCGCTTCTTCTCAGTGCTCTCCTTCTCCACAGACTCATGCAGATTAGCATTCTCCTCTGACAGTTGCCTACAAGGAAAACAGCACAGAAAAAGTTTTATACTGAAAAACTTTTGGTGTTGTTGTTGTTGTGTTCTCCCAAATTTCATACGCTTTATAAACTTTATTATCAAGGCTCAAAATGTCCACTCTGAAGATCTGCCCTCAAGTGACCTAACCTATAGTGAAACACTTGACTGGGTGCGTCTCACCTCGACAAGACGAGGTTCTTTTCAATACGAGCTTTCATATCTTCATTCTGCTGCTGCAGAACCTGGACCTTCTCCTCGAGGAACACGTTCTTTTGGGCCTGCTCAAAAGCAGAATGCAAATACAGCAAAATCTGTTATTCAGCAGACGCAAAATACACACAAGCGAGCATGTGTGTACTTTTGGATATACCGCAGCAAAGCTCATGGATAGCTGGCTTATTTGAGCCTACCACTTTCTCCAGGTCAGAAATCTTCTTCTCTTGCTGATGGATCTGCTGGTTCTTCATTTCAACCACCTCCTTCAGGCTCTTCAGGTCCTGCTCGATGTGTTGGTATGGAGCTAAAGCATCCTGATGTCAACAAAATGACAGCAGCAAAGGGCTGTGGAGACTGCTTTGATAACTTACACGATGTTGTGACTGGTCAGATTTTGTACTCACAATGATTTGCTCATCTGTACTCCTCCTCAAAGCCTCTTCAAAGCGCTTGGCTTTGTCCCTTAAACTCTGGTTTTGAAATGTGAGCGTGTCCACTTGATCCTATGCAAAGACACACGGACGGCACAAACACATTATTCATTACATATATATATTTGTGTGTTTGTGTGTGTTGGTGGGTGTGTATGTAAACTAAAAAGAAAACAAAAGTATTGTTTCTTTCTAAATTAAGACCTGTAGAGAGATTCTGAGCTTCTCAAAGTCCTCCTCCAGAAAAGTCTTCTGTTGCTCATGAGCTTTCCTTATATCTGCACACAGATTCAATAAAATACTTGATGTTATTCCAGCATAAACTCTTCAGTAGAAACTCCCAGTTAAGATAAGTTTTTCTAATGAAACCCAAAACTCCACCTCTCATGGTACGGGCGTGCTCCTCGTGTAGTGTTGCCATGGTGATGTTATGCATGTCTCTGAGCTCTTGAATGGCTGCGTGGTGGTTGACTGTCATCTCCTCCACCTAACAGATGCACAGAAACAAACACCTGGTTTGAAGACATCTGGTGAACCAATAGATGTGTGATCAAAATGGCATATCTCTCTCACCTGCTCCTGCTGCTGAGTTCTCAGCTCTTCCATCTCCGACCGATGTTCCGCTTTCAGGTTCTCTGTCTCGGCAACGTGACACTTCCTCAGTCCTTCCTCAACAGCAGCCAGCTCTTCCTCCTGCTGCTGCTGGAGCTCCTGCAGCTCTCTCTCAAACGCCCCCTCCAGGGCAGTTTTGTCCCACTGGAGCTTCTCCCAGCGCAATGAGCTAGATGCTGCAAACCCAAAATACTAAAGGTCATCCCTTTGTGTGAGATGCAGAGTAGTGAAGACTTTTATACTTGTACCCACATGGCTTTTTCGGGGTAATTTGTTATTATCACCCATTCTTTTTACTTCAAGCATACAAAACTTGCATTTCAATTTGACCTGAATCACTAACTCTGTTCACTTCATGTAAGTCACTCATGAATGAATCCAATAAACACAAAAGCCATTCTCTACATATTTTAAACACATGGTATTTCATTTTTTTATAACCTTATGTGATACAATATGCAACAAAATGATATGCAGCTACTTAAATTTATGGATTAAATCAGTTTTGAATATTCTGTGACACATCGATAGAATGGAGCTTATATTAGTATGACATGTGACATGGAGGTTTCCGTCTTTTTGTTTAATGGTCTTCCACATTTTGACAGTGATACTGACACATGTTTTTACGATATTCTATTTCTTTATTTTATTTTCAGTACGAATAGAACCTGGTCATCAAAGACACTGACCGAATCAGATGTTTGGATTTCTGTCAATGTCAGGAATGTGAAGAAAACAAGGATTTTGGAATGTTTTGATTTAATTTGAGAAAATTTATTTTTACTAAAAAGAGATTTGTGCCTTTATCCCAAATTCTTTTTTTTACTGATTTAACTTAGCTTTGTTCTTATAGTAGCTGATATAATTAGAAAAGAATGTGCCTTTTCTAGTGGTTCACAGATAAAAAAAATGTTTGCTCTCACTCACCCATCTCTTCTCTGATCTCTTGAATTTCCTGGAGCAGTTGCATTTGACTTTCTTCGGCATTCTCATTCTGAAAATCAGAAATGAGCTTCAGTTTGACAAGGAAAAATCAAACAAGCACCATTCATAAAAAATATTATTTCTACAATGTTGATGGTAAAATTTCTCCTAATAACTTCTGGATAATTTAACAAGACAAAAAGACAGGCACTGACTCACTATTAGCTATAAGCTGCTTAAGTAAACCACTTGAGTCGATGGAACTTATTGACCTCACAGTCTGTGTCTGAAGCCAGTAGAGGGAGCTCAACACCCTCAGCTCACATGCCCTGTCTGGCCAATGAAAGCAGCACTCAGACAATGACCATAAAAGACTCAGACATTCCCTCGACAGTCTTAAGGCGGTATCACAGCTCTGGTGCCTTGGAGCCTAAACCCTCCAATCAAAACCAGATCTGGATGCAACTAGCTAGATGACACACTGAACTATCTGGCACCCTTTCCACAGTCACAATCCCGCTTTCTCGATCTTATGCACACATGCTACAACCTGATACCAGGTGTCTAATACAGTATGTACCTTTGAGTTTGTGTGTGCATGCTGAGTGTGTCATACAGGTTTAAAGTAAATTGAAATGATGATGCATCATGATGCAACTGTACTCTGGATCACAGAAAAACTACTAGACTGTCTCTTGTTTATCGGTGGTCACATTAAACACAAGCAATGTGAAGAGATAATGATGGAGGTGGACTTCGCCACAGAGCATTTTTATCTGTTTAAGGCCACATAAATCTTTCACTGATAAAAACAAAAAAGTCTAATTGTAAATCAGTAGTCAGAAAAACCAAGGAAATATTATAGTATGCCTTATTATATATGGCAGTGAGGGTTTATTAAAATATATACACTGTGTCATTCTAATTTGCTACCTTCAGACAATAATGCTGAGTCATGATTATGAAAGCCTCCAGGCCCATAGATGTCTTTTTCAGCTCATTTCTCAGAGCTTTCAGCTGCCTCTCCTGCTGTTCACAGTGTCCCTCCAGCTTCTGGACCTGAGACACAAACACAAGAAATAGAAAAAAGACGAAAAGACCAAACTCGAAATTGTGTGGCACATGTTCTTTTCTCAGAACTCACCTCCTGCCTTTCCTTTTCTTTTTGCTTTTCCTCTGCTTGCCTTTCTCTCTCTTTCTGTTGAGCCTCCTCTTTCTCTCTCTGCAAGCTCTCCTGCTGTTCTTGCTGCAGCCTCAGGGGCGCCACACGGCGAGGAGACCCAGAGGGGGCCGAACCTCGCACTGCTGATGTGTGCTTCTGCCCAGCCTGGACTGTGACGAGAAGAAGGTCAAACAGAAAAAGTCAAATCAAAATATCATCAAGCCCATACATTTAATAAAGAAAAAACTTACAGCACATTAGAAAAATCTAAATGATATCCACATAGCATGATATCTCAGTTATGTTATTAATATGTCATGACCCAATTTTTTAATTCCCCTAATAATTAAACTGATGAGTATTAAATCAATGAAGGTTTAGCCTGACCCACTGATAACAATGAGTTCACATGATGAATGATAGTAAGTTAATTAAATCTTTTCTGCAGCTGTTCCGAGGCTGGTGTTCCTCCTGATAGACCATGTCAGCTCATGATAAATGTTTCTGTTTTCAAACTGCATATGAGGTAGTCTATGGACAGTTATAGTTGGCAAATGTGATTATGTAATTTGCTATGTGTTGTAAATACATTAGTGTAAGAGAAGGCTTCATCCATTAACAATTAAGGTCATTTAAGCACCAAATAAGAATTCTTGAAACACAATTCTCCCTTAATGGGATACAGGTAACTTCATTAATCTGCATGTTAGCTTGTAAATACAATGTGACAGTATTCTACAAGACACAGATATATGCAGCCTCTACAGAAAATACAAAACTCATTATCAAAATTCACCTTCTGTATTTTCACACTGTGTCTTGATGTCTACACACGCAAAATTAAATCGCTGCACCTCCACTTCACCTGCCTAAATCATATAATTCAGGCTAACTGAAGCATGGGGGAGCAGTTTCCATGACAACATAAGGTTGGGCTTTAGGTGCAGGGTCCCAGGTAATGAGTAAAAAATTGGTTGGACGAGGTTGGGATGGGGGATGAAATAAGGAGTGGGCTGTGAGATAAAGAGAGAGAGGAGTTGGCAGACAATTCAAAATAAATTGTACATGTGAACTGATCTGGAGCACTTAATCGTTGAAATGGTGATAGATGTAAGATTGGGGAAAGAACTAAAACTGGCAAGGTAAAAAAAAAAAGTCAACCAATGATCAATACTTGCTCGGTCAAATGGTGAAAACAGCACATTCACATTTGGATTTACCATTTTTTGTTCCCACTATTAATGATTTCACCCTACAAACAGACACACATGCAGACATACTGAGACATCAGCAAGTTCCGTCTCAAAGGTTAGAGGGAGAATGCCGAATACTAAATGAGCGTGGGAGAAGGGATGCAGATAATTTCAAAGTGGTTGACGGATGTGGAATACCAATGCACACAATGAGAGAAATGTTGGCAGCCAAAGTGGGGAGCCCAGACAATCGTCTCAGATATTCCTGAGGCGACTGTGCATTTCCTCTTAACACACAAGCGTTTTGCTGGCACACAGGTCAGCACAAACCTAAAGCTTAAATCCAGATCGATATCTTTAAATTTCATCACACAAATGTGAATGTCACTACGTTAGAAGGACATTTGAAAAGCAAATTAATAGTATGTGATATATATGTGCATTCAGATGTAAGAGAAAATACTTTATGGGTCTGCTGTAGTCACATGATAACATTGGTTTGGCTATTGCTGCTGAGCTGAGGGAGAAACTACCAAATTGGCACTAAATAATGTTAAAGTAATAATGTATCATTCAGTAAAACAGCAGCTCTACGTGTGTGAAGGGTTTCTTTTGTTAGACTTGTGCTTGTTCAAAGGAAAATCAACATAAAGATTATATGTAGAGTTAAAATGAGGCATTGCTCACCTGGGGACTGAGGCTTAGGAGGAACCACTGCCAGTCTCTTTGGAGAAGATGGGAGGGATCGAGTAACCTCTGAACTGCGCTGAAACTCCTTTCTGCCAACTGTCAATAAACAAGGACAATACATCAGGTGGTGTCAATATGCTCTGAAAATCACACAACATTTAACTGACCTTCACTCAAACATTCAGGGCCTTGCTAAAGAATTCTCCCATTCTTGGTAACATTTTCCTCATGTGATTACATCATGCGGTCTAAATAGATTCATCTTTGTATCTTTTGTGATAGATTTAGATGAATAAAAATATCTAAATTTGTTGAAAATTAATAATTCTAAAAAAATTCTGTCCCTCTCTTTGAAGGGATAAACTCTATGATCGAGTCTTCCATTCAATAGTAACATGATAAGGTACTTAATTGTCTCTAAGTTTAATTTGCTCTTGATATTCATGCATTGATCTGCCCATTTAAATAAAAGAATTCAGGTTCATAGATGTAGTATATAAACCTTAGGACTAGCACAGACATTCACCATCAAGCATAAACACAGTCCAAATTATTCCTAAAGCAACACTGCAGTGGCATGGGTTTCTTTGAATGGCCTCATCATATTCCACACCTCAATCTAACCAAAAGTCTGGAGGGATAACAGTTATTTCTCTAGGTTTGTAATAGACTTAGAGACTTAGACTTAGACAGAACTTTATTGATCCCTTGGGAAGACTCCCTCAGGAAATTAAGGTTACCAGCAGCTTAAAGGGCAAACAGTGTCAAGTTAGAATCGGTTTAAGCAAAAATATACAAATAAATAAATAAAAATCTAAAAAATACAGATTAAGTACAGTGAATGTGTATGTGATCTCTCTTCCCCCTGTCCTGTGTCACCTCCTCGACCCCAGTGAGGCGTTGTACAGTTTGATGGCGTGGGGGACAAAAGAGTTCTTAAGTCTATTGGTCCGGCACTTGGGGAGCAGCAGTCTGTCACTGAACAGGCTCCTCTGGCTGCTGATGACGGTGTGCAGAGGGTGGCTGCTGTCGGCCATGATGTCCATAATGTCCATTAATAAAGGTTGGACATACCAAAAATACTCTGAGGCTTGGAGCTTCAATGCCAAAGAGGCACCTACTTCTAAATAAGAGTACTTCAGCCAGTTTAGGCTTTTCTGTGCAAGGCTATCAATTATTACTGTTAATAAATATTTTGCTTTGTCAGAATGATAGACATGTTCACTCGATATCACATGTGAGCAAGTCCTGAAAAATACGTTTTAGATCCAAGTCGAACGGTAACAAAATCTGAGCAAATACCAAAGGCGGTGGTGTTGCAAGGCAATGTGCATTCCCAAACTTCAAACCAGACATCTACTTCCAGCCCCCTTTTGCTCTTTTCCATTTATTTGCAGATTTTTCCTCTCCCCTGACATTTTTTTCAATCTTCCTGGTGCGCTCCTTCTTTCATCTCTTGCAATCCCCCCTGCTGTGAGGTATAACTACGTCCTTGAGGACCATCTGTCAAAGATAGCAGAGTGTACATGGGGAGATGCGCCCATCACCTCTGTGCTGCTTTTGACATCGTGCACTTTACAGTCGTCAGGAGCAATAACGGGAATTTTCATTCATTTTGGGAATATTGATTTTGTATTAACATGAGTTCTGCTAAGACAAATGAAACATACCATACCGTTTACTTGTATTTAGGTCATGAACTGATTAGAATGAAGCAATGTGAAATGAGTTGCACAGCTGCTCGAAATGATAAAATGCAGGAATTGGAGGGAAAAAAACACTGAATAATAGAAAAGGGGGGTGCAAACAAAATCAAAAGTAGAAAGAAACTCAATTTAAAGAGTTAGAAACCTTGAAAATAAATTATTGATAATTAAACCTGATTTAGTAAGAAAACAAAAACCTCCTATCCCAAACTAACCCCAAAATAACCCTGAAGAATAGCTTCAGGCCTGCTGAGACACCATTTGTGTGTTCTCTGCATGTGTGTTCACTGCATGTTATGGGGCAGTCATGGAAATCTGCCTCACAGAGTGACTCATCCACTCAGTGCACACACTGACAAATCCCACCACTGAGGTGTATCTAAAAATCAGCTTGACTGCCTCAAATTTATTTTTAACATTGGATGGACAACTGATGTCTGGAGTGGCTCAGAGCACAGCATCATCATATATGAAAGATCCCACATTGTTACGTTGTCATATGCTTGTTGTCACAATGTCTTTTATTGAGTATATATCCGTGTGAGAGCAAGTTCATAAAAGTTTGTTGTAGTTATATATACATTTATTGGCTTATGTTTTAATTAAGAAGCTTAATGGTAAGAAACATCACAGTTGAATGTTTACTTTCTATATTTACTCACCGTTTATTGGACACATGCATGTCCTATGACTTGTTGCAATATTTTTGGCCTATAAAATAATCACAGAAGCAAACTTGGATGGAAGCTGAATTCTAGTCTGCTAGATGCTACAACTGAAATCAAAAGCCACATTTTGATAAATGTAAATAATACTCCTAAACATCAAATGCAATACCTTTGTGAGGCCCGTGGCTCATCTTTAAAGTGTCACATTTATCAAACATGTCAAGTGTAAACCTTACACCAGGTGATGTGGATAAAGGTACAATGAATTGTTGGCCATGAAACAGTAATGTGTGTGCATGACTTGTAAGACAGAAGGGAAGCTCTTCATCAATAATTTATAACACATCCAACAACAGCTCAGGGCAAACAGGGCGACAGAAACTCTCACACTACAACTACACTGTCAGCATCCATGAGACACGCAGAGAAAAATGTACAGTGACGGCACGCATTCCTGCTCCCTGTCACTATCCAATGTTTATGTTGCTCATTCTACATTACAGAGAACACGCCAGAGTTCTGTTTTTCTCTTTTTCATATGTATAAGAACACTGTAGAAATTTGAACACATCCAGAAAATGTGATTGAGTGAAGTGTGATACTATAGGGCCTCCGGTGTTAACTCTGTGTGTGAAAATACAACTGGGTGTGAAAAGCATCACATACTGGTGTTAACCAAATCAGTGTGACCTGACAAAAGCCTCACATAGCCTATATATTTCATTGCACTGCATTTTTAAAACGCCATTCTTTTGTTTCTGCATGATCCTGGCTTTTTAATATTTCCTAGGAAAGAGGAAACATCGTTATCAGGAACTGCAATACGACATAATAAGTGGCCGAAGAAAACACTCCCTCTTGGATATGTCTGTTGCAGTTTCATAAAATCTGCGTTCATGTGAGTGAAGGATTACAAAATAGCACAAAATTACTGCTCAAGGAAAGTTCATTTAGGAGCTGAGGTAGCCGGTAATAGCTGAAAATAAAAGCGGTTTAGTTTATGAATGTATTGCTTTGTTCCAAAAGTGTCGCTTTTCCCGTGATTTTCCGAAGTATTTTACATGCAATCCTGGGACTTCTGATCACGTTACATTTGTTGTGCTCCTCTTTGTGTGTCCTGTGAATAATGTTATCCCTGCTCATACTGAAATACAGCCTTGCTGTGTTCTGTACAAACATGCACTGACCTCCTGGAGAGCTTCGTGGCTGGGGGGGCAGGTATCGGCGGGGCAGGGCTGGGGTGGAGGGAGGCTGGAGGCTGTGGCTCCGACATGGTGCCCCCCTCTGAGAATCTGCCGACTGGCCAGTGGTCACTCTGTGAATAGGAGGGTCCTCACTCACACTCAGACCTAGAAAACATAGAATGAGACTTTAAATTTTTATCCTCTCTAGTTTGACCACAATAGATTTACCACAGGATTTGCAGCATATCAGTTTCCTTCCCATCTGTCATAATAGTTGTTTTCACCCTACAGGGCAGTATAAGCCCGCATTATGTCTGAATTTAGGTGCAGTGGACTGAGAAATGGTTTATAACCTCTGGGTCTAGCTGTTGCACTCAATTTTGCTTTTGTTCACCTGGAGCATCTATACCGCACACAACTACACACCAAATCTGAAACATGTTTACATAGGTTCAGCTCCACCTGAGCATTTACACTGGAAAATACAATGCAAACGTACACATCGATCATTTCTCATCCGGGTCTTTAGTGCCACAATTTTTATCTCTATTCAAACACTGGTTTACGGTTTGCATTCACTCTAATACACTGCTCTAATACACTGTGTGTATGCACTGGCCATCTACCCATCATTGATCTGTAATGGCACAAAAGATCCCCTGAGCATATGTGGCAAATACAGGTGAGCAATCCTGAACAGAGCTGCTTAAAGGATCACAGAAAGAGATTTACAAAAGGCTATGAGACTGTGAATAGGTCATCTAACAATACTACAACAATCTCTCTGTGCCTGTGTTGGTGGGAAAACTTGGAAAAAAGCAAAAACTGTGAGGATTTAGAGGTAAGAAATTTCTGCAGTTCTGAATTGACCTCGTTTAGCTCTGCAATTTATAGGTCAGGCAATAAAATAGGGAAATCAGATCACTGCGTTTTAAGTACCTCCACAGAAGTGAAAGTTTCATCTGTTTGACTGTCTGGAGCATCCAGCTGTGTGTTAAAACAGTACCAAAGAATAAGGATGAATCAATATTCATCTTAGAGAAGCAACTGTTCATTATCTTTGAAAGGTGATAAGACAAAAAAGTCAAAATTAACTGCATAAATATGTTTTTACAGACACTATCTCTTAAAAATCTGATGTGTTTTATTTCTGCTTTCATTATGAATGATTCACTATTACATTTGTTCTTGGATTACTGCTCTGTACATCCCAGAGTTCCTCTGTGTGATTACTGTGGCAATTTACAGTGGTGTGTACTCATTAAGTCGTACGGGCCAGATATCATCATGTAATCGCACTGCAGTACTGATAAGGAGCTCTATAACAACCTCTACTTTATTTAATGAGCACTAGAATTTTAATAGATTGCAATGGCACATAGAAGAAAAAAAGAAGAGAAATGATAAGTTATTTTCAGAGAGAAGTGGCAAAATAATAATTGACTCGTGCTCTATGATGTGAGCTGAGACAGATCAACTGGCTGGTCGGATGTGATCCCTTGCCAAAGGTCAAATAAATGCCCAGAGTACTGAATGTAGACCAAAGGAGGAATAAAAGATGGGGTAGATTTGGTAAAAACAAAACTGAGAGAATCATAAGATAAAGCCTGTGACTTAAGGGCTTGGGGAAAGACAAAAGGCTTTTCTTGATTGCTAAAATCTTGCTGATATCCACCACTGATGGGCAAAATGCCAGCTCCTTATGGATGACAGAGAGAGAAAAAAAGACGCAAGGCTGAAAGGAATGTGAAAAGCTTAGTATGTGGTGAAAGCTGATCAATAAGAGACAATGGAAATGGAGAAACAGCTGAGAACAAAAGAACAGTGACTTTTACACCTCAGAGGGCGGCCATCTTATTAGACCAGAACCAATAACAGGAAAAAAGTACTGGCTTACTATCATAGCCCTCATTCACATGTAAAATCTCATGGCTATAGTGGAAAAAACACAGCCATCAGAAAAATATTAGAAATTCTAATCTTAAATCTTTATTGATTTTTTTGGCGTGTCAGCTACACCAGAATCTTCCTGATCAGCAAAAAAAACTTGCTTACTGCCCTCATGGAATTGATCAAATCCATCTTAGCTGAATTCAGCAAAAGCAGAACAAATCCAGGTGCAAAAAACATACATCACATCTCTTCCTGAAATGAGTCAATGCAGAGCCAGCAGTGCTGATGTGCTAAAGAAAGAAAAGGGGCCAATCAAGGGCTTTTTCAGTACTTATTCCCTCTGGGACACGCATTATTTTGCTAAATCATAATGTTTGTAATCCAATTTAGGAGCATCTAGTCAAGGAATAGTTAAATCAATTTAAGAAATGTCCAAATAATATCGCCCAAAGATAATAAAAAATATGTACATTGCAAGCCAAGTCATTATTGATTGATATCATCTGTGAATTCACTGACACTTCATGCACAAGTTGATTGAGAGTGTCACCTTCACGTTATTCTGACATTTACTCAACTGCCTTTAAATATTCTTTCTAAATTAGACCACATGTTCCTGCAGACAGATGTCACCTCCTTTCAGTGCTGGTTACAGCAACAGACAGTGTGTGTAATTAAGCTTGAAGATTGAATCCATCAGAGATCATTATTTGTTCTGCTTATTAAGTGCTGCTTCCTCTCATTGGTTTGAGGCTGGCATCCGTCATTTTTCATCCATAATTTACCATACGCATCATTTTGTATTCAGTGTGTTTTGGAAAGTCAAGAAATATGGATGCCTGTGAGAACGATGAAGCAGTATTTTCATGAATCCGTTTATTACAATACGAATAGATGTTTGGATTGCACACTTTGGGGCAGCTTTTTACTTAAAGGAAATTCACGGTTTCTCTCTTTTCTTATGACCCACACATCAAAATATTTAAAAGATTCTTACTAACTTAAGGGACACAAAATATATAATTTATCTTATGATCTATTGTGTTAATAACCTGTTAAAAATTAAGGATAGCTGTAGGTTTTTATCCTCTCACACATATTGCTGTCAGCCTCAGACTCTGAGCACACTTGTGGCTTTTTTAAGGTCTTAATGGGTTAATGAGGAACAATGTAGGACAAGAGGAATGCTTAAAGGAAAGACATCTAATTCAGGATTTGCTTACATTTTTAGCCCTTTGTCGCTATATAAATAAATCTGAACTGAACTAAATCCGACAGTCATGAGAAGAAAGAATGCATTATTTTTTAGATAAGAATATAGGGCAGTAATGAACCTACGGAGGTGACCATCTGTTGGTCTCACGCTTTGGGTGTAAAACTCAGTGACAGCAGGAATCATTCCCGCTGAAGTGTTACCGAACACGGCACCACCATTGCCAGATTTCCAAACTGCAGCGTGAAAACTGCATGACATTCTTCCAGCCTTCCATGCAGGAAGTGAATTCAGGCGCCCGGCGCTCTTTATTTAACATTTTACTGCTGCTTGGCTTTTTTCTGCAGTCATTTAGGTTTGTAATGATTAGGCTCATTGTGACATCACCCATGAGAGGTAAATGATGTGAAATACTATGCAGCAAAAGATTTTGGCATATTTTTAAGTGCAAATCTAATTCCTCACAAAGACCCAAATAAAGCCAGGGAATGTTTGGAAATGTGAATAAATTACATTGGTACTTCAGTGCAATTGCACTGCCGCATGAATACTGTCAATTCAGATTAACTTAATATGGAGTGTGTTTTATTATTCAGTATTATAAGTAATTTTTTATTTTTCAGATACGTTTGTTTTAAAGAAGACTTGAGGACCATTTGTAAAACCGGGGAAATGTGAATGTATCGAGACCATTTTTGTAATTAGAAAAAAAACAGCTACTGTAAATGTTCTTAAAAATTGAGGATTTTATTACACTTATGACATCCGAAAGTACATTTAAAAAACTGGGATTGTTTATTATGAATACGTGCAGGGTTTGAATTTTTTCAAAAAAGTGAGCAGGAAATCTATATATTATTCTAAGCTCAGACAAACAGCAAGTAAAGCATTGCTGGATCATACACTTCACAGTTCTCTAAGTTTATCTGCTATCGATCCGCCTCCGCTTTGTCAATGTGAGCCATCAGTTAAGCTCGTAAAATCAGATTAACAGTGAGTCGTATAAAAACACTGACCGTTTATCAGTTAATGAAGAGGCCCATTGAGCCCATCCTCACTGTCGCAGCTCTGCTTCTTTAAGAAGCCTCCGTCTTTCTCAACTGTCACAGAATGGCAGCCATATCTAACTGGCTCATCTAATTCTCTGCTGGTGTGTGTTTGCGTGTACAATACATACATGTTTGCGTGTGACACCGCGCACACGTGCACCACAGAAACCATCTGTTCACATTGAGCTGGCATGAGGCACAGACCAGATCTGAGCCTCGCATGGCATCTGGGGTATTGCACCCACTCTCCTCTCTGCACCAATGCTTTTCTTTCCGGCCCCTTTTCCCCTCTCACGTTCTCCCTGCTTCTCTCGCCATTGCTCATTTTGACTAATTGAATTAGCTTGTATAGCTGCATCCTCCTTCGCCTCCCTCTCCACAGCTGTCTGCTCAGCGTTCCCTTTCAGGCTTCTGATTTCTTCCGTTATTACATTATCACCTAGAATAGGGACACATAAAGCTGATAGTGCTCAGTTTGTTTTAGAAATTGAGTTTCAGTCATGGGGCTGGTGTGGATAAAAGACATAGGCTTGATCAGCTGTATTCTCCTTGTGGCTTTTTTGTCATCATCGGTGAAATGATCAGTGCGCGTCCATTTTTATCTGCATGGATAGTGTAACTCTAATGCTCACGAGCATCCATGAGAAACCCTCAGCAGTCGTCAGCAACTGGGCTAAAGTGGGGATTAGCTTAAATGAGCAATAAATTGCATAAAGACAAACCTGGGGTACCCTAGACATTCAACTAAGACGCTTATACTTGACATGCCTTTTCTATACAAAAATACAAGAATAATCAATAAAGTCAAAAGCCAAATGTTTGGAGATACACTGCCATGCTAACCTCCATCTATGGGTCATGTGTCATCTTATATATAAACGTCATTAATTATCTACTACCCAATCACGCAAAAAAAAGTCAATCATTTTTTTGTAAATGTGGTGCTCAAATGAAATATATTGTTTTAATTCATTCAGTGAAACTGATGCATTGGAATGTGATGTAAACTGTTGTGCTTTTTTCTAAACCACTTTAATGAAGCGAGTATTTGAAAATGGCCTTTCTTCGATGAGTTTGAGGAGGTAATTGGCTGCTGCTGCTGTTGTTTCTCCTCTGACATCCTTGAGAGAAGAATACATGAGAATCCATCTCTCATTCTATCTGTGCTCTGACCCATGTCGTAGCAAGGTGAGAGACAAACACACTCGAGTGGAGGAGGAAAACAAGGTCTCACCCAAAAAGCATCACTGTCATGCAATGGACACAGAATCCTTGGTAATGAGAATATGCTTTATTTACAACTCTCATGGCAGCTGTGTGTCAGTCTTTCACCATCCAGTTTCAAACCAGATCACTTTTTGAATGGGTTGGTGCATTGTAGTAGTTGTCATGGTGCCCAAGTCTATAAAATGACTTCAGTTATTTTTGTAGTTGTAATTACTTTGTGAAATTAATCATTTTTGAAGATCCCATCGAGGGAGGGCTTTAAATGCAACACCATCCTCTATTTGTCAGGTTTTCAGTCTATAAAAATTCAATTCAGAAGCGGACAAATGTTGACGTAGAATCTGCTTTTCAGACAATTTAGTGTACAAATTTAACATTAAAGTGCATGACAACTCTATTAAGGTCCACAAACAGCATGAGTTTACATGGCTTTTTTTCCCCTTGAGAGCTTAGACAATAATAACATCAGACAGCTTTTGAAAGCTCATCAACCACGAGCAGCAGGAAGGTGAGGTCAAAAGTCCGAGGGTTGAAAAAGGGCAGTGTTCCAGCGCTTCACAGGTAAAGGTCATGACTTACACAGAGTCAAAGGGAAAGGTAAACACTGAGGCTTACTCACCCCTATTCCTGTTCAACTCACACGCTCACACACACACACATGCTCAAACACACAAAGATTCTCAATCTTTTGCCTCATAGATATAATCCTTGATCCTCTTTAGGTGCCTCTGAGTTGCAGCAGTTTAACATCAGCGAGGGGAAAATTCTGCTACAGACAGTGCATTAAAACCTTAAGGTCCTCGGCTCACCGCTGGAAGGTGCTTATGTGTTTTGTGAGTTTGTTTTTTACATGTTTACAGGTGTGGTGTCTTGTGGTAAAAATGTGAGCTTTGAACCACAGGTTGTCTGGCAGTGAGATGCATCATCACTTAGTGAAAGCTGCTTACACCGAAACCATGTTTAAATTGTGTAACATTTCTCATGTTCAGTTTGATTCTGACATACATGGTGGAAATCCCCCGGGGGAAGGGAATCTCTTTGCGTAGAATCGTTGAAATGTAAAGATTCAGTAGACTGAAGGGAAAAAAGAGCTTGAAAGTGTTGAAAATAACACTATTTAAAAAAACATGAATAATGAAAAGTATGAATACATTGTATTTGGCAAGTGGAGAAATCAAAAACTACAATTTACTTTTTCTTCATGATGAAATTCTCATCTTATCTTCAGTTGATTAATTGTTGGGCACAAGTTTTGGTCCTTTTGTTTTGACACTGCTTAGATTTGTGTATTTTATCTCAATTGAATTTTATTCCCTAAATATGGGGATACCTGCATACAGCAAGTAAGATCAGTGTTCACATTTGAAACAGTTCTGAACAGCTTACCATTAGCGTAAACTGCTACCTTTGTGCAACGTCTTTCTTTAAAATAAAATTTTAGGCCTTTTTTGAGCAGTCTTCTTTTCACCCGCATCCCTTTTCTCAAACTCTGCCATCCCAACAACACCAGAAGGTTCGTAATCATTTTCAACCAATGAGAGATAAAACAGAAAGATGAAAAAAGCCTCACTGCAAAAGGGGGGAAATGAGGAACCAGAGTGATGACATAACAGGGGGGCTGATGTGCGTGAGTTGCGAGTGGAGGTGCTGACGTCAACTGTAACTGGGAGAGCACGAGCAAGCATTCCCTATGTAGGTCACATTAAATACACATGCAGCTACAACAAAATTCAGCCAAGTAACTGAGAAGCCTGCCAAGCTACGCAGAAATCACAACTGTGAAGTCTTCCGGTTCCCCACCATCACTCTGAGATGTAACTATGATCACTTCCAGCAGCAGCACTTCAAGTATTCTGTTCTGTCTGTGAAGGCTGAAATATCAGCATCACAAACCTAGTTGGCAGGTTGTTGAATTACTGATGAGTCCAAAAAATGACAAGTGTTTTTAAACATATATCGAAGCAAAGTGGGACCCCTTGAATCAGTTTACTTTTATGTCTGCCGTAAAGAGTTAAAATCTGTTTGGTTTTGTTTCCGTCCGGTTTTGGTAGTAATCACACCAGCCACTGTATCGCTCATCTGTTGTTGTAAACTCTAGTGTTTTAATCACTATGGTTTTGACTTTCCAAATCATGTTCCCCAGTCAATAATTAGTGACAGACACACAAACACAGCAACACGAGACAGAAGTGAAACTGCCAGATGATAGAACCTGATCGTTAATTACACAATTGTACAGCTCTGGCAACCTCTATCACCAGAGATTTCTCAATAATGCCTAGCAACTGCAGCCCAGTGGTTGTTTATCACATGAAATGAGAGTATGAAAATGCAGGGTGAGGGATACGTTTTGGGTAAGGTGGAGTTTAATAGAGAAGCAAAGTGTAATATAATGAATGTAGGAGGGAGCTGTTTATGCTAACTCTATTCATGAGGGGAAACATGGATGAAGGCTGTATAACAAAAGGGCTTAACTTAACTGATGTAAGTATGATATTAAAGGAACCAAAACCAACAAAAGACAAAATCCTTTCTCTTTTAGTGAGGAAGGTGTGATCATTTTGGACTCACGATGTGCAGTCCTGCAGGGGTCACTCTGTGTGCTGTCAGCGGAGTGCACTGAGGACACGCTGGAGCTCCTGACAAAACCAAATGCTGCCAGGCGGGCTGCGGGCAGACGGCTGGAGCTGAAGCCTGGGGGCCGCAGGCCAGACGGACTGGCCTTGGGAAGCAGAGACCTGGAGGCTGTGGATGGAGCCTGAGCTGGTTCTGTTGAAGGAGCAGGATCATGACTGACAACCTGGTCATCTGATGATAAATCACAACAGAAAAAATCTTGTTCAGCAGTTTTAAATCTTTGGAATACTGAAACATACTCAAGAGGTAAAATCTTATATGTGGCGTCCTCCTTAGTTCCTTAGCAGACACTTAACCACTTGATTTTTTATCTTATTGGATAACACATCTCTATTTATGCAGTTAGTAAACTCATTAAGCAAAGTATATGCAGAGGGTTTAACATGGCTCATTTTTCAGCCCTGTGTGAATCGCTCATTATGGTGTGTTGATTATGTTATCAGAAGGTTCTCTGCTAGCTACAACAAGCAAATACGATTACTATTCATGCAGCTACCTGTAAACAGCTGTGTTTGACTCTGTTTGTATTGGACTAATGGACATCAGTTTCTCCAATGCATTATGACTGTCAATACTTTTAATACATACACACCATTTTTAATATGAACAGATATTCATTTTTGTAACTGTACACATTTAAACCAGAGTAGAAGCTTAAAATTAAATGCAAATATAAAATAGCAGAAAGGGAAAACAGGGAATCAAGTGTGAATGAAAAAGGCAAGCATGGCTCTATAATGGCAGCTATTGTTGGAGAACAATAGGGAAGCCTCCTATTGGTTGGTAATCTATTTGTTTCCAACTGCAAAAACCATGAAACAGAGCGGGCATGAGCAACCAAACCAAGGCTGAACATATACACACACAGTGGGCAAATCCCCAGGCCTTTGATAAAAGCCCCATCTTGGCTACTACTGCCTGCAGAACAAGGTCGAGATCCTGCACAGAAGAAGAGCATTATCCCCTGCTGGCTGCAGAGATAAGGTAGGCAGCCTTCTTTTCCTTTCCATTTGGCACAGATGTGAAATTCAGAGCATGCCATGGGGTAACCACTACATCAGGAGAAGAGTAAAAAAAACAGAAAGTTTGAGAGGGAGAACCCAAGGTCTGTTGATAGAGAGAAAAAGTGGGACAAAATGAGGAGGAAAAGTCTCCAGTGTAGCTCCCCTCAAGCATCATTAGAGCTGTGGCTCACATTTATAGCATCTTTTCTTCATTCCTAATCTCCACGTGTGCCATAAGGTCTGTTTATAAGATTAGAGCTCACTCCTCTTGAGTGAGAATGTCAGAATCATAAAGTATAAATGTCCTCATTTCCACGTTGCCCTTCTAGCCCCCACTCTTTACTCCATCCATCACCTCAGAGAGACCAGGCAGAGAAGTAAGCCTGTGAAGAATCCACATTAGCCTAGTTATCACAGTTTTTTGCTAAATGAAAGTACACATTATTTATAGAATTTTCATGTCTCTATGAATAGTGACCTTTGGAGTATATTGGCAAAATAACATCCAACATCCATCTATTTTTTTAAGCTGTATTTTGTCACTCACGCTAATAATTTGCCTTCATTATTATTTTTTTTACTCTATTCTCTTAGGACACTAAATTGAAAATTCAAAATTGATTACAAAATCACTGGGACTGCGTTGGACCCCAGACACGCTAAACATGTTAAGTGTCCACTAGGAAGGCGATGTGATTTTCATGATTTATGCAAATTGGCCCTTGAAAAGTCAATAGGACATGCAGCTGGGCTGAGCGCTAATGATTTTAATCAAAGCCCAAGGTGAGCAACCAAAGCCAGCAAGGTTTTTCAGCACATGGTCTTCAATGGCATATTATCAAATGTAATATTTAAATGCAGCGCTATAACTGCACGAACACAGTAGCATCATCTTGGTGCACCAGCTGCACCTATACATGCTACATAATTGTCTTGGCTTTTAAAAAGCTGCTAGTCATTGTAACAAGAATACAAAGTTTAAAATCTGCATTGTTCGGTAATTATCTCGGTAGTTCTAATAGCTTGACAGCAACACAATAGCCATTTAATACAATTGCTATTATAAGTCCCTGCCAGTTTCCATTCAATAAAACCAAAAAGAGTTGCAATTCCCAGCAGTGACAAGAAAAAGTGAACAATGGATAATAATAATAATGAGATTTCTCCTGAAAGAAAGAACAACAGGAAATTTTTCAAATTTACTAAGACAGACAATGATGCACATACTATTGACCGATCTTAAAAATCCATTATATATATTTATTGCAGGTGATTAGCCATGCAGAGTACGGAAGGCAAGAATTAATCCAGCGCAAAGATACTGACATTACTTATGGGTTAATTGCTTTGCACTTCAAAGCTTATAGAGTTCCCAGAGGAGCAAGAAGTACAGACACACCATGCATGTATCAGTAGGGATTATGATAAGGAGGCCTAGCACATCGTAACAGTATGTTGATCTGGTCTATACATCTGGATTTGGGTATATTTGCACATCGGTGCATCTTAGTAATTTTGCTGTGTGTCCACATTATCAGACAGACAGAGTGAGCAGATCAAATATAAATGGAAATGGCACAGCCTTCCAGCAGGAGTGAAGGGTGATGAGAAAATGTCATATTTTAATATTTCATTGAAAGCCGAGCAGCAGCGTGAATCTTTGGCAGTGTGAGGTGTGATCAGACTCAGGAATTTGCCGAGAAGAAAATTTGAGGGATCTTTTATTTATTAAATTTTGTCCGTAAATTGCAGGCTTCTGGAGCAGGATAAGTCCCCTCTGAGAATATTTTGCGGTCCTCCAATCAGATCAACCAAAATTAATCTCAGAGAATGCATTTTAATAAGCTGCCTTCATCTCGAGCCAAGCTGAGGGGGGATACAGGTCCCACAACTGCTTGTTGCTGTGCTGGAGAAAACAGACAAGGCAGTCTCCGATTCAGTCCCATTTTGGGGAGCTGACGCAAAATCGGATGCATACAAAAACTCAAAGTGGGTCACATCCATCTGGTATTCTAGTTCAAGAAATACACACGTGCTCAGACTTTTATAAGTTTAACCTACCTGTATGTTCTTGGCCTTTTTGGCTGACTGCTGGGTTGACAGGCTGTACAGGCTGGCTGAAGACCAGGACTGACCTCTGTCCTTGACCGGGACCTTTGCTCTTGGCAGTGCCTGCAGCTGTCCTGGTGACAGCTCCCAGGCCCAGACGCAGACCTCTGCTAGAGCGCAGCAGACTGCCACTTCCTCCGGCCTGCGGAGCTGTCCGGCTCTGCAGTGCATCTTCAGCAGAGCTACCTTTCAAACTGAGAGATCTTCCCACCTAGAGATCAGAATCATTAAACAGACTGTGCCAAAAGGATGCCAGCAGATGTACAGACATTAGTTGAGGAATTAGACACTGAATCAATAACATGAAAAGAGAGGTATGACACACTGTATATCAGCCATCTATCCATCCATTATTGTAACCGCTTATTCCCTAACACTGTACGTCATGCAGCAATTATTTGCTGCTCATGGACATATTAACGAAAATGTAAACACCATTGTGGATTATGGTTGATTATTTTGACCGAGAACAAGAGAGAGGTAAAAAAAAAATAGACTATCAGTCTGAATACAAGCTTGGTGAAAATGAAAACACGATAGTTGATGCTTAAAACAAAGACTCACCTCTGTTGGTGCCCTGTAGAAGTTGTCTGCTTTGCTGCCTAGTTTTGGGGGAGCTGTGTGGCTGTGTGCATATGCAGAGGGGACTGTGTTTGTGTGTACAGGAGCTCTTATGTTCCTGCTGTGCAGGCTCGGTGAAAAAATGTTTGTCTGCATCTCTTGGCGGTATTTGTCATAAAGCAGATTGGAGGCACTGAGCAATGGAGCTCCTCGGGCCTCTGCATCGGGCTTGGAGGGATCTTTTGAGGCATCTTTGCTAGAAGTAGGTGTTTGGCTGTGGGTGTATGTTGAAAGCCTGGATGGCAGAGAAGATACCTGATAAGGTCCATCAGCAGCCTGGGGCTTAAATTGGGGATTCTTGCGGACATAGGTAATGATTTTGGGGCGAACTCCTTTAGGTTTAAGTTTAGGCGATGGAGAACCTTCTTTAGGATGTGAGTTTGGGGAGCTCTGCTGGTTGTTAAGAGGCGCTTTAGGGATTCCACTTGTGCTTATATTAGTTTTGACGGTTGCTCTCAAGCAACTGTTGCCGTAACCCTGAGCAGACGTCAGTACAGCGGGGTTACACCCTGATGGGATATGCCTGTTCACTCCAGAGACATTTCTGGAAAGGAGGAACATAGAGGGTTGCCTGCGTGGTGAGCCCTGGGGTGTCCTGAGAGGGGAGTGGGGAGGAGTACATGACTTGGATTCAACCCCAATCCTGTTGGGGCTGGAGCAATTCCTTCGGTACGTGAGCTGAGTCTGTGGCCCCTTCTCCACAGAAGAAGAATTTGTAGGACCAGATCTTTGCTGTGTATCTGTAATTGGCTGTTTTTCCACAAGTGGAACCTCTTGTTGGGATGCCTGGTTGGGCAGTGTCACCTGGGAGACTCCAGTTGAGTGATACAGGTGGGAAAAACTTGATGGTTCTCGTAAAGATGATTTTGTGAACTTTCGGATGGATCCATTCCTTTGTGACTCAGGAGATAGATTTAGAGAGGAAGGCAGCACATTCTCACTTTGCTTTTTCTCTCTCCCTATCTCTGTCTGGCAAAGGGGCCTGACAAGCTGTTGCCGTCGAGGTGGCAGGACTCTTTCCTCAAATCCAGCCTTTCTCCTTTGGCCAAGGACACCATCAGAGGACTGGTTATATCCTTGATAAGTCCTCTCTAGTTTCTGATCATGGCTGCAGTATGGAGGACTGCCATGTTCCACTTGAGAGTACATTGGTGGGGAGTGTTGACTGGCATCTACTGGGGCTGCACTTCTGCTGGACTGGGCTGAGGTAGTGTTGTTGGTGTTGGGACAAGTACTGATCTTTGAGCCGGACAAAGAAACGGGAGAGACTTCTCCACTAGAATCCAGGGCACTAGACAGGCTTCCACTGAGGGAAACAGCCAATAGACTGGAGACAAACACATTTGTCTCAGATTTGGACTCCTTCAGACCTCCTTTAAATCTATCCCTGCCTGACCTGTTATCCCTTTTCTCGACTGAAGCACTGACACATGTGTCCAAGTCTTCAGTGCTGTGACAGGCAATCCTCTTCGCTTTGCCCCTCTCAATTCTGCCTTCGACTTTGTTGCTGTCATTGTCATTTCTCTTCACACCGACTGAAGTGGAACTGGCTGTTGAACTCGAGGATATGGACATGGGACCCTCATATTTTCCATCCCTAATACTCCCTCCATCATCATCATCATCCTCATCTTCCGCCTGACTCCTATTTCCTAAGAATGTATGTATCTCCTGACATTCTAAAAGCTCAAACTCTCTTAGCTCAGGCTCCATACATTGCTGCTCAGAACCCCAAATCACCAACTTGTCTGGAGATTCATTCTGAGAAACCAGGGGAGGAATTGAGCTTGCACTGTATCCTGTGTCCTCAGTGAGGCTTCTTCCTTCTTGATGAATTGTAGAAGTGAACTGATTAGCATTATTATCACTGGAGGGGATGAATGGGATCTTGGTTTTACTTCCAATCTTCTCCTCTCTATCAACATTGACCCTTAGTCCTTGGAAACTAGTTGGAACACTCATGTTTGACTTTTTTATGTTTTAGGCATATTCAGCTGACGAGGCCATTTGTGTAGTTAGAAAAAAGTGGCTTTCCTCTTTGTTATTCCTCTTCAAAAAACGTTAGACAAAGGTTTCTGTTGAATAATCCAGGGATGAAATAACATCTCACTGAATCTTTTTTCACTTCAGGTCCCAACTTATCTTGATTTCAGAAGGTTGAAGCTGTCTTTGCTTGACGTTTTTTAATCTGAAATAAAAGAAAATAAATATACATTTAATGAGAGCAGGACTCACTTAAATCCAATCATTGTCAAGAATGGATTTTCTTTTTGCCTCCACAGAACAATAAACTATATGTATATTCAGTCTGGTCAAGGAAGCAACAATTTAAAATCTCCCCAGCTTGTGTGGACGGTCACTTCAGATTGTTTACGGGACATAAACAAACTTCAGGAAGTCTGAGTGGTAGAGCTATACTGTTTCTATTTTGAATAAATCTCTAACTGATACATTCAAATGCTAAAGAAACTTTAAATTAAATCATATGTTGACTGTAACAAATTACATTAACTGAGTAACTGGTAACTGAGAAACTGAATCTACACATGAAGTCGTAATTTTCTAATAACGACCAGTAACAGCCCTATAGATAGCATTAATAAAGATAATGCATGTTCACTTTACCGCTAAGAGAAAATGTGGAGTGCAGGAATGTGTAGGCAGGGAATACTGTGTATTTAGGCCACCAATGTTATAATGAATTATGAATGAATGTCAGATATGTGTCATCAGCCACAAAAATGAAAATTTGAGTTCTTTTCAGAGTTTGAATAGCTCTCCCACCTTCTAATTACATATGCAGCAGGAGGAGAGCCTGTTCTCATCAGCAGGTGGCTTATCTGCGTTTCAGGTGGCAGCTGTTACAGTAAACTCACTGCTAATTTGGTTGCTCCGACTGCCAATGACATATCTGACTCTGCCCATAATGTGCTGCGCTGAATTCTTTCCAAATGCACCGGAAAGAGAAACTAAAGCTTTTAGGAACTTATTGAGCTGAAATGTCAAAAGGCTTCTTTATAGAAATATTACACATATTACATTCCTTTGAAATAATTATATATTATATCTTAATGATAGTTTGTTGCTTAGATTTAGATTTTTAATGAGAAAGAAAATCCATTACATTACAACCGACATACGAAGAAATCCACCAACTTTCTGCCATAATCTTCCTTTGGGTACACTGCTGAGATTATTCCTATACTCGTCACACAATTAGCTTGTTCTAAAACGCACATGGAAAATTTTAAGACGTGGGAAAAAATAGTCTTGGGAGGCAGAAACAGTTCTGTTGCAGAATGAGAGTTTTCTCCAAGCGGACTCAGTGGCAGATCGATTATGCCACTGATGTAGTACCAAAGCCTGTGCTGATGACAGCAATCCTGAGAAGCTGAGCGCTAACCTCGGTCACAGTGGCTGAACCAGAATAACTGGAATTCTGGCGAACAGCGAAGCAAGCAAAATCAATTCTGTACGACCAATAAGACAAGAGGACAAAGAAGGGAAAGAAAATGTCTGGATATTTGAATAGAGATTACTTGTGATGACAAGATGCATCAGCAGAACTTAAACAAAAGACACTTGACAGGTGCTTCTTCATTCAGTTTTTTTTATGACATACAATGCTATCAGTAACTAATTTGGGAATTTTTCCCTTTGGCCGGCATATGAATCATCAATTTGGAAAATATCAGAAAATATCAGATACATGGTAAAAATGAGCTCAGACTGATTACTATCACATCATAGACCTCTGCTACTAAAGAAATCCGTGGTGTCAACACAAAACATTTTATGAAATGCTGCAGGTTACCTTATTTCATTCCAATTCATAAAATGTTATTTTAAAAGATTATTTTTCCGTCAAAACCCCAATATGGAAGGCGAAGTACATTATCCATGTATAAAACCTACAGGAGCAGATTGATTGAAAAAAAAATAGCAAATTGATTGAACAAGGTGCAAAACAAAGGGAGAAATTTCACTTTCAGAAACCCCTTTTAAACAGCTGAAGAACAAAATTGCACACACATGTTGACCCCTTAATCTCCCATTTGGGAACAAGCCTGAAGGTCAGTTATAGCTGCAAATACTGCACACACTCTGCTGTGTGTGACTTTCGCATATACATTCACTCAGTGACAACCACAGATGAAAATAAGCGTACACGTTAAGATACACAATCACATCACCAAATATATGCAGAAATGCTGAAATGATGAGAGCACAGGTCAGGAAAAGAATACACCTCACCATTTATACATTTCTGTGAAGGAGTTTTGGACAGAACAAATGCTAACATATCAGTGGCATTTTTTAAGAACCATGAGCATCTATCCAAAAGTGACAAAAGACGAGCTCAGATCATATCCTTAGGCGGAAATGAAAACAGAATTGAGAAAAGAGAAAGATCTTCCTCATCTTGAATTGGCATGGAATCAGTCTGTGTGGGTGAGAGACCGAGACACGGTCTCAACGTGGGAGGTATGAGACATGCAGATGGACACAGAGGAGAAAATTGTTGTTGCAGATTTCTACCACGGCAGATGGACCAAAATTGCAAAATGTAAATCCTATATATGAGAGGAAAGATAAATTATTGGACATTTATTTTCAGAAATAATGCTACTTTATTATAAATTGCTTGAGTTTCATACTGGTAATTTGTACTATAGATGGACGTTGAGTCTCCAACAGAGAAACAAGGTTTAGATCTACTGACTAAGGAAAGGTTTTGATATTCAAAGTATCTGCAAAAAGAAGTAAGACAAAGGAATATATTTCACTTTTATTTGAGGAACAGAAAACTCAAGTGATTCTTTAGTTGCATTCAAAAAGAAAGAACATAGCTGTTGAAGTTAAAGGAGATGTTTTTAAAGCAGCATCAAAATGGTCAGAAAGTTTTGGTGTTTGACAGGAAGAACAGAAATGAGAAAAGAACAAAGAAACATGAGCCCTCTAAAATTCTTCTGAAAGAAACATTTTAAGATCTAATTTAGGAACTGAAATTATCATTTTTTTTAACCTTATTTTACTGTTGATTAAGATGCTCATTTAAAATGCAAATGTAGAACCTGGACAGTATAATAACATTCCTGCTAGGACACACATTCGTGCTCACATGCATTTCCACAGCAGCTTTGTTTTTGGTCCAGCGGTACATGTGGCTTTTACAGAAGTCATTTGTCTTTGGCACTTTGCTTTATTCTTCTCCTCCCCCACTGGAGAGCAGACAGGTTTTACTGCTCTGTGGTCCCAGTGGACACCAGCAACACACATACATGCACACAAGTAGATGTATTACCCCTGTCCCATGTCTTATCCACACATACTTTCACAGAGGTCTGGATTCCAGAGCTAAAATAGAAGCAAAAGAGACGATGAAGCAATGATGCATACATGACCATAATTCATGACTTCTAAGTGTTTCTGTATAATATGATTAGATTTAGAGCCTGATTCAAATTAAAATTCAGTTTCCTGGAGAAACAGATTAAACCTTTTTTCTACTGCAAGTCATTTTGTTAAAAATAACCTTACATTACCCTTGTGTATCTATGTGGCAGTGAACATATATTAAATCACACAAGAAGAAAAGCTTGAGTGAAATTGTATTTGGATATTTGCTAAGCCTCTGTCATCCGATATAGCTCCTCTCGTCTTTGTCAGCAGAACAGCACAGACAGAAATAGCAGTGAAATAAGCTACATGTTTCATTTTCACAAGACATAGACACCCTGCAGACAGAATCTCACAAGATGATTCACTCCTCTGTTGCTGAATTTTTGCATGGTTAAAGAAAATGATCATTTGATGTTTATAAAAACGGATTACTGTAACATAAAACAGCAAACAACAAGCCTAGAAAAATGAATCCATCCGCTTGAGCATTGAATTGCCCAGATTTTTTTTTTCTGAGCTCTGAAAAAACAGCTAAACCGATGCTACTCATTAGGAATTAGTGTCTCTCTGACTGCATCACACTACAGTTCACAAAAGTACCCCGTGAAGCTTTGTCCTTTCAGAGATTCCCAAAATGATTTTGTTTCCTTCTCCCTACTCTGTCCTTTCATTACCTCCACCTCAATAATACAGTGTTTATAGGGCCAGGGTGAGACAATCAATCTCATTTCCATCCTCATTGGCGGCACATCGGCAGACAAGAGCTGCCCAAATAATCCCCTTTTAGCTTTCCCCCTCTACCTCTCTGTATGACTGCACTCCCACTCTAACACGCACACACACACACACTTTGTAACCCTGGGGGAGTCCTTCGATATCACAAGGGGAACTGTAACAGGATTTCTGCAGGATCTTGGGCCTGGGTGGGTGGTCATACATAACTGAATAAAAAGAACACCGAAAGCAGATTATCAGCAATGAAAGATGATTTATTTCCTTATTTGCATACAATTAAGCTGTGTTTCCTACCTGCTCTGAAACTGATAGAAAATCTACATTTTGCAGCCATAACACCTGAGAAATAGCCATACATGCTCTAATGTTCACCCGTTCATCATCACGTTCACGCGTGAGATTTGTTTTCATGTCAGTCTCTCAGCTGACAGACTGAAATCAGGAATAGCACCACACAAAGGCACCCATAACCACTGAGAGCAACCCAGACTGGAGCCTGTGTCTGTATAGTCCAACACAAAACACGAGCATCTCTTTCATAAACTGCCACACCGGCTCAGGCAGCGACTATCACTGCAGCAAGAGAGCAGACAAAGACAAACCCTCTCTCAGTGAGACTAAACGAAACCTAATGATCCAATTTACCCTTTCCTTGCTATTTTTCGTCTGTCTGGTTTGAGCAAATTCAAAGAATCTATCTGTCCCTTCTGTGCCCGTAAGTGCAGTGAATCAAATACAAAGTTGCATGAATTGAAAAGAGAAATTACAAGACTTATTAAGTTACGAAGACAGAACAAAGAGATAACGGGAGAGACCGGCATGGGCAAACAGAAACAGGGTGACACTTCTGGTGAGGAGGAGGGAATTGTAAGATAAGTGAAATCAGTTTAAACACAGGCAGAAATACTCCCAGACAGAGGTGGCGTGAAGGAGAGAAGAGGGTGTCTGTCCACCCTGGCTGCTGGTAGCACTGCATTGTTATTAGCAAAGCCCCTCCACCCACTACCCTAATGCCTGTCACAGAGGAAAAAAATGTTAACTCTTGCATGGCTGGTGACACTGTGTGAGGTGGGACAAAGAAGAGAGGAGGTTATTTTGTATGCAAAGCTGTGCTGACCCCACCAAACCAAAAAAGAAAAGAAAATTAAAAAATAAAATGAAACAGATTGAATATGAGGACTGTAAAAACCTAAGCGTTTATATATACGTTGTAAGACATATAGCTGGAAAGGTGAGAAAACCCAGACAAAGAAAATGCAACTGAATCGGCAGACTTAGTCACCTTTGTTTATTTTAAGAATACATGAAAAATACGCTCAAGTGTTGAAAGAGCAAGAAAGGGGTGTAAAGTGAAGTGGGTATGAGGGATTCCAGTTTGTAATGTAATGTGTAAATGCAAATGTGCAATGTGCTAACCCCCAAGGGTGTGGGGGAGGGAGAGCCGGCAAGGATCAGCAAGAGGTGAGGGAAGAATTGAGCGAAAAAATAAGGTTCTGGGATGGTGGGATGAGAAAAAAGTGCTAAACTGCCTCTAAAAATGACTGAGTTTATGTCATGGACAGAGAAAGGGAAGAGAGTGTTGGATGGGAAAAGTAACTCCGCTGGGATGTAGTTTGATGTGTTTATTTATGGGAGAAAGGACTAAAAACAAAAAAGCATATTCTGAGGATATGGCTTGAAATATTAATCATATGAACTTTAGAAAGTTAACAATCCATCAGATCCTCCTTTGTAAAATACCAAAAAAAAAAAAAACAGATGTTTTCATTTGAGCAGCAATTTCCCTTAAACCAAAATTCTGCAGAAATATCACACACAGGTCGACATAGGTTAAAAAATGGATGTGGTGTTTACTCCCCACAGAACAGCAACATCTGAGTGCACGTGTGTGAATGTGTTAGTGGGGGCGTGCCTCTCTGTTCACCCTCTGATGTCTTGGCCATTACTGCAGGGGGAGGAGCCACAAAACACTTGCGGGCACCTTCCAGACAAAAGCCGCATGAATTTGAAAACATGTGTAATCATCTGTGTTGATGCTTTATTCACAGACAAGCACATAGTCAAATCTCCTAAAATTCTAAGCAAAAAGATTGCCTTTTTTATTTCTACACCTGATCACAACAAAACCTAATCAAAATAACTGTAGTTAATTTAAGTTCCTATTATTCTCTCATTCACTAAAGACCTCAGTAGGTACAACTTATCCATCCAAACAAAAGTGAAATACTGAGCAAAGAAAATATTAACGAGAAGCAAACTGACAGTTTTTCTTCACTTCCCTTCAACACATCTATTGTCCCCTCTTACTTCCTCCCCCCCTTCCCCTCCTGTGATCTGTCCTATAAAACGGCCTTGAAAGTTGCACTGGTGTGCTGCACTCATGGGTTTTATGACAAGCTGATTTACCTGCAGCAACACATACACAAATGCAGCACGCAGCCACCTGAAACCAATCAACAACGCACAAAGATGCACATGCGTGCTGCTGTGAGAGGGTTTTCCTGGCAGAGAGCGGCTAAATTGATCGCGGCTCAGACATAGCTGAGGTCAGATGTAATGAATCAATCCCACATGCATCAGCACCCAGAGCAGCAGCTACAGCAGACAGGGAACAGTTGAAAGGCCATGGGATCTACCACCTGGAGGTTGACCACCAGTGTCAACCTCCACATTAACGGGACTGGCACGGATTGTTAAGATTTAATAAAATAGACTGCAAGATCCACAAATGTGAGGAACCTCTTATACTGGGATCAATATTGAAAGCAGACAATCCAAACAACCACAAGAACCACTCTGCCCACACTGAATAGTATGTCAGAGGACCGGTAGGGGTAGATCCTAAAGAATAAGAGTAGAACAGCTAGAAAAATTGAAAATATGAATGACAATAAAATGATGCTCAAGTTGCTCTATCAATTAAAATAATCCAACCAACTGGAACAACTATTCTCAGCAGTCTCAAGGACAACCTACGAGACGCCGATCAATTAGGATGAGAAATATGATATGAACAACCTTCATTTGATCGTCGGACAGAAAAGTGAGGATCGGAATATGGAACGGACTGCGAATGTGACAAACACATATGGAAATTGCCACTTTGCCTCAGGGTCCCTCATATGTTCCACAGAAAAAGAGAGGTGGTCCTAATGAGTATGTTCAGCATTCACATCAATGTCTTCTTAGATAAGAAGGTTAAAATCATACATCAAGATAAACTATTTCCCTAACATAAATTCAAAATTAGCATAATTTCAAAACTAATTTACATGTTTAAACACTATTTGGCACAATACAAAATGGTACAAACAAAGAACAAGTGTTACACATCTGCAAAATTGATTGATCAGTAAATCTTCCTTAATAATGGGGGGAATAAATCCCTCAAACCCGTTTGGATGTTAACTTTCAGTGCAGTGGATAATGCCTTGAGTCTGAAAGTCCAAAGCCGATAATCTATGTCTGATCATTACAAACACACGCACTGAGGTCCATCCATCACACCAACCTGTTCTCTCTCCTGACCCCACTTTCTCTCATACAGCATTATTCACCCTTTTTACAACCTGCTCAACTTTGATTACACGTCAATTTCATCGTTAAAAACAACAAAAAAGAAAAGCACGATGAACGCTGTTAAATGCACCACGAATATCCTTTCGATCGCGTCTACAGTTCAGCTGAAAACGCTGAGCCAACCCAGTCGGCATCAAATACCACTGAAACTACCAAGCAAATAAAATGTGCGACACTTCTTCTAGAAAGCAACGCCGGCCTCCGGAGGATCGCTGCTAAATATATCTACGGGGTGTTTACTTACTTCCAGGTTTTTCCGAGCTGCTGATTCACTGAAGAAACTCGCCCAAAAACACTGGAGTTGCACAAGGCAACACGGACGCATGGCTCGGCTCCCTCCCCGCGCTCTGATTTCTCTCTCTGGCTGGAAGCAACGATGCCAGGAGAGAGGTACTGCAGACAGGAGGAGGAGGAGGAGGAGGAGGAGGGAGGAGTGGTGCTGATGCTGCAGCCGACACCTGGCAGAGCTTCCTTCTGCTCAGACGCTTGCTCTGAGTTCCTTTCTTTGCACGTTTGCGCCCTCTGCTGGAGGAAGCGAGAAGCTGCAGCATAATGAACAGATTTCACCCAAAATCCCACAGAGACTTTTAGAAAGCTCTTTATTTACAGGATGATGCATGACACATAAAATACTTTCACAACGAGGAGTTGTCACACCCTTATAGTGTAAATACCGCCGTTAGTTGGTATATAAAACCAATTTCTAAGTGTACAAGTTGTGTCTCTGTTTTTATACAACGATGCATAGCACAAGTTTGGAAGAACTTTAATTCTGAATGCTTGTGTTTTATGAACACTGGTACCGCCAACAGATGGTTCCAAAGTAAGAAACTTTACCTATCAGTGCTGCATCTATGACCTAACAATCCAAATGGCATCAGGCTTACATCAAGGTTAGCCTTAACTACTGTCTATGTTGTGCCTTTGGCAGTGCCTCTGTCAGCAGATGGAGTTTCAAGTTTTTCATCACAAAAACATCATTCGTACCATACGACTCAGAGCATGGATCACTCAATGATTCATGAAGATACAGTTAGGTTGGAGCTATTTTGCATTTCACCTGTGAAATTTAGTTAAATGATATTCCCAAGATCAAATCTTGGGTGAACGTAACCATTACTAATGCTGATGTCTGACCAAGTGGAGTGACCACAATGTGAAATGCAAGACAAAAATATCTGCAAAATAATAAAATCTACTAAACTGCTGATGTAATTAAGAAAACAAACCCTAAAGCTGCTGATGGGGTATGCCACATCAAAAATAATGTCACCTGCAATCCATAAAGAAAAACACTCAGCTGTGAGGAGGCAATAATTCATCCACACAGGTATGTGCAGCTACATTACTTACATTTGGAATTCAAACTTTGAGATTTGACCATTTTATAGGGCACAATGAGCTTTAAAATAGACAGTTCCCTTTCACAGCAAGATAATTATATAGCCTGTTTTAAATATGTACTATGATTAAATGGACTTTCACCATCTGTGAAACAAGAACTGAAAAAGTGCTGCTTTAATTAATTGTGAGGAACTGTGAAAATGAACCAGGACGTGTTAGAGCATGAGGCCAGTCTCCACAGTGGATCACAAACATCTGAAATGTCTGAATGGATAGTGAAGTCACACAGATAATTACAACATACCTGCTGTGAAACACTGAAATACAGGCAGCCCACTATGAGCCACAGTCATGAACATGTTGCATTAGTTTTGTTCTGTTACATATTTTTTGTGCTACACTAATACAAAAAAGGTCACCAATGAGAAAGGAGAGATTAAGGCAGTAAATCTACCCTGAGGTTATCCTGATTAACACCGATCACGTAAACACAGCATGAGGCACACAACAGCAGACTCAACAATGACCTCCTGGATTAAAAGGCCTAAAAACAAATGCAAAAGTTATTCACCATAACACAAAGCATTTTCTTCAATTTACAAATAATTTACTGCAAGAAATATACAAAACACCTTATATACACCGTTCTGTCAATCCATGTTCGTACATCTTCTTTGTTTGGACTGTTTGTTTTTGTTCGAACAACCAATTGAGCATTTTACTGGATGACTTAAAAATCAATCTATGAATGTGAGAAAAGCACAACGAATATCCTCACATATGGTACTGGAGTCAGATTCCTTTGAACTTCACTAATTTCTGTTTAGGTTACATTAGCTTGCTCAATTAATGGACACCATCGAATGAAAAGAGACTAAAAAAGAAACTAAAAATATATTTACAAGTACTGATTAATAATCCTGTCCATGCTAATTGTAAAAAATAGAAACTAGCAATAAGAACAGAGATTGAAACAAATTATGAGATATGGCAATTCTTGAGAGGCATTTTCATTCAATGCACTGCATATTCAATCAAATTTAGAATTTGGAGAATGCTCTGGGAATTTCTATGCTTAGGAAGTGAGCAGTAATATTCACAGAGAAGGCAGCACATATATTGAGAACAAACACATTTTTCTAAAAAGGCACACTAAGAAAAAAAAAAGATACTTTTTAAAAATAGATGTTGAATGTCACAAACTACAGATGCAAAGACACAGCATCCAGCACTGTGAAAGTCCACTATCATCTATCGCTATCTTGACCCGATCATCACAAACTGTCAGTGTTTCATCCTTAGTGAATCAGGAAAATTAGATTTGTTCCAAATAAGAATGCATTTTTGTAGCTGGCAGCATTCAGAACTATCATAACATGTTCTTAGAGTGGTAAGTCCTAGTGTGTTTATTTTTCATCCACTACCTGGACATCTGCTAACAACACCGGGAGTCCCAAAACATTGGCTTCAGCTTTCCAAGGTTAAACCATGGATGACAGCTGATGGGAGCAGAAACATGGCTTCAGAAAATGCAAGGAGGGGCAGCATCTTTTATCAACTGTGGGTACATAGGAGGTGGTCTATGTAGATCGATTGCTAAATCTTATTTGACAAAAGCAAATACAAGAGGATGAAATCTATTACTGTGGAACTTTCTGGCAACCTGACAGCAGCTATTGCTTATATGCACCGGCAGCCATGTAACCCATACACATCCCAAAGAAGTAAATAAAACCCAACATGAAGAGAAATGCATCACTGCTCTGCTTCATCTCTGAACATCCATTAAGAAAGTAACACAACTCATGTTGCCAACATGAGCCATCCCTCCACACGTAGCCAAGCAAACGTTAGCAGCTGAATAACCGGGCCACCTGCTACATGCCATTGCAGCATGTCTATTATGGATATGAAGGATGTTTCTGCATGAGAATTATCGCCTGCCATCTGTGTTCCCCTCTTCAAAGTGTACAAATTTTGGGCTGGTTATCTATCTTAGCTTTCCAACGGAACCTCGACACAGAAAGAGAGGGACTTAAACTAATGTCAGGGCAGGCTGACATGAGCTGCGTGCTCTAAAGCTTCCTACAAATCTTCATCATTATCTTCCCTGGCATCGATGCCATTGCGGAGAAAGGCTTCTTTTTCTGTTGACATGGCCTCTAATTCGCGGTCAAACTTGAAGCCGTTCATCTCTGTCTCTACAGTTGAGTGCGTCGTAGCTGCCTCAGCGCTGTGGTGGATGCCATACAAGAAGTAAATCACTAAGCCTGTAAAAGAACAAGATGACTTTATTTCAGAATGATTGAATCTGAACACAAAATTATTTGTGAAGTAAACAGCACCAGAAGAGACTAATAAGGCTAAAATATGTTCCTTGTTACTTTAACATATTGTAGATGAACATCCCCTTCTTAATCAGAACCATTTTCTTAACTACAGGTGACTTACTTGTTCTCTCTATGAGTTAGTCGGAGGAGTGCTATATTCACCAAATTGAATTAAAGGTGTTTGTTTGGTCAACTTAAAATCCACATCTTACTTTGATTTAACAGAATTAAATTTGAGAGGTTTAAAAAGTTTTAGTCCAAAACAGTAGAAAATTCATTCAGCAAAATGCACCATGCATATTCAGATCCTGATCGCATTACTTTAAAAAGCAGGGAAATACATGCTCCGTTGAATTATCAAAGGCAAGCTTTATTATCCTAATGTGCAAGCAGTATCAAACAGTAGTTTTCTGCGAGGGGAGATGTGTTGAGAAAAATATGAGTAATGGAGTACCTATTGCCATCCAGATGGAAAACCGAATCCAAGTGCCTCTGTCCAGCTGCATCATCAGGTAGACATTGACAAACATGCTGATCACTGGAAGAAAAGGCAGCAAGGGAACCTAAAAGGAGAATCGGGCTTGAGTAAACACACATCACACATTAACTTTAAATGGACCAAAGTGGTGTGGAACAGATCTCAAATCAAACCTTGAAGGAGAGTTTTGTCTTGCTCTCAGGCTGCCTCCAGACGACGAAAACAAGGAGGAGACACACCATGAAGATGACGGTTAGGGTTATCATGTTCCACGCAACTATGCCTCCCTGCACTGCCAGTATACTGAAGGCCAGGATCAGTATTCCTGCAAAAGAGCGTACAAAATGTTTAAATCATTTCAAGCCTAAAGCAAAATAAAACACTAATAAACTTCTGCACAACACTGCCGAATAAGCTCTCTTTATTTCCATTCTGAGGTGAGAGAGTTTAATAGTTGGTAGGAGAAAAAAAACACAGTTGAATTTCATAAAACCTGGGGAGAAATGGAAGCAAAGGAGCCTTAAAAAAATAATGTTTTGGAAACCGTGAAAGACGTCATTGGGTTTTCCAGTGGCTGTGTTACAGTAATTACAATGATTTATTGTATTTAATTACTGCTTTAGTGCATATGAATTTTCCATAAACACTACCCAGTTAGGCAATGAAACCAAGCATTTGCTCTGCATGCATTTTAAAGTCTGTGGTTAAAAATTGAAAACAAAACAGCTGTGGAATTAGTGTATTAGTTGCACACTACCAGACTAAACTAATTGTGAAATAATAATGAATTTCTATGGCAGCCTCTCTGTTTTCCAATTTTACAGTACAGAAAACTACTGATGCAGATTCAAACAGCCTTCTCCTAAATGTTTTCATGGAAACTTGTGTTTTGGGGTGAGAACGTACCCATGATGGAAGTACAGACGTTGACAATGAAACCTGACAGCGTGGATGGTTCAGTGTTGCTGGGAAACAGCAGAGTCTGGAAGCTGAACCTCTCCTCCACACCAGGCAGGAAGTCCATGCTCGGGACACTCAGGCCATCACTCATGTCTGCGTCATCTTGGTTATTGGCCATCTGGTATACCGAGGCGGGCTGCTCTGGCTGGTACCTAAAACAAAAAAAGTATCTAACTTAACTGTCCATGACAGTTTTATTCATATTTAAGACATACAGTCACAATAGTTGTAACCATGTTGTGGGAATCCCTTAAAAAATGAAGACATACTTCAACAGCAATAAATGTTCTTTAGAAATTCTCATTGTATGAAAACTGCTAGAAATATGAGTGGAGCACTGAATTTCACTGTCACTGAAAACAGAAATACAATGCGATATGAAGGCGGTAAGACAGATCAAAGCACATCCATATGCACCGGGACAGCAGGCTGACAGAAACATGCTCCACTGTCACAGGATTCCAATGAGCCTTCACTATTCAGTAGGCATTAACCTGATCATGCAGTTCATGACTGAACAAATACCGCCATGTTCTGTTCCCAGTATGGCAGCTTAAACACTGACCTGAGCACCAGCACACAGGCAGCCACTAACGTGTAGGCCAGCAGGGTACCTATGGACATCAGGTCCACCAGGTCCTTCAGTTCAAACAGAAATGCCATGATTGCTTTCATTTTTAAGAGAAAGAGGGAAAAAAAAAGAAAAGCGAAAAGTGAAGATTAGAGCTCACATGACAAGCCTTAAAAAATGTTCTTACAATACGTCTTGGAATAATAAATCTGCTAAACATGGAGCTAGTGACGTGTAGGAGAGTTGAGACTATAGAGCGAAGCGATATAACAAAGATGAAAAGAGGTTGTGTTGAGGATAGAGATATCCATCATGTGTGTCACATGGGGAATGGATGCACTAAATAAATCAATTAAACGTCATGATGTCCTATAAACTTTTTTTCTGTTCTTTGTTTCAGTTTTGTCATTGGTTTACCTTCCACGCTGTAACTTGTTTTGAAGAGTAAGCTTCAACTTTAATTTTCATACCAGGCTTTGTTTACTGAAAGCTACATCTAGTTTTTTTTTGCTATTATCTATTCATCTACTTAACATTTCTTGTGTTAGGTTGTAAAAATATAGTGTTTCTCTTTGGATGTACCCTTGCCTTACTTATTGCATCTTTGTCTGCTTTTGGGTCTCTTTCTTCAGCACAGATACAGAAGTGATGCAACACAGTACTGGAGGTTGAATAAATCTTTCTAGAGTTTGGATGTAATTGGTGTCTAATTCTAATAAAACATAACTATATATTTTACAAAATATAAAAGGATGATCCATCCATTTTCTATTTAGGATCATGTGCGAGCACTTCAAGCTTCAATTGGGGGACTTAAACTAAATTAAAAGCTGAAAATACTCCCTTTTTTATCATACACATGAACACCTTTAGTGGACTTCACATGGATTTAACAGCCATTCACAGTTTCTTTTCAGAATTTGTATGTACTGCATACATGCTTTCCCTTTCAAAAACAGTTTTATTGTGAACATATTCTTCCTCATATTTTACATTTCATCCTCTTACTCTTACCGGACATCACCCCAGCAGCAAAAGTGGACGTTATAGGAGCTTTCCTCTCGCTGACCTGGGCCAGGAAGGAGAAGAGCAGCCCATCCCGTGCCATGGCAAAGATGATACGGGGAAGGGGGAACATGGAGCCCAACAGACTGGGGCAGAGTGAAGAGGGAAACGTTAGATTGAGATGGCAGATGTGTAAATAGATGGACAAGTGGAGAGAAATGATTGAGGGCAAGAGGGGCCAAGAAAAAAATGTAGAGAAAGGAGATGAAAATAACAAGCAAGCTATGAGTCAGAGAGCTGAGGAAGGAGAATGCGCAACAGGACACCAAACCAGGACAGGATGCTGTGCCAAGGATCTTTTAATGCCAGCAAGCAATGGTACGTATGCTTCCCATGCTGTTACCCTCCATTCAAAGTTTAAATTTAGGTTTCTTTAACCGTGCAGTTTTGTGTTTTTGCGTTTCCTTTGACCAGATGCAGGTGAAACATGGTGTTCCAGCATCCTAACTGAACGAACATTTATAGTTTAGCACACCAATGCTGAAGGGATAACCGAACAAGTACCTGGACATGAGGCGGTTAATAGAGCTCTTTTTATGCTCAGGGGTTTTGATTTCTGCCAGGTTACTGAAAGAGCCTTTTAAAATAGAACCTGCCAACTGGCTGGTCAGAAATCAGCCCTGCAGCATGAAAAGAGGGCTTGGGTAAATACCTTAGAAGACATGCGTGTTAGTGTCTCACCTGCCCCTGTGCCAGAGGCAAGGGTTGCAATTAGCGGGGTTTTGGTGCGGGGGCTGATCTCGGCCATGAACTTGAAAAGCAGCCCATCGTCAGCCATAGCCCAGATCACACGGGGCATTGGGAACATAGAACCCAGCAGGCTACCATGGAGGGGGGGGAAGACGGGGATATATAGTATCCACACTTACACCCGAGAGAATGCCATGAGAACAGAAACAGCCGCTCACATATATAAGAGTATCACACAGAATAAAGTAGCAGATAAGATAGAAGATAATACACCTTATGCTGAGCAGAAACATTCACAAACACGATAAAACATTTACAAACATTAAAATGACTTTAAATATAATGCATGAAATTAATTTTAACACAACTTTACACAAAATGAAAAACAAATGAAATATTACTGGTATACTTAAATAATGACCCTTAACATGTTTAAGTTTGTAGTTTTATGACCAATGTTACCTAACCACACACACGCTGATGCAATAAATCTTATTCTCAGCTGTGCTTTTATTTTTAGTATAGAAGTCAAATGCCTACTTAAGTTAAAAATACACACACACTCACACACGCACCCGCACACACAGATAAACGTTTAAAAAAGATGTGCACGTCGGCATGTTTTTAAAAAAAAAGACAAAAGAACACGGCAGTCCCTGAGTTCAGCGTCTCAGTGCTCACCTGGTAGACAGAGCACAAAGGGAGCCTACAGCTACAGCATATTTGGCTCCTCCCCAGCCCACATAATTGAAAGCTACAGGCAGAGGGCTGTTGCTGTCCAGGAGATAGTATGGCATCATGAGGGTGAGGGCAGCAGAAACACCAAAGTAAGCGACAAAGCAGATCAGCAGAGAGGAAACGATGCCGATGGGGATGGCTCTCTGGGGGTTCTTCACCTCCTCACCTACACAGAAAGCACAAATAACACTTCATCGGGTGGAATAGTATGGTATGGTCATCATCGGCTACATTTTTGGCTTCCTCAAATTATGTTAAATGGGGTAACATTCCTGGTGAGTGAGTTAAAAAAGCAAAAAATCTTTCAAAAAGCGCTCGGAGAGCAAAAGTTTCTTGTGCCAAAAGGAAAAAGCTCAATTTACGACTACAGAGCTCAGTTAATCCATGAGAAATTCTGCAAGCTGTGCTAAAAATAATCACATTCTACTGGGGGGAAAGCTAAAAAATGCTATTCACAAAGGAAATTTGTGCTTTTGACCAAATGGTGTTGGGAGTGATTCTGGACATGTATGAGGAGCAAGACCAGAAAGAAAAACAATTCAGTTACAACATATGAGATTCTTCGCAGCGTCACACAGAACTGCACTGGTTGCATTAATAAATGCTTGGCACATATTTCATGATGTAAAACTGTGGTTTTGACCGATCTCAGAGGAATAGATCATGTTGACACAGCCATTTACAATCCTAAATGTGTGTGACTGTTATCACTTGAGTCTAGAATTCCTGAAACAGCTTTTGTTTGTTAGTAAATAACTTATTTCTACATTGACGTCATTCCAGAAGACATAGAAAACTCTTCCAACAGATGTATTCAAGACACAGTTTGTGTGGTATTACGCAAGAAAATGAACACATAGCGCTCATTCCCTGCAGACCGAGGAGCGAAACACCCAGCTGCAGGCTATTGTGCAACAGAAGTCCTCAGGCAAACATTTGGCACTTGTTAAGCAATGAATTCACAGTACAATGCAGGGACATTTAATAGACCAATATAAATGTGGTATAATAAAGCAATTATAACATCAACTCTTAGAAAAAGAAAGGAAAAAGGGAAATATTTCTCCACATTTTTTTAAATTTCCTTGGGGCAAAAACAGAATCAATATTTTTCTCACAGATAGTTTATGTTAAAAGTGTGAAATCTTAGAAAGAAGGGTAAAAATGTATGCTCAATTTAGGCATAACATCTCTAAACCTAATTTTACAGCTAGTTTAGGTAAGTGCACTTACACAAATGGCTTGTTGCTGATATAACTCCAGCCACTTACATGTGAGCATATGGCTTCCTGTGAGTGTAACTCACAGACATGTCTCTACAACTCCTGCAGTTATTTCAGGGAAAACCTCATTTTAGCCTATTAGAAATCAGGAAAAAGGGGGTGGGTAAAGCCTTAGGGAATAGAGAGCAAGCAAGCTGCCAGAAAAGTGTAAACACTCCCTTTCTTACAACTGGGGGAAAACCAGTTAGAGATATGCTTTGTCAAGATGCAAACGCGGTGGTATATTCACAGCAGTAGAATTGCAAAGAGCAGATAAGAAAGAGGACGGGTTTTCTCCCAAGCCTCGTTTTAACGTCATTTACGGCCTAAATCTGCATCATGGTATTTGGTTTTCTGCCATCAGAAGAAGGGGGCCAAGCGCATTAAAGTGAAGCGTTTCTCTCTGCCTTGCCCCTGTTATGTAACAGTTTTGGAAGTTATGCACTGAAACAGCTCCAATTCCAGATTAAGTTTCTCCCCAACCAAAAGACTGAGGCATGCCCAAGAGGATAAGAAAAATGGAGAAAGAGGAGAAACCAGAAAAGTGGAATGTAGATATTTGTTCATGTGTAATTTTGTAAACTTCTATTGGCTTGGCTACAGATTTCTTCACCCGCTATTCAGATGACCTGGTTCTTGTTTGTTATCCCCCTGTTGCTGAGTTCATCCTCCATTTTTTTTTCTCTGCTGGATCATTTTACGTGGTGAGTTTATTTTCTATGTACTAAGATACCTTTTTTTAAAAACACAAAAAGAGCAAAAGAGGAACAAAGAAGGTGTTTGGGGTTTCATCCGTCACTGACCTGTCGTGGCGATGCAGTCAAATCCTACAAAGGCATAGAAACATGTGGCTGCTCCTGAGAGGACACCCGTGAAACCAAATGGCATGAAGCCCCCCGCTCCTACGCTCTCCTTGGTTGGCAGAGTGTCAGTCAGACTGTACAGGGAGAAGCGATTGATTATTTTAAAAAATGTCAAAAATTACTCTGAATTTAAACTGGTTGAACTTAAATTGATGAATATCAAGTTAAGAACTTCCTCTTTCCAATATGAATGTTTAAATCATCGGGTTTGCTGAGTCTGGTTTATTCCAGTCCTGTGGTTCATTCAAAAACAACAAGCTTGAACTGTGCTGCCACAGTTGTTTAAGTGAAAAGAAGCTTGAATTATGTTATTTACATTGATTTCGAGTGGCTTCCATGCAGCCCGATGTCGAGCTAAAGCAAATTATATGATTGTGTTACAGCAGTTCTAACATGTTTAGATGCATTTCAAAAGTCCAGTTGTTGCCACACTAGCACAATATATTTCTTTTTCAATTTTATGGAAACTTGTTCACAGTTTTACTTTGAGTATGAAACCTGATTTTAACACCTGTTTGATTGATTTTCCATTATGTCTTGGAAGGCATAACATGAAAACTGAAAGAGGATCCATCTCTATTTAGCTAGTTTTGACTTTAAAACCAAAAAGCTTGTGAAAAACAACAGAAAATGTAGGAAAAGAGTAATAATATCTTACTTGTGACTGGAGCTATTTGAATAATTTGCATGTAGGATTTCCTCAGGGTCTAGCTGCCAGTTTTTCATTGTGCCTTTGACCAGGCCAGAGACCACCATGAACAACAGGACCAGCACGTTGACACATGTAAAAACCTTATTCACCATTGCTGACTCTTTCACTCCAAATGCAAGAAGACCTTTGAATTACAAAGAAAAGAGCAAAAGAAGGTAAGGGGAAAAATACCATTCATCATAAAAGTAACTATTTCAATACGACTTATGTCTTTTCACAGCACTTACTGACTGACACAGGTACAGGACATACAGATACAGGCTGTTCCTCACAAATTGTTCAAATATGATTTAATATTACACATGTACCCTTAGAATGCTTACTATTCATTTTTCACAGAGATACGAGTGGCCTAAAAGTGGCCTAAAATCTAAAACAAACCAAAGTCGGTGCCACAATTGCTTAAAGAACACATGTTGCTAACTCACTTAATGTGCTCAACTTAAAGGACATAGTATAAAAAAAGCAAATACATGCCAAATGAGGGATGTTTGCTTACCTGTAAGGGTGAATATGATGAGAACAGCAAACATGTCGGGGTACTCTGCCAATATGCCTGGAGCTTTCATAGACATGTACTCTCTGCAGAACTGCTCTATGCGCTTTCCTACCAACTCATCAAAGGTGGCACTCCATGCACGGGCCACACTAGATGTACCTAGCACGTGGAAATGTTAGCTCTCTTCCTGTTCTCCAACATACAAACATCTTCCTTTACATTCAAAGCAAAAAAGGAGAGCAGTGTATTTTTTTCAGTTTTTTTTCTTTACCAATGATGTAGGAGAGGATGAGATTCCATCCAGTGATGAAGGCCCACAGCTCTCCCACCGTCACATAAGAGTAAAGATACGCTGAGCCTGTCTTTGGGACACGGGCTCCGAACTCAGCATAACAGAGACCAGCCAACACTGAGGCCAAGGCTGCGATCAGGAAAGACAGAACGATCGCAGGACCTGAGGTGGCAGAGAAGGAGCCAAAAGAACCATCATTTAAAGCTCAAACAATTTCCACTCTCATCAACTCCGGAAATGCAGAAACACCTGAGTTGTCTCGTGCAACGGCGCCGGCAAGCACATAAACGCCAGCGCCCAGCGTGCTGCCCACGCCCAGGGCCACCAGGTCGAACGTGTTGAGACATCGCGACAGACGGGACTCCTCGGAGTCACAGTTTACCACCTTCACCCGTAGCAACTGCTTCCCAAAACGCAGAAGCGTGTCCAGCACCATGGAGGCCTCAGGAGGGAAGAGAGGGTACTCTGGGCTTTAGAAGTCGCAGGTTAGAAGGTGAGAGTCCACACACACCCTAAAAGGGGGAACAGAGGTTTTCCTTATCAGTCCATCTTTGACTGACACACATGAGAAGTATGTTTACATCTTTTTTATATTCCAAATGATTGATAATAATCTCCTCTGCATTGCATCAGTAAATATTAGGTTCTTTTCACTCATTACACATGTAATTGCATTGATAAAGTACCAGGATTTCTTACTAAGATGAGAAAATGAACTGAGTTACCGAGTCCACATGTAAAACTTCTGTAATATCGCCACAGTTATTCCAGTTAGTTCATCTTAATTAAATTATGCCATTTTTATAACAGTATGACATAGGGATCTTTTCAACCCTTTCACGTCACGGATTCTGTGAAACCAGGGTATGAATGAAGTAAAATATGGACTCCAGATAGAGAAATTAGATGGGAGGAACAATTTCCTCCAACAAATAATACAAAGTTTTAGCTGTTTAACTGAGATACACAATATGACCTAAAAAAAAGAAAAAAAGACATAGATAAAGTGAGTGACATGCCACCAGATTGACATAACACCATGACACATTTGTAGATAATGGCAACTTGTCAGAGCCCTCTGACATGAGGACATAAACTCCAGAGGTCGTGTGGACAGTACAACAGCCATTTTACAACACATGGAAACTTCCATATAAGGCCAAGCTGGTGTACCTGCGTAGTCCTCTATTATTCTTCAGGGAAAGTATTCAGGCTCAGGTAGAATGTCCCAACCTGGTCTATTAAAACACACGTGAAAATCTTTCACTGGGGTTTTAACATATCCACAGAAGTCATATATAGTCAAATAAATCCTGTTTTATGTTCATTCACATAAAACATGCAAAATGAAGACATCACATGGACAGGATTATATCATGCTGTGGCCAAGATTAAATCACTTTTTAATATATCAAATAAGATAATACAGGATGGAATAATGATGGACCCAAAGTACTGCCACACAGTAGAACAGGGTTTTTCCCTCAATATCCACAATGAGAGGATACATTAAGGTCAGAAGATGTTGAAGTCAGTCTCTTGTGGTGGCAGGTTTATACTGAGGTCACTACTGTTGACATGGTATCATTTATTATGGTGCTGTAAGTCAGCAGGGAGGCTAGCGAGATCTTCCTAGAAATAATGTGGAAAGAATTACACAGGTGCAAGCTCTCTTATTTCCTGGCAATAACAGAAGTAAACATATTGATGTGCTTCTTAAAAAGAGCTAAAGCGAAATGTTGACTATTTCTATGTATTAGTCAGACAAAACAGACTCACTCAACCAACCGTTTCACAAATACGTGGAACCCGTAATTGAGAGGGAGCCATTTGTGTGGACTTATTTAACAACTTAAGCACATATGTAGCTGTCAGTGTCGGACACCGATAGGTTCAGATGAGTTGTTTAGGTCATGACACGTGGCACTAACATGAACATGCACACATTTTCTTTTTAAATGGTCACAGGATATATTTCAATTCACCCTGAAACTGAAGTGTAGGCAGACCGATGACTGCGCTCAGTATGTGCACATTTCATACTGAGGTGCATATAATGGAAGTTAAGTAGTTAGGTAAAAACCGTGGCTGAATATTTCCATAAGAATTTACCACTTGCTACGCAAAGCTGGTACATAACCTCCTGTTCTGGAAAAACTAACACATCTTAACGCAATAATATAAAAAAAAGTTTAGACCAACAATTATTTTGTATTCTATTGGAAACCACAAAGCTGTAGCAGACGTAACCACACATAAAACGTCCATGCAAAAACACAGAAGAAGTAGCCCACATGAACCACATGACCCCTAACTGACCTGAGTACAAAGGTTATGCAACTGCTCAAGTTTTCTGTCAATTCAAGCAACAAGCCCTAAACAATGACACGTCCGGGAAAGTAAAGGTGACGGCCTGAGACAACCTTCAGTCTTTGAAAGAAAAATCCCGATGAGTTGCAGCTACAGCAAATCATGTCCGAATGACACGAACCCATTCCAGCCACAGCAAAAGAAGACAAAAATCTCAAGTACTTACTTCAAAATACCCACAGCCACAGTTCAGGGTGGAAATGTTGAAAGGTGGAGAACAGGTAAAGGGATTAGAAGCAAAGAATAGTCTGCAAATACTATTCTTTGAGCTGTTGGGTAGACTGCGGAGTGTTTGACCATCAGCGCTCTGAAATAGTATATGGAAGAATCACATGGCTAGGCTATTCCAAGCAGCACACACTTATACACGAACATGCACTGTCAAAATGCACCAATCTCGTAAAACCAGTTTCTCTTCATAAGCAGCAACATTTCTGCTCTTTATGTTTCTCAGAAATAGACAGTAGCTCCGGGAAAGCTGATTTTGTGTCACATGTGCATGAAAGTGCAATCACATACTGTAGCAGCAATTCACTACAAGAGGCTAGAATAAAAGGATTGCTTTTAAAGGGCATGTAAGAGTATCCAAAGTCGGTGCCTCAATTGCAAAGTGTGAACATTACAGAAAGCATGCAAAATGTCATTTAAAAGAATAAATGCAAAGGTACACACAGTCTATTGCCCGCTTCACAATGATGCAGTGCAGTGAAGGAGAAGACAGAAACGCTAATCTTCATCAGTGAGTGGGTGTCACTGAAGGGAGAGGGGGCGTGATCCCAAACAGCCAATCAAAGCAAAAGGTGAATTGGACATGGTCTATCTGTGAGAGATGTTATCTAATGGTACAAACACAGTCAAGCTCAATGCTCCAAACAGATGGGTTTACTTTTATATCAAATTAATCATTTTCGAAAACTAATCTAAACTAATTAAATGAAACAGATAAACGTTGATTTAAAGGATGATATATCTTAAACAAACAGTTGTGGCTTCTACTCTTCTTCACCCCTAAGCATTGCAGAATGCTCACTTTCTGAGGTAATAGGCTTTCTTCATGAGCATAGTCATAACAGAAGATTATGGATGGACAATAGTAAAACTGTGACAGCACACTGAATCTGAGACCTGTAAGAAAAAAACCTCTAACAAGCACATGGTTAAAACAGGAAAGAGATCAGCGTGTATTACTGGACTGCTGACATTTCCCATCTGTTTCAACTATATCAAAAGCTTAATCGCTTTTATGAAAATGTGTGACTTTCTCTGGTGTCACCTTTTTGTCCTCAGGTTCACATTAACATCTAAAAAGAATGTGATGTTCTTATCTGACTGAGTGAGCTCGTGGGGGTTTATAGTGTGCTCCACTAGGGCCCTTTGGTTTATTATGTGTTGTGGTGACCATTGTATCAGTCAATACAATGAGTCAAAGTCAGTCAGTGCCTCAGATCCTAAATGGAACGGAAATTATAACTGGGCTAATAACACTAAACAAATGTGTCAGGTCGTAATGTTTCCTAAATAAACAGACCGAATAAACAATGAGACAGAGATACAGCATGGAGAGCATTGGTTAAGAATGTTCTGTCTCAGTAAACTTAGATCTGTAACTCATCAGACAAATCAATCACCTGCAGACAATCAAAACATAAAACCCACACATTTTTTAAGGTAAACTTTTGACAAATAAAAAGAAAGAAATGTAAAGTTTCTTCAACACATGCACAGATTAAAGGCATAATCACATATTTTAGGAAACAAAAGCTTGACTCTACCCACCCATTCCATTCCATTTAAGCTTACATACAGTCAGACACAAAATAAACCCAACAACACTGTTCTAATTTGAACAAACCAGAGACTCAAACTTTTGATTGACGCCAAAAATAAAAAATTCAATGACATTGAGGTATGTGCTTTTTTATTATTAGGGTTAGAAGGGTTGAGTGCATTGAAATGTCTCAGCACATTAAACAGCCATAGAAATGACAGAGCTGTTTAAACTATGGTGACTTTTGCACACTTTTTCCCCCAGTGGTATAAAAAAGCTTTATACAATATTCTAAACCATGTAGCAATTCAAATGTCAAGCTAAATCATATTCTGCTTTTATCTGAAAAAAAGTGTAACTTTTCTTATTTACTTAAAAGATACTTGACTATATAGATATATGACAGTGAGCCATATTTGTGAGTACTGATCCTGACGTGTGCTTTTTATATTCTGTTTTTTTTTGTAAGTACTCACTGCATGCTAACAAAACTATCTGAATCTCAATGGCAGTAAAGCATAAGCCAAAATGCAATGTGTACATATGTTGCAACATCAACTTTACCGAGATGAAATACGAAACTAGGAGCTCAGTGAACCTGGAAAGCTCCCGCACACACAGGCAGGCATAGTCCTGCTTGACTTTGTGTGGAACACAAGCACTGCCCTGTGCTCAGCATCTTGCCCACTACTGACCTACTTTCAGACCAGCTAAAGTTAGACCGACTGAAGCTGGTCTGAACTGTTGCTATCCATAATCAAAAGGTCAACTCTGACTCATTCTTTAAAAGCCTGACGGTTTACACTGCTTTAGACAGCGTGCAGTCCGCTTTGCCACAGAATCTTACTGGCAGAACACATATTTACAATGGCCTTACTTCGAATTTTCATATTCATGTCAAATATTTATTTTACATATCTGCCATTTCTTCTTTGAATGCACAGTTGAGCCCAATCTTGCAGGCTTAAAACCCCCCAAAAATATTATTTTAAACTAAAGGGCAGTCCTACATACTGTAAAGCTGCTACTGACATTTAAGGGCTGCATGTGTTTCTGGTGCACAGACTGTGGGCTTTTCCCTGAACTACAGATTTGTACAGTGGCTTTTGCCAGGCAGCATCTGCTCACTGACCACATGTTGCTCTCACTCCACTACACGTTGCACCCACCCCACCCCCGCACCCCACCCCACCCCCGCACAGCAGGCTGCAGACCCACTCAGACGCGTTTCCACTCAAACCAGTCTGAAGCCCCGCACAGTGGCAGCCCTCTTTAAATGTCACAGTCGCCCCTCTGCTTCACAAACACCACCTTTCATCTGAGCATGCAACGGCTCTGGACACGGTGCCCCCCACCCCCGTCTGCAGAAAATGTATCTAATGCAAGCCAAGACGAACCCTTTGTCAGTGCGTAAAGGGACGCAGCTTTACAGAAATGATGTAACTCTCGTGGCATTCCTGCGCCTCTGATCGCACGTATAGGGAAACGTGGTCGTACAGAAACAACTAAGAGGTTTTAGTTAACCCGCTGACATGCACGACCTGAGTATAAGTTACCATACATAAAAAGTAGTTTCAAAGCTAATCGTAAGATAAGTTTAAACGGCAGTGGGATACTTTACCTAATCACCGTCAAAACAAGAGATCCAAGACGCGCTCTCCACTGTCCGGCCCCTATCCGCACACAGACACTCCACAAAGAGGATGCACACTGTTGGAGGTGGTGGTAAAATACAGTACAAGTTTTTAAGAGATGTTCCGCAAGCAGGACTTAGGTGGAGGAGGGGGACACATGTGGAAGAAAACGTGCGGCTCCGCCTTCTCCCAGTTGAGCAACCCACCAGGCATGGAGTGTACTGTCCTGATGTGGGGTCCTGCTGCCTGGAAACAGCCGCAAACTTCAGAAAATGTGCAACTCAACCAATTTCGACATTGACAAACCATAATTTCGAGGACAAATGAATTAATAACCAAACAAAACATACTAGTGATGGTTCCCTAAGTTCATTCTTATTCATATATGTATACTTAGAAGTTAAATGGGCCAGTGTCCTTTATACAATATGTTTAAAACAATAAAAGTATATACAATAGACAAACAGAATTACAATGTATATTTTATTCACAGGCAAAACACAATACTAAAACATATATCTTACAAATCTGTAAGGTCAAAAGAGCATTTCCTGGAGGTGCAGAATGAGGCATGGGTCAGAGAACTATCACATCCGACCCCCCCCCCCCACACACACACCCATCATCAGTGATGGGGATTACCGGATGTTTTGGGTGTGCGTGGCACACGTGGAAAGGATAGCTCTGTGACAGATGTGCGGCAGTTACGTGTAGTTTACAGATAGGCTGGTGGAATCTGGTGACGAAAATCAGGGATAGGATGCTTTCAAAAACGTAATCCATGTCAAAAACAAAAATCCCTCCAAATAAATTAAGTGTTTAAAAATATTGCCGGCATGTACTTTTGCTGGAGTCTCTCTGAGCTGACAACACGAGGCCTTTGGTCAGCATCAGTCTGTGGCGATACATGAATGAGCACATTTTATATACATTATTCACAACATGTACAAAAATGGCCTTCCTCTCCTCTCCTTTAGAGTTGTGGCGACGGCTGAGTTTTATTCCACGATCGTCGACACACTCTTTTCCCCATGAATCGTCCTTCGGGATCTTTTGGCTCCAAATGTGCTGAGCAGAGCAAAATGTGTGTAAATGTTGCCTCTGGTTTGTCCTCCTCTGCTACTTCACTTCCATCAGTAGCTTGATGTCTTTTACACCCTGTTCTGCTGCCACGGCGATGATGTGGTCCAAGGCGTTCATCTGGCCCAACATCTTGACCACCTCTCTGACCTGCTCCCTGTGAACAGGAATGGGATATAGGACTGCCGACATGGACAAAACACCAGCAGGTTGACCTCTCCTTAAATCAGAGAGCTGCTTACTTAGTGGTGCGCCGCTCCACATCCGACACCACCAGCCCGCTCCGGTGCAGCGTGTTGGCCAGGTGGGCCAGGTAACGACAGAGGGGCTCCAGCTGAGGCAGCGTCTGCTGGCCCTTCAGCCCAGAGAACCAGTGGGATGGCAAACACTCCACCACCTGGGGGAGGAAAGGAACATTTCTATAATGGTTAAGGAATCCCAAGCCGCAGCAGCTCTGTGTAGGCAGCTTTAGAAGTTTCAAAATGCAGGCTGGAAATGACAGCAGGAACAAAGGGACAGCCTCCACCTGCGTGTTTGCAGTTGGCTAAAAAAAAGAGCTAAATAAGACATGATCAAAACATTCTTTAAAGTAATACATTACTACTGAATCTGGGCATTTAGCAGAACAGTATGATTGCAAAACTCAAGCTTCAATTATCTCAGAGGTAATGTGAATCTCTGAGGACACTTTTTGTACATTGGTTCACAATACTTGCTGCATTGCATTTGGGAACCAATGCAGATAATCAGAAAAGCAAACAGCTGTAAAAGCAACCCTGCTCTTTCCACACATTTTCAGACTGATACATTAAAGTATGTTGGACATTCATAAAATAAATGAGATGTACTACAGAATAAATTACCTTCTGGCACTTGGGGACATTTTCTTCCCCAGTATCTGTGGTTTGCAGGGCAGAGAGGATGTATCTATTGAGAGTGCTGTCCAAAGCCAGGTCCTTCAGGCAGGAATTGGATAAGATACCCTCCCATTGTAGAATGTTGCCAAGCAGCTATATTCAGAAGAGGGAACGACTCAGTTTTTACTTGAATGGGACAAGGCAGTTAAGCATTTTAGAAATGAGTTTCTAAAAAAACAAGCCTTTCTCTCTCATGAAATTTATCAATCCATCATCAAAAGTGAAAATGGCCACAGTTGAGCTGGACAAGGAACCCTCTATCATTGTTTCTTTTTGTTTTATTTTTATTGGGAATAGTTTACATGTACTCTTCCCTCTTGTGTGTTGCTTAGAATGAATGTAAAGGTAGTGTAACTACTACTTTCTACCTTTTTTTACATTTTTAAAACTACCAAACTTGGTACAATTGTCATGAATCTAAGTTAAAGAAGCTGTAGCTGTGGGCTGGGTCAGAGCCTCTGAACTGTTATGAACCTCTTTATTGTCTTTTAAGTGCTCACAATGCATTGAAAACAAATACATATTTTATATTCCGCCAAAGTTAGAACCTTTCTGTAAAATATGTACCTTCACGCAGGACCAGAACTGCCGTTGGTAGAATAAGTAAGCACTGCTATTCTTATTCTCCATCACACTGTACAAATAAGGAAAAAAGGTTTATTTTAAGACAGTCTCAGACTTACGGCTGCATTTGTTTTTCTTCTAACTGTCCAACGTACCTTTTAGGATAGAGTGGAAGGAAAACATCCTCATCCAGAGTCCGTCTGGTTCTTAAGACAATCGTTTTCAAAAGGTCCTATCGCACACAGAATTGGGAACACAACAAAGTTTCTTAGACAATGAACACAAATACACAACATATATTTGCTGACAAAATAAAAAAGGGACAGAAAGCATTATACAGAATTCTACCTGTGTGTAACTGTTATCCCCGTGCAACACAGTGGGGTAACCTTTCATCAGTCGGTGAATGAAGCCCACCAGCCTGGCGGTCTGACTGCCTGACAGCGGGTCCCACACCTGCTCTGCCAAGACTAACACAAACACAAGCATGAATTCCCAAGGGGAAATTTCTTTGGCCAGTTAGGTGCAGCTGTGTAGGCTTCGCTACCTGATAATTTGGAGAGGATGACCTTCTCTACAATGGCAGGCAGTAAGCCGATGTCCCCGTCTCCACTCTGCAAGGCGCTGTGCTCCTCCAGCCCGTAAAACAGCAGCGCCTCAAACCAGAGCATGTACTCAAAGTTTGCACACTGTGTCTGCAGAGTAGAGACAAACAAAGACGTTTAAAAAAATAAACCATCCATTCGTTTGGCTATTGTAAAAAAACACAGAAAGTCACTTTGAAAATGTGCTGACCTCGAGTGGATTCCACGTAATGAGCTGCAGCCGGACTAAAGGGTTAAAGAGCTTGGGCAAACAGAGGCTGATGTAAGCGTCTCGGTAGCAGTCTGGGTATTCTATTCTCCAAACTTCAAAATGGGATTTGATGCAGTCGAGAGAATGAAAGTCTTCCACCACATCTTCAAACACCTTCTTACATTCCTTCACGATGCGATCTGGAAGAGACCAAAGGTTTGAAGCAGACATGAGCTGTGCCGTTTCTGATGAATCATCTCTCAATTCTTTTCGTCATCATTTTACACCATTTAACAGTCCATTTACTGTGGGTTAACTCAGTTATGTACCTTTCTCCATGTCAAAGCTGGTGATGTCAGTGGACGTTTCCTCATCATCAGAAGATAAGCCCTCTTTATGCTCTGCCCTCTTTCCATTTTGCTCCCTAGATTGCCGCCGCCGTGTTCTGAAACCACCCACAAAGCAAAAAAAGTGAGACTAAGAGCAGTGGCAGTGCCTTTCCAACTCAGAACCAGAATGACTCCCCAAAAGCCCATGAAGCTGTGCTTAAAGAAAGTGTGCAAAATATCTGTCAAACAGCTTATTCATTCTTACCGCCGGGCTTCTCTTTCAGCTATCCTCCTCTGACGGCTGTGCTCTTGGTATGCTGCACGGTCTCGACCAAATGAGTCCAGATTGGGAGCCATGACAGCTTTATCTGCAAGAGAGAGGACTGATGTTAATACCGGCATGGACAAGATAAGACAACCCTTTACTCATTATTAGTCTGAAAACTTAGCATTCCATGCATTAAAAAATGTTAATCCCTTTAAAAATTACCCCCAAATCCTAAATTATGTACATGTAAATAAACTCTATTCTAACTTTGAAAATGAACTGATTAATCCACCTAATGTAAAAAAAATCATAATAATTTTTTAAAAAGGCAAAAACTATAATTGAGGCATATGTTTGGCACCATTCATTTTCTCGTAACTTACCTTTCAGAAATATTACAGAGAGATGACAAGTCTCATCTTTACACAGAGGCACATTACTGGAGCTGAATTATAAACATCCAGCTGTGAGGCTAAGTAGCTCAAACAGTTTCTCTTATACCACATTCCCTATACGCATACATGCCCACGCAAACAAAATAACATCATTTAACCTTAATCGTACTCATGAGGAAACTGTAATGGGGTGATGTGGAGTGGGTAATGTAAGAATAAGAGCCACACACACACGCGAGCTCAGAGAACTATTGAGGCCGTTCAAATAAATCATAAAAACCTTCAAGATGGACTGACTTGAAAGGCTTGCAAACTCCGACGATTCATCTTTAATATCATCCTGTCTTCTCTGGACAAGTCGTGAGGCCCGTTGCCTTAGTAACTGGTGCATGGCAGCCTCCAGCTCCAGGACAGCAGGCACCTGAAAGATATGATGCCTTTTGTGACCTTTGACCCAACAAAAGTTGGACTCCGAGTCACTGGGGTGTCTTGCTGGAGGAATAAAAGGAGCGTGATGGAAAATAAAACACTGGAAGCAAACAATCAATGTGATCAGGTGAGAATTGGATATCTCTTGTTTGAACACTGCAGACTCCAGTTTAGATGATTAAAACTATCATACCAATTCAACGACATGTTAAATGTCTGGTTTAGTGAACGCACAGGAGCGACAGGCTTACTCAACACTGACAAAAACCAACACAATCTAATCATGTTTACACGACATGAAATGACTCTACATGAAGTCATGCTGACATGTTTGGTGTGCTGGATTAATCACAATGTTCTCTGCTCTGATTAGCAGTGGAAACACATGCTGACAGCTGGAAGGCCCGTCCTCTCTTTGCTGCACGTTGTTTCTGGTCTGACGCTGCAAGATCAATCTGTTATTCTATGTGGACATGCATGTAGCTGTAGATATATAAAAATATTACCAGGTCATCATTTAATTTCCCTCCATCTATCAGGACACAGTCTTAGTCAAGACAGGGTATTTGTATATTGATGCATGTAAAGCCATTTTAAATTACGGATAGAAAGGCATTTTGTTTGTGCACTACAACTATGCTGTTGACAAGCAAAAGGTTGCATTTCTGACAGTACTGAAAGCAGAAAATTGCAGTCACATAGATTTGCTGGAGCTGTAATTTAGCCATTATGAAAGGCTCTTGAAAAAAAAAATGAACAGACAACCAAAAAACAGATTTTTCCTTTTTTGTGCTGAATAATGCTTAATAATAGTTTATCGTTTAAGGGACAGGTCGGTTTTCAGATCACAGACACATAACAGCAGACAGCTAATCAGACTGCATTTAAATTCTCCCTTACCTTTTCACTGAAACACTCAAGCAAGTCTCCAACATACCCTCGCATCTCTTGCAAGAATTTATATTGATCTGCATTGTCATTGGATGAACTCTCCAGCTGCTGTATGGCAGTCTCAGAGGCAGCTAGGTCTTCCTTGATCTGCTCGTAGCGTTTGGTATTTGCACCGTGGCCTGAATGCATCTGGGTGAGCCTACGAACACATAACATAACAGGTGGGGAAATAATGATGAGTCAGATAGGACAAAGGACAGACATTCTTAGTCCATTTTCCACAATTTGACAAATATTAACAGAAATGAATATTATCACTTGTAACCTCCATAATAATTGTCAAATCTGAGAGAAGGTTTGCCTCTGTGGCCTTTAGATGTGGAGGTAAGCTTTGCTGGGTCCTCATGACCACTGCGCACTGAGCTGTGGACTGATAAAAGACGCAGCGGCAGCCCCCCGCTGAACCTACCTATCCTGCAGGCGTTTCTTTACCAAATCAATGGATACCGGATTCAGAGCACAAATAGGGGCCCCATAGTGAACAGAGCCATTGTCGGGGTGGCCTGGTAGCTTTCCAGTTTGTGGCGTCACTGTGCTGTAGGTGAAAGGCATGCTGTAGGAGGAGCCATAGGGCTGGGTCTCATAGCTGCTCTGGTAGTAAACTGTGTTGTCCTCTGGCGGGGTGCTTTGGACCTAAATATAGAAAATGAAGGGAGAGCATAACAGTTTTACAAGAATATATTATATAACGGCTGCTGTTCAACTAATGGAAAGAGACAATTCTTTAAATAGATCATTTTTAAGTGACCGTCAACATCTGTTTGTGATACAATTAACCAACTTCTATGCTGAATCTAAATGTTTCCAAGGATGATGACTATAATTTACTAAACTTATATGAAAGCATTTTTTTACAAAATGACAGAAGAGTAAGACGGCATGAAAATTTTAAGCTGTAGAAAATCTAGACATTTTTACGAAATCCTACATGAAGGCATATCACATATTTCCAAAGAAGCACGTCTTACCTGGGGTATGCTGATTCCTTTCCTAATCTGCTCTTGCTCCCACCGGCTAACCTCTTCATCCTGACCTGTGTCCAGAGCCTCGTCATCACTACCCTCAATACCTGTGCACAAACAAGGGAGTGTCTGTGTCTTACACACAGCTGAGTAGATACAAAGCAACATAATCAATGTACTGTGCATTTTGGCTTCGTACCTATCTCTTCTGCTATCTTCTGCCTTTGGCTTTTATTCTTTACTCCACTGAAGCGTATCCTCTTCTCTTCCTCATCTTCATCGTCACTGGCGTCTTGGTCTTCCTGAGCCAGGCGTTTCTTGGGAGCCTCCGTCTCCACCAGGGGAGCATCCCCTCCAAGCTCTCTTGCCATTTGTCTGCGCTTTCTGGCAGCATGGATAAATGCCGCATCAGGGATTTCACCTGGGGTAGAGACACAGGATATGTGACATAAAACCACTGGAAAAGTGCAGCGATCTCTGAGTGACAGGATTTCTTTGTAATCACAGTCCGCTGTTCTGGTGAACACTGCTTAATTACTAAATAAGCATTTCACCCCGAAGGTGGCAACATATTACCTGGTCTCAAGCTGCCCAGGGATGACAGTGTGTTGAAAGTTGATGTCATATTGTTGCTTCTGGGGGTTTGAGCATGTGCTTGACCACCATGACTCCGTGCCTCTTCCTCTTGTTCCTCAGAACTGTCAACCTCCATCTCCTCCTCTCCATGTTCACTGCTCGCTATGCTGGTAGGCTCTTCTTTAATGGCAACTGTTGGTTGTGACGCAGCATCTAGGAGAGAAAGAAAGTTAGGAAAATGTCAATGTAATTACATTAATGCCATGCAACAACGACGTCACATGACTGATGAAAAATAAAATATTGGATTAAAGCTGATTACATTAAGCACAGATTTAAAATGATTGTGCTCATTCCTCAGAGTTATACCAAACTTAACAACTGCATATACATACGCGTCACACAAATCATGAATTAATAAATGTACATATACAGTCATGAACCCTGGTATATGTATGTGTAACGGAATATACAGTTAGTCTGTTTAGAGTAACGCCATCTGTAGAGCCAGTCTGTCCGGAACGCTGTCTGATGATGTGATAGGACACATGATACAAAAGACCATTTTTGATTTAAGAGTACTTCAATGGTGTACAGTCATATTTTTTTGTGAAAACTACTGATAAATGTCATTTTGAAATCTACTGCTATGTGCTGAGAAACCTACCTGACTTGTTTTCTTGTTTGACACTTCCACATCTCTGCAAATCCTCTTTGTATTCTTTCTTCAACTGCTTTACAATCTTCTTGCTGTGATTGGGTTTCTTCACTCGGAACACCTCGGATCCTTCTGTTTATATAACAAGAGAAAATGATGAATCTGAAAAATGTACAGAAGCCACTTGTATGACTGGTAAAATATTTGCATGTTATTACTAGTAGCACACTTTCTCCACCTAGCATTAACTATCTAGTTATCCTAGCATAGCAAGTTACCTTCTTCATCGTCGAAACTCAGCAAGCTAGCTTTGGTCGGTGGAGGCACGGGCGCTGTATAATTCACCTTCTTTTCCTTCTTGACAGCTCTAACATTGATAATATTTGCCAGAAAGCCATTGCTGTGACTAATGTCCGAGCTGCTCGGTGCTACGGTAGAGGTGTTACTGGAGGTCTCCATGAACGGGATTTCAACAACAGGCCCGAATGATGTGGGCGCCAGCGACTGCGGCTGTGGCTGTGGCTGGGTCTCCTCTTGTTCATCCTCGTCGGACTCATTCCTCCTCCGGAAATTAGCTCTTTTCGCTTTTTTAAACATCTTATATAACTTTCAAGAATAAGAGTGCATACTCATGCGTTGGTCAACGGAAAACTATGTTTAGAGTCGAGAGATACTGCAGCCGCACTGCATGTCAGCCATTTTCTTTCAGGAGCGGTTGTCATCTCTTCTTCGGTTTCTGTAAAGGTGAGAACACGTGTTGTTGGTACAATACTGCCCCCTGCTGTTAAATTGGAAAAATTAGCCCAATCTTCCTCTGGTCGTTGATAATAAAAATACAATGAAAACTAAAACAGAGAGGAAATCCGGAAAGGTTTTTGGAAAGGACTTTTGGTTAGCATCGATTAAATTCTATGTCTTTTGTAGATAACTTCATGTGATTAAATGTCTTTGAAAGAATAGAGCGGTTCTCAGCTGGATTCGAAGTGGCCAGGATGAAAGTCAGTTCCTCTAAATACATGGAAATGCTAACAAACTGAAAATGGATGGATGGAGTACTGTATACATAAAAAAACCTTAATGGTACATATTTTAACTGAACAAAGTAGGAAAAACTGTTGATAGGATTCCCAGTTTTGTGGATTTGGATGTTGGGCAGTGTGGTTTTTAGCAATGGTGCATTAAAGTAAGACAGTGGATAAATATATAAATAGATAGCAAGACAGATAGACAGATAGACTGATAGATAGATAGATAGATAGATAGATAGATAGATAGATAGATAGAT